TGATGATTTGATAATATTAGTAGATTGCGCAACTGATATCGCTCCTCGGTTTTCTGAAAATTAAAAGTAGATCGAGCCGATTTATTGCGTACGTAAAAGTCTCACTTATTAAAATGTTATTGTCGCCCTATTAAAAAGAAACAAATAGCCTCTGTAGTTGACATCTCGATCGGCTCACTTTTCAGGTGAGCACTCCCACCTGTCCTGTTATTATATAATTAATGATTAAACGAACTTACCAAGTGAAGTTCTATCATAATTATACGAAGCGCCTCGTTCGAAGAGATTAGTATTTATTTGATTAGATTATATTACTAGTAGTATCGCATATGTGTCACTACTCCGGCACTATAGTTGAGATTTCTTTGCATTTGCTTTTTTTTTTTTTTTTATTACGAGGGTAGTTCTCATCTTCTTAGTCGATACCGTTCCCTGCCATCTTCATTAAGTTTAGAGATAGATCTGGTTTATTGATGTATTTCCGGAGAACTTAGTATTGGGAATAATGTTCACAGGGTTGGGCGGGTTTACTAATCTCTTCGAACGAGGCGCTTCGTATAATTATGATAGAACTTCACTTGGTAAGTTCGTTTAATCATTAATTATACTTCGCGCCTCGTTCTCGAGATTAGTATTTATTTGATTAGATTATATTACTAGTAGACTTTGAGAGTGTTGAAAATAGATTTAGGAAATATCATCAATAAATGACGATAACTTGCTTTTTATATATATAAGTATTTATTAATTATTAACAAAAAAGAACATAAAGAGAATTGTTCAATTTTGGCTTTTGGTGGACAAGCTAATAAGTAAAAAATATGTAAACAGCAAATTATTATTAAAACTGAAAGAAAAATTATTTTTAATACTCTCGTCATGGGAAACTAAACATTAAAAATATCACATAAAAAAGTATTTTTTGGATTCGGATGTGTTTTGTTAACATATTTCACTGTGTTTCCATATCAATAAATGTTATTGAAGTACTATTACTAATAGTATCGATTAATCGATAAGTTTTAACTTTAATAAAAATAAAAGTAATTAAAGTATTTATATATTAATACATATACATTAGGTAATCTTTTGCAATATCATGTATCATATATATTAAAAACATAAGAAATAATCCTTTTCGGTTAGATATATAAGTTAATTTACACAAACTATTGATTACTTTTTAATTGATTAATAATTCTTATAGGGCAGCACCATTCCACTTTTGTCAACAAAGACATTTGAGTGATAATGATAATTCTTACGTTTTGATTTTGTTGTTACTTTCGACCAATTTATTTATTAACCTCTCGAAATGATGACCCGGCTATACCTATGGACACCAAACCAAGCACAAGTAGAGGACATCGTCGGCAGCTTTGTATAAATTGTGAAAGATCTATATTACGTACTAGATCACATCTGCAAAAAATATCCGTCAAAGAAACACATTAGTAATATAATTATTAATTGGATATCCCCACGACAGGTAGGATTATAGTTATATTTATTTATTTTGATTATTTTACCATAATTAAGCTTCCTGTATGACAAGTAAAACATTAATATATCGCTGCCCTATCGTTTAAGTAACATTTTGTTGACAAATAATTTAATATTATATAATACTCTTTAGGTGTATGGCAGATCCATATCGCGTCTGTTATCCATGTTAGCAGCAAGCAGATATAATATTCTGGAACCTATACAGATCATTACCGGATTATAAAAGAGCACTTGATTCACAAGTATATTGTTTTGTTCCTGGTTGCGACTCACCACAGCGACTGACCATTCCCACATGGTATCAGGTAAAATTGTTTATTATTTTTGCCTTATTATTGTAAAAATAGTGAAACTAGTTTGTGAGCTTTGTGCCTCTTATCCTTACTTGTATCATAAACTAGAAACATTTGATTGTTAGTCGAGCTTGTTAACAAACTTCGAAACTACAAGACTGATGTAAAAAAATCCTTTTACTTAAGGGAAGCTACATCTTTCATCAGGATGATATAGGCTACTATTTACATGTGCGAAGGCGTGGGAATACTGTACCTGTAGTTCAACATTTAATATTAATTTATTTTTTAATAGTAATGTACAAATGTACTGGATAGGTGTTTTAAAATAGTTCTTTCTGTTAATAGACGCAGATGTAAATGTGAGTTTACAGCCACTCCAAGCCGAAGAGTTGTTCTCGAGGGTGAGCACAAATTAGGAGAATAGTTGTGTTTGACTGCAAGCACACGTCATGAGAGGCCATGGAAGATTTAACGATAAGGACATCATGTGACCAACTTATATAAATGTAGCTGCTTTTTTGACCACCCGAATGCCAGCCTCCAGCTGAAGACAAACTGTATAAACAGTGTAACTTATTTATTAAGCGATCATGTAAAGTCTATTCTTATAAATAAGTGTATTTAGAAGTACTGTCTTTTGCTTGTAGAATTGTATTGTCAAATTACAGGTAAATATGTGTAAATCTACAATTTTTTTATTTAACCATGATTATGAATAGGCCTGTTGTAAAATTGTGCGAACACGGTAGAGTTGCCCCTCCAGCCCGCAGTATTACGGATCGCACTGACGGCTTTTTTAATACCTATAAACAGAGCATCAGATTTTATTAAGGGAGTTTGTCTCATTAATATAACATAGTAGTGTTTTCGCTGGACACACATTTGGCCTACTATTGAAAAATGGTAGATAAAGTATTGGTTTCTCACGACCTGGTTTTGAGTCTTAATAATTTGTGGTATTTTAATAACAACCTGACTGTGAGATATGTGTATGTTTTTGATTTCGATTTTTGACAACGTTTGCATTCTATGTGCTGTAGTTAATGCCAGTAAGGTTAATGTCTTTTTAGTCAATTGCTCTAACGTTAGGTCCTCATTTGGGAACCATTGGCTTATCTGATCTAAAACGCAATTCGTATCCCATGTAAAGTTATACTTTGGAAGGGGTGGTTGAAGACTAAACACACCCTTAAGAATCTCTGAACTCTGTCATCTTTACCTATGTGTGATCCTAATAAAAAAGATATGGCAGATCTGCATGAATTCAATGTACCTAATTGACCACCATCGTTAAACAACACAGTAAGGAAGTAAATAACGGTAGGGACTGAAGCTGTAAATACGTCAATGGAATTATTATTGCAAAAGGTCCACCATTTTTTATTTTTTTTTTTAATATACGTCATATTGACTGAGTGAATTAGGGATAATGAGGCTAACATTATATCCAAGGAGGAAGTTGGTAAGCTCCTTCTTGATAAGGCGTTCCTGGTAAGGTTGCTGCCACCAGGGTAATCGATTCGTGAATCCTTCGGGAATGTATTCAGTAGCGACGTCGTCCCTGTGTTTGAGACGGTGGCGGGCGGCGGTGGTGGTGGCGGCAGCGGTTGCGGCCGCGGCCACTACCTTGGGGAGGTAATCTGCGCGGGAATGCAGGCTCGCGACTCCTCTGCGATGGGCCTGGTTGCCTGTACGCCGGCCCGGGAGCTTTCCCGTTTAACTGATTCTGATTAGATATTTTTTGCCGTTTACTTATATTTTTTGTAGAAGGGTCAGCCTTTAATTCGATTCCAGACCAGTTTATTGATTTTGCTGTCATAAGAGTTTCAGTCAATGTTTCGCCGAATAAAAATGAATCGATCTTTTTTAATGAAAACATTATAAAGTTTCTTCTAGTAACTGAATCGCTATGTTGAATATCGCACAGTAAACGACTGCGGTCCATTAGCTAAAGCAGTTATTCTTTATCCTTTTCCTTAGAGTTAAGATGAGTAATAATTTTTTCTCCAAGACAAGCAATAGCAGTGGCCATTTGCGTTTGTTTACCCTCTATGCCTTTGTCCCTCTTAAGAGTATTTTCAAGTATGGCAGCCTTGATTTCAGGGTTAAGTTTTGGAGCACTAATAAGAGAGCAATTGGGTACTTCGCTATCAGCTCCTTACGGATATCCTTATTAAGCCCCTCTATGGTAATATGAGTTAGTCGACAAGCGAGTCATGTGGTTATACCGAGCTTCTCTAAGTGCGAAGGATCTTCGCCGAGAATTTCAAGGACATCGGTGTCCAGATCATTTTCGTTATGGACCCCTTCTTGGGGCCGTAACTTTGACTCGACAGGTGGTTCGTTAAAGGTCGTCGCGTCGACACAGTCATCCTCAGTGTATAGTATAAGTTTTGAATGTCACTGATACCAATCATGGATTGTGGATCATCGTCATAATGAGGTTGTTCTAATAACCAATCACTCGGCACCATAGGTGGGGTGGCAGAAAGATAAGAAAATCGTTTGAGATTTTCATTCATATTATGACTATGATGATCATAGTCATCCATAAAAGTATGCGACGAATCAACCCCAACGGCAGTTCAGGTGCATACTTTTTGTTTTAACGTAAATACGTTATAGTCTGATAGGTACGATATGTACAATAGCACTTTTAGATAACGATAGTTATCTTGTCAAAGTTAGGTAGATCCCCAATGGATTGAACGCTAACTGATTTATTGAATGCGTTGAATAAGCCCCAATGACTTTTCTGATTGCATTCCGTACCAATAAATTCGGGCACATGTCACTAACTGAACTTTCCTTATCACATATTTTTTGTTCTAATTTACGCATTTTCTTTTGAGGATGTTTTAACTCTTCTTCACATGTTCTAACTTTCGTACGTTTCGGCATTTTAACGATCTGTTATACACGTTATTGGGAATACGACCGGAGCAGTCGGGCACTATAAAGCGAATGAAGATGAGAACTACCCTCGTAATAATAAAAAAAAAAAAAAAAAGCAAATGCAAAGAAATCTCAACTATAGTGCCGGAGTAGTGACACATATGCGATACTACTAGTAATATAATCTAATCAAATAAATACTAATCTCGAGAACGAGGCGCGAAGTATAATACTAAGTCCATGTAGATTATCCCTATGTCATAGACAAATTCCATAGATCTAGAATACTCCTCTCCTACTTTATTGTTTTTCTTTTTCATATCATAAAAAATGGTGTTATTTTGATCTCAACCTATTGTCCAAAGTTTTCTCGTTTTCAGATAATTAATAAACTTTTTTAATATATCCGAATGTATGTATCATCTTAGTAACTAATTATGATAAAATAATTTAAGCCATATAAACATTTTGACGTAAATAATAATGAGCTCTACGTTGGAAACTGAAGACCTTGATAATGGTCCTTTAGTTCGCATGGAAGATGTTCAGCCAGCGAGGGACAGATCTTGTGATGTTTACGTATTAGAAGATACAAAAGATGAACCAATGGAATCTTACGTCGTGGACCATCTGGACTATGTTAACGAATGTGTTGTTGATGATGACGACTCTAACATCGGGAGCATGGTTTCTATTCATTCACAGGACGTTGTAGAATGTGATGATGATGACAGTAGTAATTCAGAATTGATAGTACCTGAAGTTCAGCCTGTAAAAAAGAAATCTATAGTAAGTGAAAAAAAAAATGTATATACTTTTAAGTAAACATAACAATGATCTATTTTGTTATTCAGTTAATTATAATTGTAACTTGCCTTACTCGCAAATGGAAACTTATGTATTTGACATTGATACAAAGACATTGTTTTTAGAAATTGGATAAAACTCCAGAGGTTGGCTCAAAATCTCCACCGGAAAGTTGGCCTACACTTGAGATTCTACCAGGTGGAGTGATCAAACGTTCAGACAAATTTAATGACGATTTGAATTCATCCTACCAAGATGATGATGAATCTGAAAATAATAATCAGGATATGATGTATGCATGTGCTAAGTGTTCACAAAGTTTTAAGTATTTATTTTCGCTTGTGAAACATGTCAAAGGCCATGAAAAGGAGCAAAAGAAACCAAAACCAACAGAATCTATAAAGCCCAGTAAGTATGAAACTACTATAATGCACCTCAAATGTAATATTTTGATCAATAGTGAAACCAGTCTTTCTAAAGTTTTATTGAGATACATAGTTAAATAGGAAATAATTATAAAATATAATAGTTCTAATTGTTGTAATGTCTTGACAAAAAACATTGTTTATTGTTACAAATCAAGCTCAATAGGGATGATGACTGAGTAAAAAAGAAATTCTATTTAGTCTGTCAGTCCAGATAAATTGGACACATATTTTATTTGGCTTCAATAAAAAAAGTGGCTGAGATAATAGGCATTAAAGTTGAGCAGTGGGGGCTTGCTACAGTTTTAGAGAAAATGTACAAAAGAGTGATACACAACATTTCAACTCAATAATAGTTGTAATTTATTGATTGCAGAAAAAATTAAAAAACACGTGTTTAGTATTCTTTTATAATGTCCCTGATGGCAAAATAAGCAAAAATTAGTCGTCATCTCTATTGTCGAGTTTTCAATATTTATTAGTATCTACCAATCCAATTCCAAAGCTTGATAAGGCAGCTTTTGTTGTCAATATTGAGACTACATTGCTCTTTTTGTAATGCCATATGTAGGTAGTGTAACACAAAAAATTATCTTCAAATTATTTTATTATAATAACACACTTTGTCAATATTATTTGTGTTCTTTCAAAGTTGGCACAATAACTTTAGTTGAATGATAACAATATGTAAGTTTAAAGGAATAATGTGGCAGAATGAACAGAATTAAAATATTTCTATATCACATTTATATTATCATGATTATTTTTTTTTATCCAGTCAACCTGTTTAAATAATATATATTCTTGTTTAAATAATATAGTATAACTAAGTTATTTGATAGTTTCACACAATTATTTGGCGGCCATATTGTGGTAATGTTTGTGTTGACTCCATAGGGTAAGTTTAGTTCGCTTTTATTACTTTTAATACTCTTTAACTTTATAAATAAATAAATATAGATCTGCTAAATTAGAGGAGATTGCTTGAAAATGCATTTGTGGCAACATATTTTATTGCCATAATATGGTCTGCTTTATTCCTTTATTTTGGTTGATCTATATTGTTTTTAATTATTATGCCTAAACTTTTTGGTCTAAAATTAATAAAAAAATATATATTCCAGCATCAACAGAAAAAGAATTGGTATATTTAAAAAGAGCAAGAATAGATTTGGAGAAAAGTTATAAAAAGCAAAAAGTAGATGTATTAGCAAGGTAAGCAAAGGTGCTTTTATTTACCTGTTATATTGAGATCCATTTATGAGAATTAAAAATATTGTTTTTCTTTTCAGAATTGCAGATGCACTAGCACAAATAGAAAATGTAGAAGATTTTTTTGATAAATAAAATAAAACTTTTTAAATTGATTTTTTATTTATTTCTTAGATAGATCGATAGATTCTTTATTTGCATCATGTACACACAAAATTTTACAAAATATTCCATAAATTATTGAGAAAGAGAAATAATTTATAGTAGAGACAAGATCTAACAAAAACAAGACAATCAAACAGTATGTGTACCGCAGCGATGCAAATGGGTGAAAACTCATGTTTCACATATTTGCTTCTTATGACCAGGAAACTAATATGTGAAACAAACCTTACCAATATAATTGATAAGCACTTTTGATATACACTTTATATGTATTTACTGAAAACCAAAGAATGGAGTAAAACAAATGGTACAAGACCCACTTTTAACTATAAATTACCACGACATTGACAGCTAGTTGCACAAACATCCATTAAAATTGTGTTTAGTTTAAAGCGTTTAAAAAATTTGAACATTCTGTAATACATAAAGGCGTTATTAAACCTTAATGGCTTCGTGCAATTGACCATGAGCCTTTTAAAGTGAATACGAGATAAAATAAGCTATTAACATTATTAGGTAGTCGAAATATGCAATTTCGAGGTAGATAAATCAACTAAATCAAGACAACTCAAAAGTAATGTAGAAATCACAACTAACCAAAATTCATGTTACCTTAGTTTGGAAGTTGTGTATAACACGTTGTTATAATATGATATGCTGATGGCGTGATCCTTGAATGATTCTGATTGGTCGACATTATCCGCAATTCGAAATTTAGCCATGTGTGCTGGTACATCAGTGAGCTACATTAGTTGTGTCTTACTGCACTTACACTATACTGTACATACTTCTAATGACTGTACCCTTCTCTTACAGAAAACAATAAAGTCGTCCGAAAATTCATCTGTCTGCACGCAAACGGTAGTATTGTGATATCGTCGACAGTCAAAAGGAAACCGCCAAAGAAATCTAAATAATAGCTGTATGATAATAAAGGTTGAAATCGCACACCTTTAGTTCAGTCTTCGGTGTGAAATAATGTGAGGTAACGAATATTTAAGAAGCGCCAATGAATATTTGGAAACTGCCATACCAAATATATGAGACGTGAGGATAATAAACGGTAGGAGGCGAGCATATTCTTATATAAAATACAATTTATTTTATGATAAGAATCTAAAAATTTAAAAATGTTGAAGAATCCATAAAGGGGATGAATAAGTTTTGTTTCAACAACTAGTGAGCGCGTTAAATTTTTTTATGGTATATTTACCGCCATGGGTTTAGTTACCGCTAATGTCCACTTTAAAACTCATTTCACTAACACATGGAAAGAGAATGGCGACTACCAATGCACGTAATGTTATACGATGGTATACGATCGATTTGGGACGTAATTCGTTGGTAGTTGAGCTTAAAATCGGTTGAAACGAACGTGCACTCTTCTCTATCTATCCTCTTAAAACACGAGGCAATCACTAATAGAGAAAAATCATTATTTGATTTTTATTATTATAAAGGATAGACAGCTTAATCAATACTTTTTTAGATAACCCCTTTTTATTTTTGTATTGAAAAATTACTTATTGTTGGCGTTTAGTGTCCATATGAAAAGATATTTCAAGATATTACCTATATGCTTACTTATATGTCTTATTTCCAGTTGCACAAACATCCATTAAATTATTTTATATTATGTCATTAATTAGTTTAAAACGACATTACCCATACAAATTCGATTATATAGTCATTAAACCTTAATGGATGTTTATACAACTAACCATTATACTTTTTTTTTTAATTTTAAACTTGTGATGGTTGATTTGTTTTAAAAATTTATTTGTGGTTTTGTTCATTTATGATTGAGAGTTGCAAATTTATTATTAGTTTTATTGTAATAATCTGATAAGTTTAATTTAGACTTTATTAACATTACATACAATAGGTTAGATTTATCCACTTGATTTTAAGCTCTAACTTCAAAACATTAAGGTTAAAATCAAGTAGAGTTGTTTACAGATTTCTATAAACTGACGTGCTGTGGACTGTACACGAATCATTTATTTATGCATCTATTTTATGGAAATTGTTTATGTTACAAGTTGTGACATAAAATTGTCAGTAGTGGACAGTATGCATAATTTAACAGGAAATCACTTTTATGTAATAGTAATATATTTTTTTTCTTATTTAATATTAATTAGCATTTAAGACTTACGTGTCCAAAGCAGGCCTAGTGATAAATATAACTTATTCGGAAACGTCTATATTATTGTGAAATTGTTATGTTCAGAGTGGAAATGTATTTCGTTACGTTATGAAATTTATTTAATTTTATTTTATATCCTTTCCTTCCTAATAGTTTCAATATTAGAGCCACTGATTTACTAATTCGCGAATGCTGTAAACGTGGACTGAGATAATGATCTATATCAGAGTATATCGGGTAAGGTTCAACGATATATATACCTTTCCATTAATAATACTTTTTGTATTTTTTAATATATTATATCCCAATATTTATTTTATAAAGTTACTGTTGCCCTTTCTATAGCTATCGCTAGATGGCGCCAGTTGTAAAAAACGTGACATAAAATATTTTAGGCTGATACAAAGCACATGTGAAAGTCGAAACTCTACTTCTTCTTTATACATTATTCTTCTTCTAACTTCCATTGGTTTGTAAGTCTATGGTGGGAGACCTTGTACCGAAAAGAACCAGCAAGAAACTCGGCTAGGGCTGCTTTTTTCCCCCGTTTTAATGAAATAAAACAGAGTTGTCAAGATTGAAAAATGACTTTTTTAAAATTATGATGTCATTTTCCATCACAATATTAAATTTTTTATCGATTCGTATCAAATGAATGTAACGTAAAATGATAACTATAAACTGCATTACCCAACCACTATATTCGTAAAAATAAGCCATATTTAACACCAAGCAGTTCTGTCATTTAAATATTCATTGCGGAGACAAATTATGTCAAAAATAAATTACACCTTCTTTAAAATGAAATTCTTAAGTATTATAACTAGTATTTTATCTGTGGTATTATTATCAAAATAATAAAAAAAAAGATATTTCAATTTTTTTATAAAAATTCTTATCTTGCTCTTCTTAACACATTTTAATGTGACATTTGTGACAGAAAATATCTTAAGTTCTGGGTGGTCTCTCATATATCATACCCGATTTTTGTATAATCGCCATCTTTCATTTCATTTTCATTTTACATGTAGAAATTAATTTATTCACTTGACATTGGCAGAATTGTGCAAAATGCGCAGATAAGCCATTAATAAAAGAAGAAGGGTGGTCTCTTAGTAACATTTTCCTCTAACTATTAAGGTTACTAAGCAATTTTTTTTCTGTAGTCTGTTCCTAGGCTAGATCGAAATATGAACAATGATTCCAAAATGTAATACGTTTCGAACTCTGTACCGGTTCCGCGGAGTACCTACTGGTTACTGTTGTCGCTTGTCCTAGGAACTAACTATAGTAACTAATGAATTTTGAATTCTATATTATGATAAGGATGTATACAGATTTCTGTTTTTGCTTCAGTTTTCAAACTCGAAATAATTTTGTAGATTCTCTTCTTTAACCCCAATTTAAAGAAAATAAAAATGTTATAGAATATGTGACATTATACCTTTTAAACTGCGAAGGATAAAGATTTGTTCACACATCAGCCCTGTGATTCTGTAAAACCCAGACCGAATTCGAATTCACTCACGAGCCGGCTTCACGTCATTTGGTCGTAGTAATAGTCCAAATTCTATTGATTCCATTAGTCCATACCATAGTGAGACTAATTATGTAACACTATTTTAAATTACCTATGGAAACAATAAACTTATTAAGTATTCATTTTTTTAATAAAAATACAAAAGAAAATCGATTGAATATACCTTTTTCAGATATTCTATTTCTGTGTCATTACGAAACTCACTTCACTTATGCCACGAAACGTTTATTACCAATTCAAGATTAAGCGAATGCCGTTTTTTGAGTGAATTCGGGTTTGAAGTTCCGGCTCAGGCTCGTATCAGTGATAATTATTCTGTCTTGCATTGGAAAGACGACGTATGTGTTAAAGCTTATGTTTAATATAATATTCGTTTATGTAAAAAAAAAATTTTTTTTAAATGGTAATATTGAAATTATTGTGAGAAAAAATATATGCCAGTTATGGCTTACTTGAAGCATTTGTTATGTGATGGTGTGTGTTATATTTTATGAATTGTATATTTTTAAGTTAGTTTGTTATCAAGGGCTTGCAAAGAATTTAAATATATCTAAAGATTTTTTTATTTACCGGGGCCACTATTGTTGTTAGTCAATTAATAGAAATAGTATGAGTAAATAGAATGTTTGTTGTATGTAAATTAAAGTTAAGTTTTTTAATAAAACAATAAATCCAACATTTACAATTTTATTTTCTGTCCAACGGAGATAATCATGTCGCAATACAATAATAATCTATCTAGAAATTATATTCAATATTTAGAAGGAATTATTTAAAATACAACGTTGCTTAGACTAAACAAAGAACTTAGCATTCAAAATAATATTAAATGCACAATAAAAAATATAAAGTAAAAACACCAGGAAATCAACTTGCAAAGGCAAAGTATTGGATTTTGAACTGAACTATTAACATATTAAGGCTTAAAATCAACTGGACATTGATCCCAAAATGAAAATGGGAAATCATACAGAAAATATATCATGTTATTTTTTCTTACGAGATGGACTTACGAGATCTAGCATCATTATATTCAATAAATATTGCACTCTTAATGATGTGTTAAGTTTGATCTTATTAAAAAATATATAAAAATAATTTTAACATTGTTATGCCATTATTTAGCCTCATTTAAAAATGGATGTGAACTCAAATACTTGTATTAAGATCGGATCTGATTGATCCCAATTTGCAACAAATTCATTATCTAAATGCGTTATTTAAATCAGTCTTCGAAGTTCATCTAATTCGTTCTTTCTAGTCTGTAACCTTTCTTCATCTAATATTTTTGTCCACTCTGTTACATCGCTCAAATATTGCTTATTTGATAACTTTGTTTCCAACTGCCCTATGTGCTGTTCTAGTTTCTTAATTTTCTTACGTAATCTCTCTTTGGCGTTAGAGACTGTGCTCTCCATAGCCTTTCCAATGATTTCAACATTTACCTTAGTATCCTTATCTAAAATACCGGTCACATAATCTTTCGAATCATTTCTGTCAAAAGTTAATAAATTACACTTGGTTAAATTCAAAACAATATCTTCATTACATTTTAAATCTTTTCTAAGCGTTTCGTCGTCAGTAGCTACTTGTATTGACGGTTTAATTTTGTTAGATAAACTATATAATCCTTTTAATTCTCTGACTAGATTGACAACTCTTAACAATTTTCCAACTTTCGATTCTACATCGTCATCTTTCCAAATTTCAAAGTCTTCAGTCTTAGGAAGATCAAAGAAAGATTTCTTCTTATCATCAAAATCTATTATTATGTTTCTCTCAAATTTTGGAATTTTCGATATAACTTCGTCTGTCAAATATATCATGAATGGCGATAAACATCTGAGAGATGTGTTTAAAACCGCTGAAAGTGTGTGCGCGTGTGCATAAGCTAATTTCGTATTTTCGCTCTCGAAACCAGATTTCGTAGACTCTAAATATACATCACAAAACTCATTGTAGATCAAACTTCTGATGGCTTTCGTAGCTAAATGGAAGTCGTACGAATCCATTGCTTTATTGAATTTTACCACCATATTAGCTAGTCTACTGAGTATCCATCTGTCAAAATATGTTAGATCATCTATTGTAATAATATCATCAATGGTTTTCAATTTAGTAAAGGATAATTGAGTATATTTGATGCTCTGCCATATCTTATTGCAGAAAAGTTTATTTGCGTGACACATGTCTATATCGAAATTAACAAAATGCGATTTTATATCTTGAGACAGAAGAGTGAATCTTAATGCATCCACTCCACATTGAGGTATACCTTTTGTGTGACCAAAGTTTGATTTGTGGTACGCAAGAGCTTTGTTCAGTTCATCTTTGCTCAAAACCCCAACCTTGTGCAGCTCTTCAGTCTTTTCTTTGAGCTTTACCATCGAAATACCGTTTATCACATCAATTGGATCGATCACGTTGCCCCTGCTTTTAGACATTTTTCTTCCTTTACTATCACAAATTATCCCGTGCAGTAAAACTTTGTTAAAAGGAACTTTTCCTGTCAACTCCGTCCCAAGTATTACCATTCTATGAACCCAAAAACCGAGAATGTCGTGACCTGTCGCCATTAAATCGAGGGGATAAAATTCCTTGTAGTCTTCGTTGTAATAATGGTCAGGCCAACCTAAAGCCGCAAACGGATATATCCCTGAAGAAAACCATGTATCCAAAACATCTGTGTCTCGTTCCACATTGATATCATCAGGAAAAGTTCTCAGATATTTCGATGCTTTCAACTTCGCAGACTCCGCGTCTTTTGCCGCGACCCAAATAAGATTCTGTTCGGCGGTACACTTATAAGCTGGTATTCTATGTCCCCACCATAACTGTCGCGATATACACCAATCTCTATCGTCATTCGTCCAGTTTTCCCAGTTCTTGATAAATTTTTCTGGTTCTATTTTTAAATGTCCCGATTTCACAAGTTCTGACGCTTTACGATTCATTTGGCTGCAAGACAAAAACCATTGTTCTTTTGGTAAGTATTCAATAACGTCGCCAGTTCGACTGCACACAGGCAAAGTCATTTCGTGAGGTACGACGCTTTTAAAAAGACCATGTCTTTCTAAATCTCGAACGATTATATCTCGGCAATTATATTTTTTAATGTTATCATACTTTCCTGTATTTAGTGTGAGCCCATTCTCTCCTATCACTTGTAGTAACGGCAAGTGATGCTTTTTAGCGATAGTATAGTCAACTTTACTATGAGCAGGTGTTATTTTAACAGCCCCTGTACCAAATTTCATATCGACAAAATCATCAGCTATAACAGGTATTGTTGTGTTTCTAAATGGATGTATAGCCCGTTTACCTATAAGATGTTTATACCTGAAAAGACATTGTATTTATTTATATTTTATAAAAAAAAAAACTTGTGTGTCTGTGGTAGGTGAAGAAATTATTTTGCTAATTTTACTTAACTGATTTGTAAATTGTAGATTCTGAATATATACAGGTGATCTACACGCAGATCATAGTCTAAAAAGATATGCAAGTTATAATATAATCCATTCACTGCAAATTTGCTGCGCAATTAACCTAATTGGTCACATTTGTGGATTGAAACAGATGTAACTGCGAGATCTCTACTATTAATCAAAATGGATATAGCAGTGTGTATTAGTTTATCTTATTGGATACTATGCCAGTGATGCCAGCTGACTACCCTTGGCATTCGTGAGGAGTCTTAACCAGTTAGACTAGCTAAGATTAGCATTTTTCTAAAATTAGCTATATAACATAGACAATTTTTTTTTTATTAGATGCCTGGCACCTCGGAGTAGGCATGAAAGCCATTCAGCAACAGAGGTCCCTGAGAATCGAGGAGTAAAATCTAGCATTACCAATAAATAAAATAGATACCTAAGTAAAAAGCTATTAGGTACCTTTCATCTTGTGGATTCACAGCTATGGCAGTATCACCCAGCATAGTTTCCGGCATTGTTGTGGAAACAACTACTTCTTCATTACTATCAAATATTTTATAAGCAAAACTGTATAATTGACCAAACTTAACAGTTTTATCATAGCCATATACTGCAATTTCAGTTGGTCCGTTTAAAGTCAAATTTTCCACTTCAATATCAGACACTGTGGATTTCAATTTATTGCACCAATTGACCAAAGCTTTTTTTCTGTATATAAGGCCATTTTCAAATAGCTTAATGAACGCTGTGTTCACAGCATGTGTGTGCTTTGGGTCCATGGTAAACACTTGCCTTGACCAATCTAACGAACAACCTAACATCTTTAGTTGTTCACAAATGGTGTTACCATGTGTCTCTTTCCATTTCCAAACTTCATTGATGAATTTCTCACGTCCGATTTCTATGCGGTTAAGATTTTTCTTAGTTTGAAGATATTTTTCTACAACACCCTAATAGATAATTATTTATTGAAGCTAAAATAGATAGTACTTCATAGGTTTCTACTAACAAAACTATATAATTATATTTATAAAACAATAAGTTATCTTTGTGATAAAAATTAAGAATTTTAATGCAAAAATTAATAAAAATAAGGTTGGAGTTACAATAACACAACAAAAACAAACCTGTGTTGCGATTCCTGCATGGTCTGTACCAGGCAACCATAGAACATTAAATCCCATAGATCTGTTTCTTCTTACAATAACATCTTGAATTGTACAGGCTAAAGCATGACCTGTTAATTTAAAAAATCATGAAAGATATCTTAGTGAGTATAAAAATATTGTATTTTAAGATTTATAAACTATACCTAGATGTAATTTTCCCGTTACGTTTGGAGGTGGAAGAATCATACTGAATGGAGGTTTGTCGCTAGGAATTTCAGCTTTAAATAAATCTTTTTGTTCCCATTTTTTATATTTATCTTTCTCTACGTTTTCGGGTTTATATGTTGCTACAGATAAATTTTCTGTTAAATAGATTCGAGTGGAACTACATATAAACCGTGGATATAATCTAAAAGTTTTCACTGTGGTATTTATATTTCGTAAAATCATCGTATTTGAATAAAAGAAGGACTTTTTCGAATTTAGCACATTACAAACAAACGATTTGATAATTCAACTTTGATAGGGTTGCACCAATATAACAAATAACTGAATATATCGATTTATCACCACAAAAAATATCGATATATATCGATAACGACGATAAACGATAAATAATCCTGTATGAATTTGTATTATATAAATATATTACACATGCAAAGAATTTAAAAAAAAATTAATGCCAAGGCCTTTAAACATTAAAAATAAGAAGTCCGAAGTGTACCTAAACGGAGAATGGAATGTCTTAAATTTCATAGAAATGTTAGTTATTCCCAATACAATACATTTTTTATTGCAATAAGATCCTATTTCCTATTTTGGCTATGTGAAAAGCAGGCTCAATGCCCCTATTTTACGAAATAGGTATAGAGTGAATGACAGACAAACTACATGATTTCTAATTAACAATGATGATTAAATGATAACTTATAATTCTAAATCATGACGTAAGCAATTAATAAAAATATTTCACATACTTAGATTTATTGTAATTATTACTGTAATATCTGTGCTATTACTAGGTAACTTAAGAAAAAAAATGGACTGAATCTCTAAGTACCGATTATTTGTATAATCTTTTAGGGTCAGTTGTAACTTATTGTGCTATTTGTGGAGATTTGTAATTAGCATCGGAATAATTTACTATGTAACCTAATGTCGATATTTGTCTATAAATCTTCCTAAAAATAAATAAATTAATTAATTAAATCTTGCATAATAATTTACTTTAACTGCGTACCAACTGTTTAACTGTATATTTATTTTTCGTAAAAAAAAAGTTATTTTAATATTTTTTGATAAAACCTATTTAATTTACACATTAAGGATTTTTATGTATTTACTTTAGACCTAAAATATCGATATGTAAGCTGTGGCACGCTTTAGACAGCTTATATATCGATATTGACGGAAATCGATATTTTTATCAAACTTTAGCCCAGACATTGACATTTGTTTTTTATTCATTTGAAGAGCAGACTAAGGTCTTAAATCATAATGCCGCGCCTTTAGTCTTCGATTATTTTCTTGGTCGAAGCCTTTAGTTAAAGTTTCCTTTATAGTAGGTAAAATAACACCTTTTTTTATTTGAAATTGAAAATTAGAAACTGCTGGTTGCGACGGGTATTATACGCCTAACAATGGCTGTTTGGCGTATAATACCCCTCGAAACCAATAATGGAGGGAAACGTCACGTGATTAATGGACGGCCCCTTTCATGTAAAATATAAATAAATATTAAACAATATCTCACATACTTTGCTTAGAATTCAAGATAAATAGCTAAAGCCCCCGTATTATGGAGTATCTAAAACAACGTAGGTCTCTGCTATTGTCAACAACTATAGCAGAGACAATATAGAAAAGTTCATTTTCCACATTAACCCGACCAGGAATCGAACCCGGGACCTCTGATAAGGCAAAACCTTGAAACCGGCGTACTAACTACTTGGTTAAGGAGGTCGTCAAGAATAATTGGCAGTCATTTCAATAGGACCTGCTAGAGTAACGTACCTATACTCCCGCACCTCGATGGAGACTAGAAAAGAGCTACTGCGCAAACCCTATTTTGTTTCAGCTTTCATGCCGCGCATTTATTTACGAATATATTATCATAAGAGTATTGATTCAAAAGTAAAATACAATTTTTTTTAGAATAATTTTATATAAAAAAAATTACACTTCAGCAATTACAACCTTAGCATAACATAAATTGTTACTTAATAATTAATTACTAAAATTATTAACTTTTTGTTATATTAAAGGTGAGACTTGAAACCTAACACTTATAAATGCAAAAAATAAAAAATTTGGTGTAATTTCGGTCATAGACTAAAATTAAACACCAAGGCATCGTACCTCATTTTTACTCTGAAACAGAAGCACCATCATTATAATTCCACTTATGAACAGGGAAATACATTTGTAACAGAGTTTTATAAATATCAACATCGATAGGCATAAAAGTGCAAAAGATAATTCTATCCATATCCTGGTTGGTTTCTAGAAACTTTCTAGCGGTTCTCAAGGCGATATGAGCTGCCAGTCTGTTTGGAAAACCGTAGATTCCTGTACTGATGCACGGGAAAGCAATGGACTTGATACGATACTCTTGATGGTACTGCAGGCACTTTTCATAACATGACTGTAAAGCTTTAGCTGAACCATCTTGAGGCCCAACGGTGTGGATAACATCTGAAATATGAAGATACAAAGATAAATATTCCATTTAACTTTACCTGGTAATATTAAGGGGGATTTTAAGAAAGTATCTAAGACAACGAGGATACCACAACACTATAATATAGAAAACTTCATTTTCTACTTTGAATTGACTAGGAATCAAACCTGGGACTTCAAAGATGGCGAGACCTTGAAATACTCGTACGAAACCAATCTCCGGTCATAAAATAAGAAATACTCTTTGATACTTATTGTTTGATAAAGTTATTGTTAGAAATTGGTTTAAATTTTTCTTGAAGATTTTCATTTAAGAGATAATCAGATAATCCATAACTAACTTATGATATAGGATTTAGTTTTGATTATTTTTAGAACATAAAACAAAAGAACACTTACATTTAGCAGGTAAGTTGTATCCACCAGTGACTTTGGCATCTCCAGTAGGGCAACCTTGTAATGAATTACATTCTTCCTGAAAGTAAAGGTATTATAATATAACAACTTATAAAGATGATTATTCAACCTCAAAATTTAAATATGTCGACGGATTAGCCACATAGCAAAAGTAGCAAATCCTGCGCGTTTGGGGCTCGGGCGCAATTGGGTGCTCTGACTAATTTTGGGGTGCAGGGCGGCTGATATATGCTCAAGTATGCGGTGTTGAGCAGGATATGCCTACCGTCAAGTCTGAAACATATGTCCACTTCGTTAACCTCAGTAATACTTGAATCTAATAACAGGCACAGCACACTCACTATCTGCCCTGGGATAAATGTAGCTGAAGCGCCTGACGCTACCTCACCAGTGCATTCCATCGCGGTGAGGGGATCCTAAAACCTTTCAATCCCATGATTGAAAAGGTCAAACTTTTCAACACTCTTCCTAACTCTCTGTTCATCCTTTCCTTGTCACCTTCTCCTTAGGCTGAAAAGCCTCGGATCTATCAGATTTTGGGGGGCGAACCGATAAACTAATAGCTCCTCCTGCGCTAAGGCTTGCGCAGTTGAGCACCGTAAGAGGAGATGAAAGAGTCTTGGGGGGATGAATGAAGCGTGGTCGGCGGTAGTATCTTCGCGACGCAACACACTGGTCCGGAATTTAAATAAAACGGAGCCTCTCTGTGTAGGGTCAGAGAGAAAACGGTCACGCGTCCCGTCAGTGGGCCGCCGCGAAATAAGGTGAGAAACCCATTTCTCAAACTGTTAATCAATCGATCAGTGGGAAAGATTTGGGGTTAATATCCAAATCTTTCCTACTCGAGACTCTGGAATGACTATCGACAGACATGTACGAAGCGGTGCATTAAGTATTGCTCCGATACATAAACATCAACATGCTTACACAACAAGTAAATCTACAGAATCAGCCTTCCATCAACTAGTCGGTAAGATAGAAATGGCCTTTCACAATAAACTCATCTGTCTGGGCATTTCATTGACATTGACGGCGCTTTTGATAGAACTAACGTCACCAATATTGAGTCGGCTCTTAAAATGCATGGAGCGAAGTCACAAGTTATAGACTGGATCGTGAACATGCTACGCAACAGGATAGTACCGGTAGCAGGTGAGAAGAATACAGGAAAACTGGTCGCGCGGAGATGCCTTCAAGGCGGAGTACTGTTACCGTTACTATCGAACCTGGTGGTTAGCGACCTGATAACCCGCCTGATATCTTGTCACTACTACACCATCATGCAAGCAGCCTTGATACAAGTCGAATGCTGAAATGAACAATACGACCTGGCCGTGAACCCTGCAAAAACGGATCTGGTAATGTTTACGACCAAACATAAAGTATGCACGTACCGGCTAGCGAAGCTATTCGGCACTACACTACAACTGTCCGAGGAGGCAAAGTACGTAGGCGTAATTCTTGACAGTAATCTAAACTGGAACAGCCACATAGAACAAAAAATTAAACGTGCTACAGTCGTTTTGACTTGCGCCAAATTGTCTTTGTTCTTGTTTCAAAAGGTTAATACGGTTGTGGTAAGACCCCGTCGCGAGCGCACAGCAGCCAACAATTTATCTTTAGCGAGAAGGCGTGTAAATTTTACAACGATTGCAGGAGGATGCAGGCCGCTTGACTCGGCGGATGATGACATTTCACCAGCCTCGAAGTTTAACACGTACAATGCCGTTTATATCTCGATCATCTAGCGAATATCCGTCCTTATTGCTGATGACATGTAATAAGGTTTGGAGGTTCTCGCCGGCTCAGATAGGGATGCACTTGTAATGGTAGTGTCCCTTGCAACCAATACAAACCAAAACTTCACTGCGGCTTACCTTGTTCTTACATGCTTTCATCAACAATGAATTGCTTCCATACAATTCATTGTTGATAAAAAAATTGATAAAATAATCCTGTTCAAAATAATTTGCTGAGTAGTTATTACTTCCCTGTGATATCAGTACGGATGGCGTATCTACGATGCCTGATCTTTGCCCGATGACAAATACACGGAGCGATGAGTGTATGGACGTACAACGCACGCGAATGTCGCACTTAACACTGTACACATGCAACGGGCATAGACGTCGACTTCCCTTGCAGGGGCTTCTTGCATAAAACTGTAGTAGGTAGATGTCACTCGAAGATGTAACAAAAGTCACATCGATAGTTTAGATAATAACACCAGACAATTTCACTTATATGCACGCGACGATAGTAATAAGTCTTTATATGAGGTTAAAGAATAAAATTGTGATAGAAAAAACACAGAATATGTACCTTTGAAATAATTTTAGTAGGAGCTCGTAACAGCTGACACTTATCAGTTTACCAGTTCAGCAAAGTTCCAACAGTGCAAACTACAAGGCTTCCAGCGGCAGGCTTGCTGGGCCCTGATGGGATGCATGAGCACGGCGCCTATGGCAGCTTTGGAGGTAATGTTAAATATTACTCAGCTACACATCTACATTAGGCAGGAAGCAGCAAAGACAATGATGAGACTAAAAAACTACAAACTGGTATGGTTCGAGACGACTAAACATCTCAATAGCCTACTGAAGGAATGGCTCAACACTACGCTTGTAGAAGTGGCGTGTGACAGAAACGACCCTGCCTTTTTTTTTCAATAAGAAATACAAGATACATCTTATGGACACCGACGATCCAAAGGTAACTCACAACACCCTCACAGTCTTCATGGACAGCTCCAAAACCACATCAGGCGCAGGCGCCAGAGTATTCTCTGAGAACCTCAACATACATTTCTTCCCGCTCCTCAGCTCATACAATACAGTCTTTCAGGGAGAGTGTATGGCGTATTACCATGGCGGTGAGAGCGATAACAACAAGGAAGGTAACAGAATCAGTAATCCGGATCTTCTCGGACAGCAAATCCGTCTTAAGGGCTCTCAAAGGCAGCTCTGCCAGATTGAGTCTTTTATATGAGTGTCACCAGGTTCTAAACATTAGGATCACAGAATACAATTACTATCAAATGGATAAAAGAATACAGGGGATTACGTGGAAATGACACAGCTGATGAACTGGCATGGATGCTTCTGCCTAAACTCATATTTTTAAGTATAAACAAACCCTGACAAATAAAACTCAAGTCACAGATTAGTTGTGTTGTGTTATTGGGAAAGCAATGGACAATAGCAAAGTGACTAATTCCAATGATCATAATTTTTTGAAAAACCATAACATACCAGTATTTTGTTGTTAAACTTCAAAAACAAGAAGGAGCACTTTGATACATTACAATTTAAATTGCGTCTGTCCAGGTGTATTGGCCATTACTATACAATGAAATGTTACAAATCAAGAAAAGTAATCATACACTTAATTAATCTCAATCAAACAAGGAGGGAGGGGTGCTCAAATAAATTTAGTACAGGCCCTGCTCTGGCTTAATCCGGCACTTCAAAGAATTTGAAACTTCTTTATAATTGTTACTTACTGTTTAATATAACTGTTTTGTTGGTATCTAAAAATATTTTTCATTTAAATTTAAAATTGAAAATACCTGAAGTAATGGACCAGCAGCACGATGTATGGCTCCATCCACTCCTCCTCCAGCTCTCAACCTTGAATTGGCTGCATTTACAATTGCATCTACCTAATATGTAAATCAAAAATATATTTTCATATCAGATGTGTCTAAGCTTAATTTGTACAAGACATGTTGCAAAAGTAGTGAGATTTTGTGATATAATTCTAACTTCCTGATGATATGTATACAGTTAACTATATTTTAAAATATAATTTTATTTTGAAAGATCACACCACAAGAACAAGATTTGAGAAATAATTTAAGTAATAATCATCGAACAAAGTTTAATAATTTTAATAATTACTAGAAAAAAAAGTTTAATAATTACTTCAAGTTTCGTGATATCACCCTGGAAAATTGACACTTTATCAGCCAGCTCTTTGTCCTTACTAGAATCCAATTTTAACTTCTGGAATTCAGTCAGATCATCAAGGTTATGCTTAAAATTCTCAATATCTTTATTTTTAATAACAAATTTAGACCAAGGGTCAACTTTATCTAATATGATAAATTCACTTGTTCGATATAACTTCCTTTTCTCTTCTAACGGCATATTCATGATCTTGTTTTTCTCAATTTTCCATTTTGATTGAGAAGTCATTTTTACCAAAGAATAAAAACGTACGCGTTTATTTGCAATAGAACTGGTATGAAGTGTTATTAATTTAGCACCGCAAAATCCAACCGGCATTAACATTTTTGTGCGCAAAGAAAGAGACAGCATGCAAAACAAACATCAATTGTCAATGTCACTTTGACACTAACCTTTTTTTTATAACATACATAGATTGAGATGGGGCCACCCACACTAAAAATATTGTTGTAAAATACTTATTTGTTCTGCAGTAAAATACAATATATCTAGGTCTCAATATTTTTGGCTAGCTTGATCACCTAAAGTCGAAGTCCGTGACCCCAAGTTTCGGTCAGTTGCACAACGATGCTTAATAAATGATGTTTAATATATGGTAGTCGAAAAACCAAAAATGATGATAAGTAATGAAGTGCGGTACCTCTATAGTTTTAAAAGTACTTCCCATGAGTTGAATAAATTTCCTCAACATCGATCTCATCATTGTTAGACACTTCTCTATGATTATTAGACAGCAGGACGATTCTGTAAAAATCCGAACCTGAATTCGAATTCACTCATGTGTCTGAATTCACGTAATTTTGTGAAGAAATTATAAAAAACAAAACAAAATTGATTGATTTTACATGTCGCAAATATTCTATTCCTATATTTCGAAACTAATTTCAACGAGAAAGTGTAGTGAAAGTACCTAGATATCACGGATGTACAATGAATATATTTGTTCTTAGGGAGTCAGTTAGCAACGCTAGAAATGAAGTTACAGTGTTCTATAAATTATATAATTTGACAATCTAAGAAGCGTTTGATTTATAACATCTGAATCAACCAAGTTAACGCTGACATCAACTTTAAGATTCCGCTAAAGAACATACACTACGCAACCCCCCAAGAAGTATTTCCAAAAAAAAAAATATTACTTCTCGAAAGCGATCTATATAATAGATGTCGCTTTTTTACATAAAAATACAAAACCAGATTGATTGATTCATACGTGCCTCAAATATTCTATTTCTATGTAATTTCAAAACTCACTTCACTTATGCCACCAAACGTTATTACAAATTAAAGTAGAGCGGATATCGCGTTTGAAGTAAATTCGTATTTCTGAACGAATTCGAATACGGGTTCGAATTTTTTCAGAAATTAACTTTAAGAATAATTTTATTTCGCAGAATGAATGCTTTTTGGTTATTCATTTCTCTCTTCATTCAATGTATATTATTTTTACAGTTATTTCTTAGTACCTATATTACAATATTTTTTATATTGTTATTCACTTCGCCTCACTTTACTTCAACTGATTAATATTATTCATTTAAGATTTTAAAAATTGATGTCGCATCGGTACTTTATTTATTTCTCCATGACAACCCTTCCGGTTTTCTTTCATGTTTCTAAATTAGTTTCAAAACTCAATAAACAACTCATATTTTATTTGTAATTTTTCGTATTTGTATTGATATCTAAGTTTTGAACTTTGCAAATTTTAGTTTTTTAATACGGAACGGAAACCAAATGTAGTCTTTGGTTCATTCATTAGCCATCTAGTGGAGGTACTTATTCGGTGCTTTCTTTTGTTTTTAAATACTAAGTATCATTGTGTTTGCAAGCCTCAAAAAGTTGGAGCTAAATGAAGCGATTCAAAATAGGGTATTTGACACTATCGAAAATAAGTTGCCTTTTTTGGTCATCCTGAAAGATAATAATCTAATTAAGCTTATTTCTTAACATCTGCAGAAAAAACATGTTTAGATTTAGTAAAATAATGTAAAGAAAATGCAATATTTTTAGAAAAAAATTTTGATGATATATACTGTTCTCCAAGTTAAAAACTAATTTAAAAAAATCATCTGGATGCTAATATCTAATTATCAAATGCCATGCATTAAGTGGACAGACATACTACATGCATGTATAAAAAAAAAATAGAACATTCTTTATCGTACTAATGTCTTATCCATCTATAGGTCGACAGGCTGTAAAGTGTGAGCCCTGTCAACTAATATAAATGAGTCGTTAAATGTTTATGACAAAGAAAAAAACCAAAAAGAAAACCTTCAAATGTATCGATATAAAATAAAAAAATTTCAATACTTTTAGCGAATCCTTACCTAATTTTATCACCCATCTCTACTCTATTTAGCTACTATACTATTGTGATTGTCAATCTATTTTCTTCTAGACTCGAAGTTTGTTTATTATTTATAGAAGTATTAGTACATTGTGGCACTACGCACCGCTTGTAGCTCATTTTTTAAAGAAAATCAGAGCAGAGGAAAATAAAAAACGTAAAAAATACGCACTACGACTTCAATTTCTCTTCTAAATTATTATTTCAATTTAATCTAAAAACAATTGTTACTTATCGATTTGACATATTTACTGACCTGTGACGTCACGATCAGCGCCATTATATAGAGCAGCGTTTTACGCGCGCTTTTGGCTATTTAAATTTTAACAATTATTTTCACCAAAAATAGAAAAGAATCCAATGAAATATTATGACAGTGTGTTTATAATGTAGCAAACAACGATTTAAAATAGTTTTCAGAAAAGTGTCAAATACCCTATTTAAAACGAGAGTTTGTTGCAACGAGTATTTCAAACAAAATACTACCTCACTCGTGAGGGACTCAACACTATGGTATGGACAATGTCATTCATGTCATTTTGCTGTCATGCGGGTGGCCTGACGTGTGTGAATTTTCGTAAAATAAATGTAAATTTTATTAAAAGTAACTTTGATGCGGAAATGGAATTTGGTTTAATCTAAATAACGTAGTATCGTAGCGTCATATATTTGTTTGAAATTCCCTAACAGGCTCAGGTAATGCAATGGCCATGTGTAAATCGTTGATAAGTATGGATAGATACCGGTCTTTGTCCTCACCTATTTTAGTTCGATATAATGTTCATATTCTCTATTTTTCAGGATGAAGTCCTTGTGCCTCATTTTAGTAGTCTTGCTTGCGCTTAGTGGCAGTTTCGGAGTTGATAGGAATAATTTTAAATCTTGCGATCAGTCGGGCTTTTGTAAACGTCTTAGAGCATTCAAGCCTGAAAGATCTCAGTATGTCGCCGATTTTAGCACTCAAATGCTTCATGACAACATGTTTTTCCTCGACGTTAATATGGTGGACCTAGAGTCAGAGAAAAGAACCGTATTGGTAAGCTTAAACCATGATTTAGCTCACTTGATTTTTGTCATACCTAATACTGCCAATTGGAATCTAGCCAAATAATGATGATGTAATTACATATATTAATGTTTACCTGTATACAGGCAGATATCAACAATATTGTTTGAACACACATGTTTTCAATATTTCATTTAAATATGTTTAAATGAAACATTGAAAACATTTGATACATTGATAACATTGAATACCTCATGATATACTCAAGAAGTAAAATTTGAAGTGTTCATAAGTTTTGAGACAAATTTTTCACTGAAAAATAAAATAAAATGTTACTAGCTGTTATATTTTTTTACCGATTTTGAATTTGGAATGTTAACTTTAATTTATTTGTATTGCAAATTCATTTGTTTATATTTCCTCATGATGGTGGGAACAAAACAATTATGTGCAATTGTCATTTCCCTATTTAAAGCAGGAAAAAAACTGAAGCATGTATCTAGTGAGCTTAAAAGTTTTCCTGCAAGCTTTCCTTTTCCTTTTTTGTCTTCTGCAAGATTGCTAAAGGAGTGGTCGGCCATGCTCTGTGAGGACGCCTGCGATCATCAAAATCATCCAAGAGCAACTTCACTGAAATCCATGTCACACTCAGAAGAAACTCGCTATGCAGAATAAAATTTCGCACGTTTCAGTGAATAGAATACTTGAATATGATCTCAAGATAAAGGCCTACAGCTGTAGAAAAGTTCACTTTTTAAACAATTGTCTTCGTTAGTTATGACACGAATGTTGTTCATTGCTGATGAGGAGACATGATGCCAGGAAGATACTCTCTATGGACGAGAATTTTTTTACTGTCGAAGAAAAGTTCAACCAACAAACAATAAACTGTACACCAAAAGCAGCAAGGATGTCCCAGATTCTGCACGGATTGCTCGCGCACGCATCATCTGGCTAGTGTGATGGTAAGGTGGGAATTTCATATGAAGGTGTCACTCTGTTCCATTTCTGCCAACAAGGTGTCAAGGTGAAAGCCACAAATTATCAGAGTGACATTTTAGAGCCTGTGGTAAAACTCCTGCCTGATAAGTTATTTTACAATAAGGATTGGGTTTTTCAGCAAGACTCGGCGCCATTCCATAAGGCAAAAAGCACCCAAGCTTAGTTGAGGAAGAATGTGCTGGCCTTCATCGCGGCGGACGAGTGCCCTCCTCCAGCCCCGACCTCAACCCGCTGGATTATTCTTTATGGACTGAATTAGAGCTCAGGGCCTGCCGAAAGTCCCACCCAAACTTGGAATCCCTGAAGTGAACCCTTGTTTGAGAAGAAATATTTGTGCCTCCATTGATGACAGGCCAAATTGTCTAAGGGCATGTATTAAAAACATAGGCGGTCATTTTAAATAAAATATGTATTTTATTGTTGATTATTATCTATTTAATGGTTACTGAAAATTTAAGAAATATAAGTTGATTATCAAAAATGTTACACAACTTTTATTTTGCCTCAAAACTTATGAACACCCGATGTAGGTACAATGTATATATCGACGCTGGAAAGCAAACACGTAGTAACCTGCAAAACCAAAATGGATATTTATAATGGAAAATCTTTAGATTTTTCCAAAAAAATATGTCTTATTTTTGTATAAATTGACTAAGGAACACCTTATTTGTTACCATGGACGTTTATAGGAATTATTTATCGAAAAAAATCAAAGTTTTTCTGCTTTGAAGATCAATTTTGGTTTTGCGGGTTACTACGTGTTTGCTTTCCAGCGTCGATATGTACATTAATTACTAACCCAACCCAATAAAAACACATAAGACATTTATAGTTGTAGAAGCTTTATATATTATAGATACAAGCAGTCAATTTTCTTTCTTCATTCTTTGTTAGTCTCTACTATATTATATATTATTTTTTTCACAGTTCCGCTATGTCCTCAAGGTGTCAGGCCTGGTGGATAATACATTCAGAGTGGAGATGGAGGAGGTTAACCCTCTGTATCCACGCTACATCACTCTGTTAGCTTTGAAAGACTCACCAATTGGGGATAAGTAAGTATCTAATTTAAATATTCTGTGTAATCAACAGCACAGGGTATACAAAACAGTCTGATTTCTCCAATAGGATATATTACTGCGACTTTCTGTCGCCAGATTGTAACACTAGCACTCATAGTAAATAGTTTTTAATAAATGTTAAATATTATTTACAAATTAGTGAGCAAAGAGTAAAGTAATAGTGTAAGTATTTAATATTTTTTAATTTTGTTATATTTGGGTGTAAGAATGTAGTGAGTTATAAAAAATATATCTTCTTCTTATATATAAAAATGAATCGCAAAATGTGTTGGTAAGCGCATAACTCAACAACGCCTCGACCAATTTGGCCAAATCTTTTTTTAAAATGTTCGTTGAAGTTCAAGGATGGTTTTTACGGCGAGAAAAATTAGAATTATTGCTGGAAAAACCCTAAAAATAGCCCTTTTCTTTTTCCCATACAAATGATTTGTAACTAAAACGTAGTCAATTTGAGCTTTATTGCTATGGTATAAAGTTCATATTAAATTACAAGCACTCACTGTTGTCTAAGCAATGTAGGTGTGTTCCTAACGTCAAAGATCATATCTATCAAAACAATGTGCGTGTGTGCGTTGGAGCACAGAATACATAGTTGGAGGAGTTCACAACGCCCTATCACCAGGGTGACGGTTCTGTTCAGGAGAATTTTTTTAAATACGTAGGCAAAAAAACTGCCACATTACAAATCTTTTTGACAGGACGAAGTCTGTCGGGTCAGCTAGTATAAATATATAACAACATCACATATATTGCTTAGATCCCAAGATGAGTAGCTAAAGCCCCTGTATTGTGGATTATCTGAGACAACGAAGGTACCACAACACCCAGACCCGAGAAAATACAGAAAAGTTTATTTTCTACATACTACGGGAATCTACCCTCAGAGATGGCAACACCTTGAAAACGGCGTGCGAACCACTCTGCTACGGAAGTCGTCTTCAAAATCTATTTTTCACATCATGAGCTAGTGCTGCCATCTAGAACCTTGTGCTTTGTACTGTTGAAACTGTTTGTGCTTTGTAATAATGATTTACCCATGTTCATGTTCCCTTCTGGTGTCATTCATGTATTATAAATCTTATGTGAGTCCAAGGACTATTTTTTTCTTAAAAGGGAGGATGACAGGGTCTTCTTAATTTTTATGTAAGATCACCAAATAAAATTTTCCACAACCTTCTTAGCTGAGTGGTTGGCGTGCCAGCTTCAAGATACCGTCTCTGGAGGTCCTGGGTTTGAGACTTTCCTATATAATCTCAGGTCTGGGTGTTGTAAATCATTACTTTGCTGTCTCAGATACTCAATAATTGGGGGAGTTTAGTTTCTCATCTTTAAACCTGAGCAATGAATATGATGTTGTCTAATATTTTTCTTTAAGTTAGTATAAGATATGTCTCTTAAGAGTACATGGTTTCTTGCTGTATTTTAGCAAACTAAAGTTGTATTTATGTTTATCAATAATCTGCTCCCAGTTAGTTGAGGTTTGAATATATTAATGTGTGCTAGCTAAATAATAGGAGTAATATCCAATTGTGAGTCTATTATTGTAAGCTGTACTAAGATGCTGCTGTTTTAAAGTTTGAAGGTGATTTCAAAGAAAGATGGCAAGTTAACACTGGCAAACACGAAAGGTCACAGAGTGGTCATCACTGCTGATCCTCTCAAGATTGAGTTTTTGGACAAGAACGGTGAGGTGGCCGTGGTGTTCAATGAGAATTCTCTGATGCACGTAGAGCCATTGGTGACAAAACAAGAACGGACTGATGAAAATGGTGAAATTATACCGGTAAGTGTAATGATAATAAAACAAATCTTTTAATTATAGTCTGTTTCACATGGGATGGGTACGGTGTCGTTTGTTAACAAATAAATTCATGGAAATGTATTTCCAAATGATTAAAAACCATTCTTATAAAAGATAGTTTGATTGTGTGTCTATTGGATGGTTATTGAAATTTGTATATTTAAACACAAACTTTTTATATCCATAATTAATTACTGAAATCTTAACGACTTAAATTTAAAACATCAATACTTAATACATAAACCAAAACATTTTTTTTATAGGGATTGAATCAATAAAATCCTTTTAATCGATAAGTATCGCGGCCCGCGATTGCTGTTGTTAAGCAAATTTTGCAAGCTTCGGTCCCTCGATGGGTGACCAAACTTAGTTATCACGAGCTACTCCGTGTTTCGGAGAGCACGTTAAACACGTTAAGTTGGTCCCGGCTGCATGTGCAGTCGTTAATACCCTCCAATCCGCTTTGGACCAGCGTGGAGGGTCATGGCTTGTGGAAAAGGGCTGCCAATGATGATGATATGATGAACTGTTACGGTGACTCTAAAGACATATAGCCGTTTCTCGATACACAGCCAGTTGCACAAATGTCTATTAGAGTTTTTATTAGTTAAAAGCGACATTGCCCATACAAATTTGACATTCATTACAGCTAAAAGGCGTCATCAAACCTTAATGGACGTTTGTGCAACAGACCGACAGAGAAACAAAAAGTGCACACAGCACATCAGGTTACTCCCAGAATCTTAATTTTTGCTGTACATTTAGAACTCTTAAAGTTATTAAAACTTCAAATCGGACATAAGTTGTACAGCTGGCTTTTGATATCTATGTAATCTTACATACTTGCGCTATTAAGATCATTGGCACTGCCATTGATTATCTGAACGTGACTGACAGTGTTTACAATGGTATCTGCTGATGTAATACATAATCAATATGTAGTATTTGACGTGGATAATAACTCTTACTTGACATTTCAAACTCTATCATATATGTTACAAAGTTGAAATCGCACGTGTTAATAATAATTAATGGAAACGGCTTTGTTTTTAAAATAGCATTGATATCCGTCGCGTGTAGTATAAGTTAAAATCCTAAATTAAAAGTCGCAGGACAACAGACACAGGACAGAAATTAAGAACGACTTAATTTATTTATTATATTATAAATCATAAATGATATTACCACAGAATATATAATATAACCAGTAAGGTAACTAGGAACAAACAATTGGATTCTAATATACACTCTCACAGACGCTTTTACGAGGCATCTAAGCGTTGCAGCGTTGCAGTGCTCTTAGTTATATTTGCCGCGTCAAGACGTTGTTTTTTAGTGTGTGGACAGTCCGCAATTTGAATTAAAAAGCCAATGCCACTAGTGTATTGTTTTGTATAATCGTTGCATAAATTCTTTACAGTCCAATCTTCGCTTTTCAATTGTAGTTACAGTTATGATTAAACTAGCTTTCTCCCAGTATTGCATGGTCTTGAATCACTCTCCATTAAGCATTCTCAGCCTACGCGTACGAACAGCAACTTTGTTTTATACAATGTATAGATTAGAAAAAAAAGTAGGAGTTTATTTTTATTTTAAATTCAATAAAGTTCCGAACAAAAACAAAAACCTCTTAATGTTTACTAATTAAATTTATTTAATTATCACCAAATAAGTAATATTAATGCTCCAACAGAAGATAACTAATTTGAACACCTAAAAAACACATTGACACCCACAAAACATATTCTAAGGATACAAAAACACATTTTACAAAAAAATAAATTTCATTAATAGAACAGACCAAATTTATTTTTGCAAACGCTTCTAAGTGTAATATTGAAAATTAGTTATGTACATAGTATGGCAATAAAACCATTTTTTTTGTAAACCAATTTGATTTTTATATAAAGCGTCATAAATTGAAGTTTTATTGCTTAGCGATATTAATCAGTAATAACAATATGAGCGTTATCGTTTTTTGTGGGTTAAATAAAATCGTTGGTTTCTTTCGTTGTATAACTAGGCCTTATGTTAACTTGGTTTGAATTCTGTTTGATTCAAATCCGACTTTAAATCGATGGCCTCAGCTTATTAAAAACTTATTTGAAAAATTGCAATATTTTATTTCTTAACAGTAGAACTTTATATAAATATTTACACTAACTAACAAATAATGTAAAAGTTAAAAAGCGTTTAGGTACTGATTGTATTTTTTCTTGTATTATGTATCGAATGACCTTAATAGGTTAATGAATCGAAATATCTTGGTAATTATACGTGTTCCGCTGCTTATCGATGCGCTCCACTTATCGTGATTAATATAGAATTAATGAGCTACGTGATCATAAATACGATTTTGGGTACATTCGTTTATCTTGTACTACCAGCGAATTTGCCCGCGTGGTACTGTATTATATACATATATTATACCCTTCCTTTTAAATCACTATATCGATGAATACTCAAGATTTGGCAGTATAACTAAGATGAAAACCGCATTAATATCCGTTGTGTAGTTTAAAAGATCTCAACGGACAGATAGCGGGAAGCGACTTCATTTTATAGATAGTGGACTATAACTTGTGATGTCAACTGTAATTAAAATTAATATAATTATTATCATTTAAGACACATTGTAAATTGCTACATTTGTCTTTATGAACCGCCGATAGATTTATATTGTCAGCCTGATAACTACCGTGAATGATAAGTGATCAAGTAATGCTTGTGATTAATAGGTATTATATAATCTTCTTAATATCTGGCCCTTGGTAATGAGAAAGTATTCAAGTTTTTATTTCTACGTGAAATATGAACAAATAATGAATGTCTAAAATATATTTTGTGGTGACCAAAATAAAACGCTAGGCAAGCAAATTGATAAGTTTCTTTTTTTTTTTAATTTCTCAGTTGCAAAGTGTATTATTATTTTGAAGTCTTAGATTTAGAACAAAATTTGATAATTATTATTATTCGTAACTTGAGCTATGCAGTTCCCTATGGAACTATAGTCACTGCAACGTTAAAGATCTATGTGACTCGCCGCCAGCAAGGCAATTCTGTAAATGTTAGCGTACTTAATTATAGAAAGTAAATCGCGCTTCAACTACTTTTTATGACACGAGCTGTTATGAGATTACAAAACTATAAATATATTTGTCAGCATTAATTAGTAAGGCATATATTGCTCTAATAATATTTAACTATAGGTAGATAGTACAATGGAAAAATGCAAGTTGAGTCTATGAAGATGCGACTATTACGTAAAAAATTTAATTGAGGCTCTGAACTATAGTAGCTCTCTCAGAGCTGATTATCTGTCCTCCCAGATATGTGCTTCATTTGTGGATCAGCGGTCCACACTCACCAGCAGATATTTTAGTGTTTCATGCTCTTGTTTTGCAATATCTGCAAATGTCAATGTCCTTAAATTTCATGAGAAATAGGTGTCTGTTTAATTTGCAGTATCCAGTTTATAAAATGATAATTAATATACTTGGAACAGTCTCGTTGGTGACGTCAAAAGTACGTCAGATTATATTAATCCGTCGAAAGTCTCCATTCGATTTTAAATATTACAGTTTTTGAGGTAGAGTTTGAAATTTCATATATTGTGGTAACCTGACGTGCAGTCATGTGTAACATTTCTATATAAACAATAATTCAATGAATGGTGTTTGTTGTTGACAGGAAGAGGAAGGCACTTGGGGAGAGAACTTCAAATCGCATCACGATAGCAAACCGCGCGGCAATGAAGCCATTTCACTCGATATTGGCTTCCCAGACGCCGACCACGTTTATGGTGAGATATAACTTATAATCATTACTGCACTGTAGTAAGGATGCGGTATAAAAAATATTTTCATAGAGAAATATTCTTAAAAATTCACCTATACCAATTAGATTCAACCCACATTCTCACGACTGAGCGACTGCTGTAACCATTGAGCTACCCGAGACCCGACTGGACTGGCGAATTTTTCAAGTATTTGTAATTTTCGCTACCAGTGAGTGTATTTTCATCAATGTTCAGATAATCCACCCAAACAGCCGAAATAAATATTTAAATACTGGTTAGCCATAAATTGTATTTAAATTGCTTTATACTGGTATAGATAGATAGTTAAGTCATCTGTGCACGCGGCGTGTATTAAGTATGTGTGTGTGAGCTTGTGACACAGCTCTCATTTGTATGACAGTGAAGTTTCAGTCGTCGTCCGAGCAACACAACGTGTTCTTGTCGCTTTTCTGTATGGGTACAGTCGTTATCGAAAATGTCTTGTTTTTCATCGAGATTTTTTTTTGGTGAAATTAAATCGTATTTCATAATTTCCCTTGGTTGAGACTAGCAAATCTGAAAACATATAATTTTTTTTTGGTAGCGAATTTTATCAATAAGTTCAACAAATATGTATTTACCAAATTGACCCAACTGTCACTTATTTATCTATTTTCTTCTCCATTTTTTGTGAAGTAATGTTTATTTTATATTTTTTGTTGTATTATTGTCATAAGTTCGTTTGTCAATAAATGAGTTTTCTTTATTTCTTTCAAATTAAGTTATTTTTAAGAATCCTTTTTATCAAACATAGCAGGTCACTAAAACGTCGTTCTTGTTTTAAAACTATATCTATACTAATTTACAGCTTTTCAGTTATTATTTATTTCAACTACTCATATGTAGATATCCCAGCAGACCTTGTTCTGCCCTATTTCTCTAAAACAAAGTAATCAAAGACAATCCACACGTCTTTATTCTCCTTTGATTGTCGTCATAATTATGTTTGGCAGCTAGGAACAGAGTGGTTCGTGTGGGAAAAGAAAAAAATAAATTATTGTTTTTACTATTTTTCTCGTATTTTTTTCCATAAGAACCTTCTTGAGACTTCATCAAACGCAAAAAAATAGAAATCACCCAAATCGGTATATTTTTTTTAAATTACTTAATTTGTATTGGGCTGTACCTCTATACCCACCACCACTACCCACAAATGCTGCCGCGCGTACATTCAAGCCGAACGTACTGTATAGCGTTTTATCTCTGCACTTAACAGGTATCCCGGAGCACACTGACAAATTGGCGTTGGCGACCACGACATCTGGCGAGCCGTACAGACTTTATAACTTGGATGTGTTCGAGTACGAGTTAGATAGTCGCATGGCCATCTATGGCGCGGTACCTGTTCTATACGCTCACGGGTATGTCTCTCTCTTTTGCTCTTCTTTGACGTTCATTATGTTATTATTATAGATTTATCATGATTTACCATCGATGAATAGCATTCATATATCTATGTATATGTACTTTTATGTAGAGGAAAACTTTTATTCTTTGTTTTTATGTTTATTTGCATTGAATAATTGAATAAGCTCCAACCCTATTGGAGTGATTTCAAAAATGCTTTTACCTACAGGAAGTAACATAGATAGATAATTCAATTATTTGCATCACAAAATCAGCACATATGCATTTTAAATTCTTTACAACAAAAAAATAATTATAACTAATTAAAATATTATTATAATAATTAAAATATTTATAACATTTATATCATCGCGGGTCGGAGACTATATTTTACGCGTGCGAAATTGCGGGAAAACAGGTAGTACAAAATATAGAGTAATCAAAACAACACCGAATGTGTCATTATTTTTGACTCCTCTATATACACATGCCGCATGCTAATTCTATTAAATATTGTTTTAATGTCACACTTCGTTGACGCTATCTTTAACGCGTGACGTGATTAATGGCTAATCCCTTAGTACAATAGTGTATTCTACTCTGTTGGATATAGTACTCGTAAAAATATTCGTAATGAAAAATGTCCATGGCATTCTGGATGGGATTTTTCATTAAGATTTTTAGTATACTTACGGTCAGTTGCACAAACGTCCATTATGTTTTAAAGACACCTTTGAGCTCTTTTGTGCAACTGGCTGTTAGCATTGTGAATTCACAATTGGTCAACTATAATAAATAGTACTAGTATGTTTAATGTAAAAAAGCCATTTTATAAAACAAATATTTTGGAAATATTCACAAGTTTTCTTGCCTTAAAATGAAATCAAACTTAAAATTATTCATGACATCATTTCGATATGTATACAAATAAGATGCATTGGTAATAGATTAAATATGTTAATAAAACAAGAACAGTGCCATCTAGCAATCGACTACGAAATATAAAGATATACAAGTTAAGGACAGTGCCATCTAAGAATTTGATTTGTAACAAATAGATATATATTTAGGGCTAATCTGATAGATGTTGCCGGAGTGACATGACACTATGGCGGACCGTGTTTGAAGTCACGTGACACAGCCAAAAAAATCTCTACTTTTAATTTTATGATAAACATGCTAGTTTATGACTCAAAAACGGGATCTCTGTGTTTGTTAAAATGTAAATTTTAGTTTTTTGTGCAATTTTTATTCTTATGTTCCAGCTTGAAGCGAACGGTGGGTGTGTTCTGGCACAATTCAGCGGAGACGTGGGTGGACGTGGCCAATATAGCGGATGGTACAGTTGTTTCCTCACTGGTCAACCTTGTTACAGGCGGACAGAAACGTAGAGTTGACACCAGGTCAGTCATCATCATCATCAGCCCTTTTACGTCCCCACTGCAGGGGCTCAGGCTTTCCTTATGGATGGCTAAGGAGGATGGGCCATGACCCTCCACGCTGGCCCAATGCGGATTGGAGGGTATTAACGACTGCAAATGCAGCCGGGACCAACGACTTAACGTGCCTTCCGAAGCACGGAGTAGCTCGAGATAATAATTTTTCGGTCACCCATCCCGTGACCGACCCTTGCGAAAGTTGCTTAACGACAACGATCGCGAGCCGCGGCGCCACCATAAACCAGGTCAGTATATAGAGAAAACTGAAAGATGTTTATACCTGCCTTTAGTTTCTTTAATTTTTTTAGTGTAGAATGAAATGAAATGCTCGCTGATGTAGAATGAAACGGCTTTACGGTTAAGTGTGGGGAAGTAGTTGGAAGGCTCAAAAGCACCAGGGGGGTTGTGCTTCCAGCTACTTCCCTATCTAGCTACTTTCCCTTCCAGCTTCAGGTAAAAATGAAGAAAACTAGAGTTAAGCTTCAAATGTATTTGTGTTAAAAAAACATATTCAGGGTGTGCTCATCATCAGCTGTAAGACGTCCACAGCTGAGCATAGGCCTGTTTTTAAAATTAAAAAAAAAATTAATGTATAAAAAGAATCCATTATCCAAAAAGCCCAAATGTTCCTGCGTTTCATATTATAGTTTTTCGGTGCCGGGTGTTATTTTGTAGTTATATAGAAATGTGCATATTCTCTATTGTTGAGTTTTTAATGTTTGTTGTGATTATGGGCCCTATCAGAATAACAGCGCCTCTGTGTCATTTTGCCCATCTTGAAATGGCACAGGGGCCATCGCTGAGATAGGGTCCATGTTGACCACTCTGTTACTACATGAAAATGTTGTATTTTTTTTTTATGTTTGTATTTTTTTTTATTTTTTACTTCCTTTTTCTCTTATACATTATCATTGTATCTGTTCATGTAAGTTATGGTCAATAAACTTTCTTTCTTTCTTTGATTACAGATTCATGAGCGAGTCGGGTTTGATAGATGTGTTCATATTTATGGGTGATAGTCCCTCCGACGTGTTTAGACAGTACACGAGACTCACTGGAGCTGCGCCTATACCACCGGTAAATATATTTAATCGTAATGAGCGCCAACGTTTTTATCGCTAACCAGATGGCGCGACAGTCGCGTTTGTTTACTTCGGGCGTGAACTCGAGGTGATGTTTTATGAAATTAATACTTTCAAATCAATTTTAATTCTAAGGCTATGCTAATAACATAATATTTGCTAAATAAAAATATTTTTATGAAAATTTAACATGATCGATTGCTTGTTAAAAATAGAAACATAAATTTCAATATTTGGCTTATTGGAAAAAATTGCAGTGATTACTTTAAACAGATTTTTTTGGATCGAATTTACGGCTAGTATATTTAATTTTAACTATAAAAAATATATTTACAAAAATACTAGGGTTTTGATATATTCTTTTGATCACAATACAAGGCACATAAGTTGAACCAAAATGGGACTGCGTAGTAGTACATTTTCGCCTCTCAATCTAGGTGCAAGGCGTAACCATAGCAACGCAGTATACCTTCGATCCTATTAGAGAGTGGCTAATAAAGAGAAGTAATTCAGTCACTCTGCTTGAAGTATCTTGTATTTGTTAGGTTAGGTGCCTTTTTAGGTTAGTACAGTAAGTTTCAACTAATATGACATCGCAGGCATAATTAAAATTTATAGTGAGTTTTGTTTCAATAATCATAAGGTATAAAATACAAGGCATAAGGTGTCCTCGGACTTCAAGGGGGTTAGGCACTTGGATATTAGTGGATCACGCGATGTTGTGATACTTGTATCATTCTGATTGATCGACATTTGCCACGCTTCGAAATGTAACTTTCTATAGATATATTTAATTGTTTTTTATTAGTGTGCAACGAAGATTATTATTCGTATTCACCGAATAGTGTATTTAGTATTAGTTAAAGTAGTATTTATTGACATAATTAGATTTTATATTGTATGTACAGTTTTGAAAATTAAAGAGCTGTTTTGTTTTTATCATAGAAATTCTCTCTCGCTTACCATCAATGCCGCTGGAACTATGTGGACGAAGCGGACGTGCGCGGTGTGGACGATAACTTCGATACTCACGACATACCCGCCGATGTCATCTGGCTAGACATCGAGTACACCGACAGGAAGAAGTATGTATACTCATACTCGTATATACTCATACTCAAACATATTTATACCACGACTTTGATATTATGTACGACATATATGCCGACGTCATCTGGTTAGACGTCGAGTACAGTGATAGGGAGAAGCCGGTAAACTCATACTCATATATACTCATATGACAACTATGATACTCACATCTGGCAAGACACTGCGAAACGAGGAAAACTAGACAAAAAAATAATTCTAACCTTATTATATACTAGCTTTCGCCAGCGGCTTCGCCCGCGTGGACCCTAAGGAAATGTTTAGTGGGATAAAAAGTATCCTATTATCTAAGTCATCTAATACCCTATCTGTATACCAAATTTCATCAAAATCCGCTCAGTAGTTTTGGCGTGATTGGCGGACAAACATCTAAACATCCAAACAAAGAAACTTTCACATTTATTATATTAATAGGATTAATAGGATTGAAATACTATCCATTAAGGACATTCAAATAATGACATGTTATATTCTTAGCAATATTACATACAGTATGTAATATGAAATATTACTAATTGTTAATAAAAATTAACAATTGGTTACTTTTTGTATGTCTACTTGAACCAGACTATAAGTACTAATTTATCACTATAATAATCAGCTTTTTTTTCTGTTTTTATTAATATTTAATACATTCTTTTATATCAACAGTGATGTGAATATGATTATAAAAGCTCATTATCAATTCAAGGTATTTCACATGGGACGTAGAGAAGTTCCCTCATCCCGCACAAATGGTGGCCAACCTAACAGCTAAAGGGAGGAAGTTAGTAGTAATCATAGATCCACACATCAAGCGGGAGGCGGGATATTTCCTGCACGAGGACGCCACCGAGAAGGGATACTATGTTAAGGACAAAGACGGAAAGGATTATGAAGGTATTGAACTTAATTTTATCAAATATTCAATTAGTTGTCATCATTTAAAGTCTGTTAATGTCCCCACTTCTGGGTCATAGGCCTTCCATATGGGTGGTATTTGAGATTCAGAAAATACAAATACTTATTGAAAAATATGAAATTGATATTTACAAAACGTACAGAGCCAATCTTTCCCCTTTTAATATACTAATATTATAAAGACGAAAGATTTGATTGTTTTTTTGTATGCACTAAATGTATGCGGCATTAGGGAACTTAGTAGCTCGGTGGTGTAGTGTACAAGCACCGCGGCTCGCGATCGTTGTCGTTAAGCAACTTTCGCAAGGGTCGGTCACGGGATGGGTGACCGAAAAATTAAAATCTCGAGCTACTCCGTGCTTCGGAACGCACGTTAAGCCGTTGGTCCCGGCTGCATTTGCAGTCGTTAATACCCTCCAATCCGCATTGGGCCAGCGTGGAGGGTCATGGCCCATCCTCCTTAACCATCCATAAGGAAGGCCCGACTCCCTGCAGTGGGGACGTAAAAGGACTAATGATGATGAATGCACTAAATAAGCCCTAAAATAACTGGACTGATTTTTTAAATTTCTTTCCCCCACAGGTAACTGATTTTAATATTTTAATATCCTATTGTTTGTAATTGTACATTTAATCTAATGTTTATTCTAATATGTAGTCATGTGATTAATTATTCTATTTTATTGTCCAATGTGCATGCGCCGAACAAATGAATTTGAATTTTAATTTGAATAACTGCGGCATAGGTAAAGCAGCTAGCTAATAAATAGAAAAAAAAAAATAACGGAATATTGTAATATTAGGTTGGTGTTGGCCCGGTTCCTCGTCTTATTTGGACTTTTTCAATCCTGAAGCGACTCGGTATTATTCTGAGCGATACAAGTTCGAGAACTTCCCGGGTACCAATAAAGACGTACACATATGGAACGACATGAACGAGCCCAGCGTGAGTTGATTATGTTATACACACTTATTAATAAGAATCTTTTAGCCGTTGTCTAATATGGTTTTTGAATAAGTTTGAAAAATAGTTTTTTTAATAGTTTATTACATTATAAGTAAATTACATTAATAAGAAATTTACTGTATTTATCAATAAATCACAAAGTTAAAGTTTAAATTTCCGGAACCGCGCGAAAAACACTGTCTGCCATACGCCGCCATTACGCCGCGTATGATGTCACACGCTAGTAAATAAACAAACTTCATCATACTTAAATCTTCTACAGAAAGTCATAATTACTAGCGTTTGATGTTATAGATGTTGCAACCACTTTCGATATCGTCTCAAATAAAATAACAAAAAATAATTAATTTTATTTTCCATTCCTAATTATTTCTATTAACCATTTCTACTTAAAAATATTCTACATAATAAATTTTATGGTACTAATTTAGAAAATCTTACGCTTTGTAAACTTGAAAAAAGTAGAGAAAATATATATTACAAAAATTTGTTAAAATACATTTGTATAAAACGTAAAAACTTTCATTATAACAACTATAAACATAAACGTGCAAATAACAAACATATTACAAAGATTGCCCAGACGCCCATTTTTTTCGCTACCATAGCACTCTGTGACGTCACTTAGTGGCTTGGATTTGTAGGACGAGCAGCAGTTCCACAAACATAGCACCGTATCTCCGAAACTATTGATCGAAGACATTTTGTTACTTGTACATAATTTCTCAGATAACTTGCCGATTCCTTGAGGATGAGCAATGTATTTGATGTCTCATATATTTTATTTGATACTAGCTTTCGCCAGCGGCTTCGCCCGCGTGGACCCTAGGGAAATGTTTAGTGGGATAAAAAGTATCCTATTATCTAAGTCAGCTAACACCCTATCTGTATACCAAATTTCATCAAAATTGTTTCGGCGTGATTGACCGACAAACATCCAAACAAACTTTCACATTTATAATATTAATAGTGTACGGTTCCGTACAATTTTGCCTTGTTTACATAATTATTGAGGTCATCATTCACTTTACGTTATTGATTATTATATTAATAAAATGAGTGCGAATTTAGCAACCGTGTATAACTAACGTCCAGTAACAACCACTTTAACTTACTTTACTGTGTACGTGAATAAATGGTGTTAAATTATCTCAAGATTTCATCTTTCTGCACTCCACAACTCTATATAAACAATAATACTCCAGTAATTACAATACCCAACTAACATCGTCTGTACAGCATTACAAACTGTACATTGTGGTCCTTCGAGGAAGAACAGGGGGTAAGTGTTTATTGCTTTCCATTTGCGATAGCGAATCGGTTTGACTGGCCTCCCACAAGCGGGTCTCACCAGTTCAATTGAGAAGGCGCAAATATCGTTCTTGGATTTCAAAGCATTTATCCACCTATAAGCGACTATCGAAGTCACTTATTTTAACTTACTTACTATCTAAATTTAACTTAATCTAACGAGATGGAACATCTGAAGATACAAGTAGCAACCTTCGAGAATATCAAGTCATTGTGTACTAACTACAAAAAAGACAGTGCTTGTAGAAAAACCGAAAGTTACTTAGAACAACGTTTAACCAACCTGGAAAAACTATGGGGAGAATTCAACGAACGCCATGCAACAAAACTAGTACCTATTGAAAACAAAGAAAGTATTAGCTATTTCGTAACGAATACTTATGAAAAAACTAAGCAGATGTACGAAAGTACTAAAGCACATATGGAGAATTTATTATCAGTCCTACGAAGACAACAACAAAACATCGACGTTGATTTAACTACTCTGATTGAAGATAAAACTGATGAGAAGACTAAAGAACTTATGTTACAACAAGAAGCGAGATTTAAAGCTTTGAATAGAACTATGAAGAAGATTAACCTAGAATTCATCACAGAGAAGTGGGAATTAGAAGACTACTTATCGACGTTGAAAACTAAGTGGGATAATATTGAAAAAACTCACTGGGAAATAGAAGGTATTATTAAAGATCAGAGCTTAAAAGAACAATATAACCAGAGGTTTGAAGACATTGAACAAAGGTATGACGATGTAAGAAAAACATTAAACAGCAAAATGTGGTCAAATGTTCATTATCAACGAGCAACGCCACAGATAGAAATTCCTGAGTTTTCCGGAAACTATATTCAGTGGATATCTTTCAAAGATATTTTTTATGAAGCCATACATAGCAACCCTACAATTCCGAAGTCTCAAAAAATGCAACATTTAAAAACGAAGCTAAAGGGTGAAGCCGAACGTCTTATCCAGCATCTATCTATAAACTCTGATAACTACGATTCGTGTTGGGAGATACTGACACACCGATATGATAATCGTCGTCTACAGTTTACATCATTCCTGAACACCATGCAGAAACTACCTGTGATTCAACAACCGAATGCGTATAACATCAAAAGAATATACGATAATATAACCGAAAGCTTAAACGGTCTCAACAACATGGGAATTGATGTGTCGAGCTGGGGACCGATTATTGTACACTATATGTCACAAAAATTGGACACGATAACATTTAATGAATATATAAAGGATATGCAAAATAACAGAGAATTACCTAATTTACAAGAGTTTTTATTATTTTTAGAAACCAAATTTATAGCTTTGGAAACAATGAAGAACTGTCAAATGGATGCTTTGAACCAACAACAACGAGTACTGAACAAAAGTTATAATAAACCACCAAACAAAAATTATTTTGGGAAAACCAGTAACAACTATAAATCTTTTAACAACAACAATAACTATACGAAGAAATCGACCTTATATGAAGGTAACAGAGAAGCTACGAAAACATTTCATACGTCATATGGACAATGTCCTCTATGCGACGGCGATCATGTGTTGATGCAATGTGATAAGTTTATTAACCTGGACAGCGCACATAGAAACAAAACAGTCGCAAAACTCAAAGTCTGCAAAAATTGCCTCTATAGTCACGGCGACGCAAACTGCACGTCGGTGAAAACATGCAAGGAATGCAATGCTAAACATCACACATTGTTGCACGTGAATATGAATAAATTTAACTTAGAAATATCAGGGAAAAATTTAGGTAATAACATGCATCCTAAACCCTCTACATCAAGTCAACAAGGGGTCCATCATTTATCTTCAAAGGATACGGAAATTCTTCTAACTACCGTTCAAGTCAAAATAAAATCAATAAATGGCACTTACATAACGATGCGAGCACTTCTCGATCAAGGTTCCCAGGTCAACTTAATAACGGAAAATGCAGCTCAGCAACTTCGACTTCCTAGAGAAAAACTGCATGCTACAATAGCGGGAGTGGGGTCCGTAGCCGGAAGCTGTAAAGGCCGCTTGAATATAGATTGTAAATCCATATACTCTGATTACAATTTTGAGGTTCAAGCACTCGTCCTTAAAAAGCTAACAAACAACCTTCCTAACTACACTATGAAAAAAGTTAACTGGACGCACTTACAAAACTTGAAACTCGCTGATCCAGATTACAACGTATCAAGCTCTATCGATCTTCTGCTCGGAGCTGATGTTTACTCGAACGTCCTTCTGGATGGAGTTTTAAAAGGAGGTCCAGGCCTACCAACCGCTCAACAAACTCATTTAGGGTGGATTTTATGTGGTAAACTGAACACGTATCGCTGCTACGCGACTCTAGTTGATACAAATGACTTATCCAAATACTGGGAAAGTGAAGAAATAACTCAGCAATCTTCAGAAATCAATCAAGAAGATCAGTGTGAAATATACTACAAAGAAACTACTAAAAGAGGTCCCGATGGAAAATATATAGTAAAAATGCCTATGATTCAAAATTTTCAAGGAAAAATTGGAAAGTCAAAACCTACAGCAATTTCACAATATCTTCAACTAGAAAAACGTTTAAAAAAGAATGAAAAATTATCACTTATGTATAAAGATTTTATGAACGAATATTTACAACTACAACATATGAAACCAACTAAGTCTCCAATTACGTCACATAGCAACAAAAATGAATGTTTCCTTCCGCATCACGGAGTATTAAGGGAGAGCTCAGAAACTACCAAACTACGAGTCGTTTTTAATGCTTCGCAGATAAATTCGAGTGGAAAGAGTTTGAATAGTTTAATGGAAAAAGGACCTAACCTACAAAAGGATATTCAAGATCTTATCCTTAAATGGAGAACTTATAAATACGTTTTTACAGCAGACATCGAAAAGATGTACAGATGCATATGGATTAATAAGGAACAACAACATCTCCAAAAAATTATTTGGCGAAACTCCACTGATGAGATGTTACAAGAATATGCCTTATGTACTGTAACATACGGTACAAAATGCGCTCCATGGCTAGCAATGCGAACACTAAAACAACTCGCGACAGATGAGAGCCATAAGTATCCAGACGCCGCAACGATACTAGAAAACGAGTGTTATGTCGATGACGTCATCAGTGGCCATAACGAATTAGAAACCGCCAAAAAGCTCCAAACCGAACTTATAAACTTATTGCGTAATGGAGGTATGAACCTACGGAAGTGGTCGAGCAATAACAAAAAATTACTAGAACAACTAAGCGAAGATCAAATTTCAAAAACTAATTTTGACTTTAAACAAGAAGATTCCATGAAAACCCTCGGACTAGGTTGGAACTCGAGCTCAGACACTTTTACATTTAACTGGAAACTGAAAGAAAATTGCAGGAAATTTTTAACTAAAAGGATTTTACTTTCTGAAATATCTCAACTTTATGATCCAATGGGATGGCTGTCTCCGATAACTATATCAGCTAAACTAATCTTTCAACGCGTATGGACTGAAAAAATAGAATGGGACGAGCCACTACCTTTAGATATACAAAAAAATTGGATGAAACTGAAAAATGAACTACCAGAAATAAAAACCATAAAACTTCAAAGATGGATCGGGAGCCATAACAAAAATATCGAGTTATTTGGATTTTGTGACGCCAGCGAAAAAGCCTTTGCTTGCGTAATATACACTAGGACAACGAACGAACTCGAACAGTCACTTATTACTCTACTTACAGCGAAGACTAGGGTTGCCCCACTCGCACAAAAATTATCACTGCCAAGACTCGAACTCTGTGGTGCATTATTGCTATCACGACTAATTGACAAGGTCACTAAGGCACTTAAGGGATTTAACATTACAATCTGGGCTTGGTGTGACTCTAAAGTAGTACTGGCATGGCTACAAGGAGAAGCATCGAAGTATGAGAGATATGTGGAAAACAGAGTACTGAAAATCAAGAAGGTGATACCAGCCGCGCGATGGTCATACATCGAATCGAAAAACAACCCCGCAGACTACGCAACTAGAGGTTTATACCCAAAGAAATTACTAAACAACCCGTTATGGTGGACGGGTCCTGAGATGTTAAAAACTTTCAAGATGACTGATATGGAAAAATCACCAAAGTGTTTATTTTCTACAATAATTGAAGAAAAACAAGTAGTGACAACCCTAGCGCAAACAGAAAATAATATAATTATTAGTTTATTGCTCGAACACAGTTCATTAACACGGGTGACGCACATTATCGCTTGGATTTTGCGATTCTGCAATAATGCTCGTAACAATAGAATAATGAAGAAAAATGACACCAGTCTGCACACGCTTCGATTATATTTAAATACAAATGAATTAAATAATGCTATGTGTATAATAACAAAGAATGTTCAGAGATATGAATTTGAAACAGATTACAATTTACTATTGAAAAAACAATCTTTACCTAACAAGAGCTCTATTTGCAAATTAAACCCTTATATAGATAAAGAGGGTATACTGCGTGTGGGTGGTCGATTAAATAAAACCAACTTTCCTGTAGGCATGAAAAATCCTGCAATACTTTCGAAAAATGGAAGATTAACAGTACTGATTATAAACCATGCTCACATTATGACACTTCACGGAGGCGCACGACTCACTCTCGCCTATATTCGTCAACAATTTTGGATACTCGGCGGAAACCGAGCTGTAAAAACAGAAATACGCAAATGCGTCCGCTGTCATCGTTTCAAGCCAATGGAAAACCACCAAATCATGGCTGATCTTCCACCACAAAGAGTCACTCCATCGCGACCCTTCACTCATACGGGAGTTGATTTCACTGGACATGTGGATGTCAAACTAAATAAAGGTAGAGGTGTCAAAACGTCAAAGGGCTATATTGCTATATTTGTGTGTATGGCAACTAAAGCAGTACACATCGAGCTCGTGTCGGACTTAAGCACAGAAGCTTTTATCCTTGCCTTTCAAAGAATGTGTGCGAGACGAGGAACTCCACAACATGTTTACTCCGACTGTGGAACTAACTTCATCGGAGCTTCCAGGATGCTCAACAACGAATATGAACTTTTTAAAACAGAGCTATCAACGGATTTTTTTCACGAAATCAACAAAATGAAGGTGGAATGGCACTTCAACGCTCCTGCCTGGCCGACTGCCGGGGGCCTATGGGAAGCTGCTGTGCGGTCGATGAAACATCACCTACGTAGAATTCTAGGCGATCAAAAGCTCACATATGAGGAGTTTTCGACGTTGTTAACGAAAATAGAAGCTGTTATGAACTCAAGGCCGCTTGGCCCTCTTACTGAGGACCCTGATGAGTTCTATCACTACTTAACTCCTGGTCACTTTCTTACTGGCAGCGCTACTATGACGCTTCCAATATCTGACTATGAAGATGACCGACATTTCAACCTACGAAAAAGATGGCAACTTACTGAACACATGTACCAACGATTTTGGAAAATTTGGTCCAACGATTATCTAACTTCTTTGCAAGCTCGAAGTAAATGGCGAAAACCAACCCTGAACATAAAAGAAGGCGACATTGTTTTAATAAGAGAAAACAATTTACCCCCAGGGAAATGGGCCATGGGCAAGGTGACTGAAGTTCACCCAGGTAGCGATAATCATGTACGAGTAACAACTATAAAAACCCAAGTTGGCGTTATAAAACGGCCCATTACAAAACTGTCATTACTACCAATCGAAACTAACAACTAACAAACGGACGGTTCAGCAAAATCACGAAAACAAGGCCAATATTACTCATACAATAAATAAACAATAAAGCTGAAATAAAGTAAGACTGCCACCATGTTCATTACGCTTCTAATAATACTTACATTTGTCATGGGATCAAACTGCTCCCTAGACGACAAAAAAGGAAACGTTCAGATCATCAACCTTGGAAAAGAGCGACCGATATATTATGACACAATTGGAAAAGTACAACTCATTCATGATGAGTGGAGATTATTAATGTACTATAACCTCACCACATACTGGAATGGCCTTGAAAAACTTGATAATTATCTTCAAGAACTTCAAACTATATGTGAAAAATTGGATCCGAGATACTGCAAAACGAACCTTCATCAACTTTCGCATGAAATGGAAACATTACGTCACTATAATGACATCTTGTTGGCCCCGCACAAGCATCTTTCTGGTCGAAATAAACGTGGTTTGATCGACGGCGTAGGCTATGTAGCGAACAGCCTATTTGGATTGCTCGATCAACAATTTGCAAAACAATATGAAGCAGACATACAAACCATACAAAATAATGAAGCTCATCTCGTCAAATTGATTAAAAACCAGACCTCCATCATCGAGCTGGAAAACAAGATTTTAAAGAGGAATGAAGAAAACATTAACAGACAGTTTACCGTTATTAATGACTTCATGAACCAAACTGACATGAGAATAGCAAGCATCGAGTCTGAAATTGAGATAACTATGGCTACAAGCTTTTTAAGTTCAGCTTCACTCACAGCATATCTACTACTCACAAACTTGAAAAATATTCAAGAGACGCTGTACGACAGTCTAGTTGACATATACAAAGGCCATATGAACGTCGAATTACTTACTCCAGTCAACTTGATTGAACAACTAGATCGAATATCAGGAAGATTACCGAAAACATTGGCATTACCTATACAAAATATGCAAAACGATATAAAAGACTTATATAAATTGATGTACGTGAGAGCTCGTATTACCAACAATTACTTTATGTTCGAGATTCATATACCACTGGTCAGTGACGAAGAATACACAGTATATCAAGTTATACCGCTTCCCTTGAAAAAATTACCTACAGAAGATGCAACTTTAATCAAGATTTCTTCTAAATACATTGCCGTGAATTTGGAAAAGAATATTTACACTATCTTGAGTGAAAAAGATATGAATCATTGCATTCAGCGTAATCCCAACAACTATGTTTGTATTTTAAACTTACCTGTTTACAACATACAAAACTCGAACGCGCCGTGCGAAGCTAAGTTAATAGGTCATCAAACGACCTCACCTTGTACTGGACAGAAAATGAAATGCGAAGCTCACTGGATCGAGTTACGCGCAACAAACACATGGCTGGCTGTCTGCTGCGATTTATGCACATTTCGAACTGTGTGTGCTGATGACGTCAGATCTATCGTCATAAACGCGTCATCAATAGTGACACTCAGAGAAAGATGTCTTATCCAAACAAAGGATCTAACCATCTACTCCCATAACAACTACGACAGTCAAGCTAGAATTGATTACAATATCGAAATGCCATACTTGAATAAATCAATAAATAGCATTATTGGAGCACACCGAACATTTCATTTGAATATCACTGAAGATACCATTATTGATGACGTCAAAAATGACTTGGAAAGTTTAAAACAAAAAGAAGCGCTTCCAAATGTTATTGCGACACACGATATTCATCAGTTTGTTATATGCTATTTACTATTGGCAATAATAGTAATAACAATATTAATATGGATTGTTAAGAAACGTAAAATATGCACCAAAAAATCTCCTAAAGCAAAACTACATCATTATGAAGACGTGGAAAGGCAGACACCAAGCTCTAAGTCACCACAACGGGTCCAGCTCCAAGCCCCTGCTGTGCCAGATTTGACAAGCAAACAGTCGCGCAGACTGCCACATACTTCATCGTCGGGAGCGTTCGGACGCGGAACTTACGCGAGGCCCGACACCCGTCGAGCATCGAACTCGTTAGCGGATGTGCAATTTAATTTTGAAAATTAATTTTTATATTTTTAAATTAACTTCATTTTTACATTAATTACTTTTATATATAGTATAGTGTACTTACTTTGCTTACTTTTATTTACATTAATAATTGTATTTTACTTTAAAAGTGGTTTTTACAGATATTTTTTTCGTTTTTTTTATATTTTTCTTTTCGGGTTGGGAATATGTACGGTTCCGTACAATTTTGCCTTGTTTACATAATTATTGAGGTCATCATTCACTTTACGTTATTGATTATTATATTAATAAAATGAGTGCGAATTTAGCAACCGTGTATAACTAACGTCCAGTAACAACCACTTTAACTTACTTTACTGTGTACGTGAATAAATGGTGTTAAATTATCTCAAGATTTCATCTTTCTGCACTCCACAACTCTATATAAACAATACTACTCCAGTAATTACAATACCCAACTAACATCGTCTGTACAGCATTACAAACTGTACAAATAGGATACATAACTTATAGGTATTCAACGGCCCTGAAATTACAATGCCTAAAGACTGTCGCCATTGGAAGGAGCCACAGGAAGGTGTTGAAGGTATCGCATCCTACTGGGAACACAGGTATGTGTAATACAGACTAATCACGGCTCAAATAACTTCATATAGTATTCAATTCTCACTAGAGGAAGGACTTTAACCTAAACTAACGTGCACTTTTTATATGTGGATTATAGTATTGGTCAGAGTTTGCAAAAATCTGATACTTATAATAAATATTCGATATTTATCGGATATTCGATTAGATCTGTCGCCGACAGCCTTATCATGTTTTTGATATATTATTACTGGCCTCTTTAAGGAGGCTTTTATACTTATTTTTGATTTATATTTTTTTACTTTGTCAATGTTTCTTCTTGTACCTTGTGTTTTTGTACGTTGTTCATTAATAAATCTTTTTCTTAGCTAAAATTAATCTTATTAAATTATTATCTACAGTCCATTGGTTTTGCTGTCAATTACAAGATCTTTTAAAATTTCTGATAAGTAAGATTGTTACTTCAGGCCAGTTTTGCCAGCCTAACATCGGGTTGGTTAATGTTCTAGCTGACACTCAATACTCAAACTAACAATAAATCTGATAAATATCAATTCATTTATCAATCGGACAGAAAAAAGCAATAATTATTTTCTAGATTAATTTCAAAATGCATTTCAATTATAAATTTACTCTGCAATATTATTTTCTTTACTAATAAATGTTGTATACGAAAAAATATTTTCATAAACAGACACATACACAATGAGTACGGTCTATGGAACATTCGAGCGACTCACCAAGGGATGTTGGACCGCTCTGACAAGAAATACCGGCCTTTCATACTCACTAGGTCTGCTTTCGCGGGCACTCAGAGGTAAGATTTTATTTATCTATATTAAGTATGTAACAAGTGGATCAGTCGCGTAGTGGATAAGCGCTGTGACCCGCGATCGTTATTGTTAAGCAACTTTCGCAAGGGTCGGTCACGGGATGGGTGACCAAATTTTTTTTTATGTTGAGCTACTCCGTATTTGGGAAGGCACGTTAAGCCACTGCTCCCAACTGCATTTGCAGTCATTAATACCCTCCAATCCGCATTGGGTCAGCGTGGAGGGTCATGGCTCGTCCTCCTCAGCTACATATGAGGAAGACCTAAGCCCCTGCAGTGTGGACTTAAAAGGGCTGATGATGTATGTATGTAACTATCCACTCGCTCCGATTTGTAGGCACTATCCATTTATGACAGTAGTTTTAAAATTTTCAGTCATTTGACTATAATAGCAACTGCTATTATGATTTTCATAATAAATAAACATAATTTTACTGATCATAAATATATCTAATGTCTAGCATACCATTATTACTTTTAGGTATGTTTTAAAAAAAACTTCCTATCTTGTTTTTTATCACGTTTTTATAAAGTGAATGTTTTTCTTTCATATTTATTTTCCATATAGCTCAATATTAACAAAATTGTTCTTTTCCATAAAATCATGCAATAAATGAACGATCCAATAGTTTTAAAATTATTTTAACAATATTCTAGAGATTATTCATAAATATTTCAATAACCTCCGTAGCCGAGTGGTTCGCACGTCGGTTTCGAGGTTGCCTGGAAGAAATTACTTTTTAGTAATAAGGACGCCAATTGTTCATTTAATTTAATTGTATGCGATTGTTTTGCCCTGTATCGGTGTACAATAAAGTATATTTCATTCATTCATTCATTCAAGGTGTCGCCATCTCTGAGGTTCCGGGTTCGAATCCCGGTCGGGTCAATGTAGAAAATGCATTTTCTCTATTGTCTCGGGTCTGGGTGTTGTGGTACCTTCGTTGTCTCAGATATTCCATAATACGGGAGCTTTAGCTACTCATCTTGGAATCTGAGCAATGTATGTGATGTTGTTTAATATTTATTTATTTATTTTATTTTATTCCAAATACACTATCAATTAATAAATTATTTATCTCTCGCCTTTTGTGCTATCTATACTTTCTATTTTCATATGACGTCACGCGGGTGTTATTAAGATGAGGTTTCAACGCGTTAGCAATTTACGGGACTTATACCAACTCATATACTATTTTTAATGTTATTCTATATATATAACTTAAAGGTGACTGACTGACATAGTGATCTATCAACGCCCAGCCCAAACCAATGGACAGATCGGGCTGAAATTTGGCATGCAGGTAGATGTTATGACTTAGGCATCCGCTAAGAAAGGATTTTGCTCAATTCTACCCCCAAGGGGATAAAATAGGAGATGAAACTTTATTTCAGGTATTTTACACGATATAATGATAAATATTCGTTAGAAATGCTACTCAAAGTAACTTTACCACGCGGACGAAGTCGCGGTTAAAAGCTAGTTTATATATATATTTTCATTGTAGATACGCGGCCGTATGGACGGGCGATAATGCGGCAGAGTGGGGGTTCCTGGCTGCCTCTGTGCCCATGTGCCTATCCCTCGGTATAGCCGGCATCAGCTTCTGCGGATCAGACGTAGGAGGATTTTTCAAGTATCCTGAAGCTGAGCTGATGACGCGATGGTATCAGGTAATACACAAAAAATTATTAGTTTAGAAGATTAGAGATGATTAGAAGATTAGAATTTATTAGAAGTAAGAAACTATTAAAATTTATTAAAATTGTCATTAGTTTAAAGCGACATTACCCATACAAATTTGACATTCATTAGAGCTTAAAGGCGTCATTAAATCTTAATGAACGTTTGTGCAACTGGCTGTATGTATAGTATATAAGAAATAAGGGATAAAAAAAGATTAATCCCGAGTAAGGTAAAACATACCTTATGTTAAAAAATAAAAACAGGACTAGCAAAAAAAAAACATAAAAGAGCAGAAAAGATAGCCTGCTGAGTGGGGAAAACGTATTTAAAAAAAACACTAAAATTAGCCATAAAACCGGCGAGTATGTAAAAGAAATGAAAGTGGAGGTAACGAAAGATGTATGTGAGGTGGTGGTAGTAATCTCTCCGTGGAATCAAATAGGAGGCACTTATGCCTGTTTTCACTAAACTTAGGAGTCGCGCAAATCTGTCGCCTAAATATTTGGAATCGTATGAAAGATGTACACCTCACAAGGTGTTGGTAGTAATCACTCCGTGGAATAAAATATGAGGCTTCCTATGCCCGTTTTCACTAAACTTAGGAGTCAACGTAAAAATGCATTTCATTATTGACTAGGAACCACCTAACGAAATTAGGCAATGTCTACAGTTTTGATATTCGTTATGCGATGCCTTGCGCTAGGCGTTTATATTGTCTCGGGTCTGGGTGTTGTGGTATCTTCGTTGTCTCAGATACTCCATAATACAACGGCTTTAGCTTCTCATCTTGCAATCGGAGCAATGTATGTGATGTTGTCTAAATTTTTTCTTTTTTTTTATAGGCGGGTGCATTCCAGCCATTCTTCCGTGCCCACTCTCATATAGAGACTAAACGTCGCGAGCCGTGGCTGTATGAGCCCGCCACCACCGCACTAATACGGGACGCTAACAGGCGGCGATACGCACTCATCGACTTCTGGTGAGTCAGCTCATCATCATCATCATTATCAGCCTTTTTATGTCCCCACTGCAGGGGCTCAGGCCTTCCTTATGGATGGTTAAGGAGGACCCTCCACGCTGGCCCAATGCGGATTGGAGGGTATTAACGACTGCAAATGCAGCCGGGACCAACGACCAACTTAACGTGCATTCCGAAGCATAGAGTAGTTCGGGATGATAATTAGTGATAATTAATCGACTAATGATAATTAGTCAGCTAATGATAATTAGTCAGCTAATGATAATTAGTCAGCTAATGATAATTAGTCAGCTAATGATAATTAGTCAGCTAATGATAATTAGTCAGCTAATGATATTAGTCAGCTAATGATAATTAGTCAGCTAATGATAATTAATCAGCTAATGATAATTAGTCGACTAATGATAATTAGTCGACAAATGATAATTAGTCGGCTAATTATAATTAGTCGGCTAATGATAATTAGTCGGCTAATGATAATTAGTCGACTAATGATAACTAGTCGGCTGATGATAATTAGTCAGCTAATGATAATTAGTCAGCTCTTTATAATTATTCATCTAATGATAATTAATCAGCTAATGGTAATTAATCGACTAATGATAATTAGTCTGCTAATGATAATTAGTCTGCTAATGATAATTAGTCTGCTAATGATAATTAGTCTGCTAATGATAATACTAGCCGACAATGGTTTTTGCTCTGAAATAAAACATATATTGTGGTTCCTATTAGTAAGTATATCCTTAGAAAAATACTGAAAAAAAATCCTCAGGACCGATTACGAAAATATGTTTTTTTTTTTAAATGACCAAAAACGACCAGTTGACCACTTTAAAAATTGTTTTCTTCTCAAGACTTTTCGCATATCGCAACTAACTGTTATTTATTCCTCCTATAGGTGTTCTGAATTAAACTACCCACATTCTGATTAATAACTACGTCAGCTGTTGTTTTGGTTAGGTGAAAGTACCGTCAATTAGTGATATATTTTGACACTTTGCATTTACGTCGTTAACTCGTACACATCTCAATTTTTTTCCTTGTTTTTGCATTAAATTGTTTAAGACAATGCCCAGGAAGTGTAAAAATTCGCCAGATTTATTTTGTTTTGTGTGCGGAGACTTTAATCCACGCTCAAGTTCGAAAAAGTTTTCGCCACGACTGTTGGAAGCGTATCGTTTGCACTTTGGATTTGGCGCTGAGGAAAGTCTAAGTAAACCTTGGAGTCCGATGAGGAGAGAATGGAGAGTTTAATGTGTTCAAGATGTTCAAGGTACCTCACAGGATGGCTTCAACTCACACACCATTGCCGTTTACTATGCCAGCTATATGGCGAGAACAAAAAAATCATGTAAATGATTGTTATTTTTGTCAAACTAACATTACTGGAATGAAGTCGAAGTTTAAAAATATTATAAAGTACCCCGATGTATCGTCTATGTCAAAACCGGATACCCTACAAACTCCAACGACCTCAACTTCTGACGAACCGTCAACTTCATGTGGTAGTCGTGGCTTAGAAAGTCATGTTGATGTTTGTGCTTCCGATCACGCTGATTTTGACGACGATGACTATGAGCCACCAACAAGGTCAACAACAGAACCACATCTGATAACTCAAAGTGAACTAAATGATGTGATTCGTGACCTTGATTTACCAAAAGAGAAATCAGAACTTTTAGCTTCTAGACTAAATCAATGGAATTTATTGCATCCGGAGACAAGAATCTGTAGTTATCGAAAACGACATAGTAGTGTTGTGGATTTCTTTGAAAAGGAAAACGATCTAGTCTATTGCAAAGATGTACATGAGCTTATGAAAAAAATGTCTTCTACCTATTCACCTGATCAGTGGAGACTATTCATTGATTCATCGAAAATAAGTTTGAAGGCGGTTTTGTTGCATAATGGTAACGAATTTCCATCTGTACCTCTATGAAAATCTCAAAAATCTACTACAAAAAATACAGTATGCAGAACATTCTTGGAAGATTTGTGCTGATTTAAAAGTAGTTGGGATGTTACTAGGCATGCAAGCTGGTTAAATTTTGCTGTTTTATTTGCGAATGGGATAGTAGAGCTCGAGGCAAACACTATATCCAAAAAGAGTGGCCAAAAAGAACTGACTATGTACCTAATCAGAAAAGTGTGTCCAATATTCGTCTTGTTGAGCACGAGAATATTTTATTGCCACCCCTTCATATAAAATTAGGCTTAATGAAAAATTTTGTAAAAGCCATAGATAAACAGGGAGAAGGTTTTCAATACCTCAAAAGTATATTTCCGAGCCTTAGTGATGCGAAACTAAAAGAAGGGATTTTTGTGGGACCAGACATACGACGAGTTATGAAGGATCAAAACTTTGTCGCCAAATTAAATACGTTGGAAAAAAGAGCATGGTTTTCGTTTGTTGAGGTTGTAAAAAATTTTTTGAGTAACACCAAATCATCCGATTATGAACAACTTGTATCAAGCCTTCTGACGAATTTTCAGGCTTTAGGCTGTAACATGTCCCTAAAAATACACTTTCTTCATTCCCACTTGGATTTCTTTCCTCCCAATTTAGGTGCAGTCAGTGATGAACATGGAGAGAGATTTCATCAAGATATTTTGAATATAGAGAAAAGGTATCAAGGCAAGTGGACTCCTAGCATGCTGGCAGACTATTGCTGGACATGTTTACGTGATAATCCTGACTACCAATACAGCAGAAGTTCGAAGAAGTACAAAATAATATAAATTATAGGGTAAAGATTTGTAATATTAAATACATTTTTTGCAAAAACTCTTCTTTTATTTTTCTCTTAACCTGAACCTAGCAAATTTTTTTATATTTAGATTATATATGTACCATATCAAAGCAACATAAAAAAACAAGTTTGGTTTCAGAGCAAAAAAAAAGTGTCAAAATTGTCGGCTAGTGTAATTAGTCGGCTAATGATAATTAGTCGGCTAATGATAATTAGTCAGCTAATTATAATTAGTCAGCTAATGATAATTAGTCGGCTAATGATAATTAATCAGCTAATGATAATTATCCAACTAATTATAATTAGTCAACTAATTATCTGAAAACTTTATATTTACTATGAAATTTACGCTATTTGAGTCAGCTATCGCTATTTTACGATGCAGCGCTTAGTTGACGCTTAGTTGTAGTTGAAGTAGCTCGGTGGCGTAATGGATAAGCGCCGCGGCCCGCGATCTTAGTCGTTAAGCAACTTTCGCAAGGGTCGATCACGGGATGGGTGACCGAAAAATAATTATCTCGAGCTACTTCGTGCTTCGGAAGGCACTTTAAGCCGTTGGTCCTGGCTGTATTTGCAGCCGTTAATATCCTCCAATCCGCATTGTGCCAGCGTGGAGGGTCATGGTCCTCCTTAATCATCCATAAGGAAGGCCTGAGCCCCGCAGTGGGGACGTAAAAGGGCTGATGATGATGATGAAGTTGTAAGTTAAAATTTGTAAATTTTAAGTGTAGGCGAAGTATCTTAAGAAAATTCACAGTTCAGATTTATTAGTTTATTTGATGTTACTTGTGTTACAGTTAAATTGATACTTATTTAATATTTCATTATAAAGTAATGTGTGTTAAGTTCAAATATGCTGACACTAATAATAATAGTTATTTATTGAGCGCATTGAACTTAACAGCTGAACTAAACTGACCATAAACGATTCATAATTAAGTTCAAAAACTAAAACCTGTCTACAGTTAAATCACGCTGTCAAAAGTTTGAAACAAGAAATTTATTTTATAACGATAGATATATTAATAACGATGACCAAAAAAACAGCGTAGTCGTTTGTTTTGTTAAGATATATATATATTTGAAATAACTAATTAAGCCATTTCATTTGATACCCTACATGGAATGACTGAATATTATATTTTTATAAGTTTCTTAATATATTCTCTCTAGAGGGCGTTGTTGCCAATTTAGTATAACGTCACATAGCTTATAGCATGGGGACAACTAAGACGCTTCTAATGATACCTCATTTTTCCAGTTACGATGAGTAGTTTCGAACTTATAAGGGAACAGATGAACATTCTTACATACATATCTAGAAAAAAATCATAACCCTCCTTTTCGCTTCACCGTAGTCAGGCAATGATTATGTATTATTTGTCTCTAATAACATAACCAAATATTATTATAAAAAATCATATCTTTGCAAGTTGAGAGATTGAATAAAATAATTTATTTTATAATTTAATGATATACACTTACATTGGCATAACAATGTTTTTTTTTAATTGCCGTTTTGTTTTACTATTTTCAATCAGAAATACCATCACATATTAATTATGCGTTTTATTATAAAAATTAATTATATTTTATCCCCTGAACTTTTAATAAACAATAATAAGCAAAAGTATATATAATTTCTAATTAAAGTTCAATATACCAAATAATCAATATTCTCCTACTTCTATTTAATGAATACCAGAAATGTCATTACTCTTTTAATAATATATTCCGAACTCTATTTCCAATATATTAAGGCTTAAAAAGTTTTGATGAAATTTCAGTTATTTGTATTACTTGATGGAAAGGTTCCGGAGGCATATTTCTAAACTAACGTCTGAATTATTTAATGTTCAACTTCTTAAGTAGTCTTAATGTTAATATTTTTCTTATTACTACAGGTACACATTGTTTTATGAGCACTCCAGGGATGGTCTGCCAGTGATGAGGCCCTTATTCCAAGAGTTCCCCAAGGAAGAAGCTACTTTCACTATCGATGATCAATACTTACTCGGTAAGATAGAATTCTATTTATGACTGGGCATAATATCGTATATTAAAGATGTTTATGGCGATTTTCGGTCTATTTCTGATAATAATTCATAAGCTATTTATTCCAAATATATATATCAGATCTTCACAATAAAATGAAAGCCTCATTTGACATGTCATATAATGTAGTTTATCATTATTTCAAAGTCAAAGTCAAAATAATCTTTATTCAAATAGACTTCTTAAAAGTACTTTTGAATCGTCCAACATTTTTTCCTACCACTCGTTCAGGACGTCTTTTGGCCGATAAGAAGAACGAGCAAGAAACTCACCAGCTATAATAAGAGTAATGACATTTACAAAAACCATGCCATTACCAGATCAATACATTATTAATAAAGAGGAAAAAAAAGCAACTATGGTTTTATAATGATAACATAATCATTTAATAATAATGGAAACAAGATAATTTTTGATATATAATGAGTTAAGAAATAATCACCTATCCAGTTGCTGGATCATCTCAAGTCCAAGCATTCTTATCTGTTATATAATCTGATACCTTATAGTAAGCTTTTTTAATAAGTATTATTTTAATAGTAGATTTAAACTTCATGATATCTAATTGTTGTATTTTGCTTGGGACCTTATTGTAGAAGCGCACACAAAGACCCCTGAATTAGTTATTAACTTTCTGTAGGCTAGTGACAGGCACCGTTAATTTATTTTTATTTCATGTATTAATATTGTGTACATCACTTTTTATAGAAAACAAACCAATATTGTTACGAACGTACATTAAGTTCTCGTATATGTATTGAGAAGCAACAGTCATTATGCCTATTTCCTTAAATTACTCCCTCAAAGAGTCCCTAATCCTAAGATTATAAATTGATCTAATTGCTTTTTTCTGAAGTACAAAAATCGTTTGTATGTCGGCAGCATTTCCCCACAATAGGATTCCGTACGACATAACACTATGAAAGTAACTGAAGTATACTAATCTGGCAGTATCTATGTCAGTTAACCTACGTATCTTCATTACGGCATATGCTGCAGAGATAAGTCTACTCGACAATTTATCAATATGTGGGCCTCACTGTAGTTTAGAATCTAATGTTATTCCCAAAAATACTGTGGTATCCACAAGGCCCATGTTCTTATCTTTTATATTAACATTTAAATCTACTTTTTTAACATTAGGTAGTACAAATTTTAGACATTTTGTTTTTCCTTCATTAAGTAATAAGTCCTTATTTTGTAACTTAGCCTCCAATGAGCACATGAACTAACATATATGTATTTAATTTACATCGCATCGCAAATCTCTGAGGTCGCACGAATGCACCGCAAAGTTATTTTAATCCACTCTTGAGACGACAAAATTTCTAAAGAGTAAAGAGTGGATTAGATGTCAATATCTTAATTTAAAATGAATCAAAAATATATGACTCTTCTCACGATAACTTATACCATAAGTACAATATTCTTAATACAAAATGCTTACAAACTCCTCTTGGTCCCTGGCACCCTGAGATGGGATTCGAACCCACGACCTGTCGCAATCTGGGCGACTGCTCTAACCGCTGAGTTACCAAGGACCTAACAGGACTGACGAATCTTTCAAGCACTTGTTACTTTTCGCTACTAAAGAGCGTATTATATAAATAAATGGATGAGCGTAAAATGTTAAACAATAACAGCAGTGTAAGAATTTGCGAACAACGTCCGATACAACGCGAAATCGTATTGCAGCAGTTCGCACTGCAAGTGGATGCGGCGGCAAATCGCATCGCGGTTTTGTGTGGGAGCCCTAGTAGTCTCTGAGAAAATCGGCTGTGACAGTTAGATAGACAGACAACCGAAAACAACCGATACTATTCGATGGATGCGAAGTATGTGATGGGAGAACCATGAATAGAACGCAGTGCGTACAGTCTCGAAAAAAAGGAAGTTTTACTGGAAGAATAGTTACTATTTACTAGAGAATTACTGGAAGTTAGAATAGGAAGAAATTATCGTATCCATGCATTTAAAAAAATAACAAGCAACACGAAATCCGCTTAGATTATGGCAAAAACAATGATCTGTCAGATATAAAATAAAACTCCTCAAAATTGGTTTTGCCGTATTGATTCTATTTTGCATATTTGCCGTGTTTTAAGGAAATTGAAATCTTCAATATTTAAAAAAAATAATCCCGTGTTTGTTTATTGGGATTTTTTTATAATTTTATGTTGTTAGTTAGAAGGGGCTATTACGAAGCCCAAATAGATCGTCCATATCGGAGGACTATCTTTATAATACCGCTGCAGGTGTGTATACCAATGTGGATTTATTCCATTTTATCACTTTTCACACGAAAATATAACGAGATGAGCGTGATGTCGTTCGTCGGATGTCTTTACTCCTCGGCGATCGGAAACAGAATGCCTGTCAAAATGGCGGAAAATTGCTTTTTGTTAACGAACTGTCAAAGTTCTCCATTCTAATAAAATTAAAAGTATCGATGATCACTCCCTCTCTACAATCGAGTAATTAAGTAGTCGAGTATCTAGCAATTAAAAAAAGAAACTAAATCAAACGATCTTCGTAAAGATGATGCGACACATATAATTAATTGAAATATATATTTTTTAATTGAAATAAAAAAAGAATTCTTCTATTTAAGTATATAATTGAAGTATTAACATGTTACCAATATTAATAAATTCTGAATGTTGACACTATAGATTTGTATTGTTTGTTTACTTGGGCCAGTTTTTTGATCCGTGGTTAACTCAACCATTTGTTAAAATCTTCGACAAATGGTTAAATATCAGAATATGTTTTTTGATAAATAGTTAGCCTAACTAATTGTCAGAATTCCAACCATTGGTCAAAAATTTAACCATCACTGGAAGAACACATTGTACAATTGCGTTGTATTTACTTGGTCCCTTGTTATTGTTTTTACGTTGTTTTCATAACCTACATGATTCCACACTGAATTTGGACATAAGCTATTTTTGGGATTTCGTTTTATGGTGCAATTTCATAGGAAAAATTCATTGTCAGTTTTGGGTTTTAGAGTTATTGAAATAAGTTATATTTTTATCTTGATCACCTTAGTATATTTGTACTATATAAAATAATTTGTTTTCTTGTTTCCACGGGCATATGCCAAATATTCAATTATTAAAAATCTTATAAAATCTACGAATAGACAATACAAAACATAAATATGCCTATAGTATATTAAATACATATTCCTCGATTTATGTTCCAACATTACAATCCCACCTTAGATACTATAATCTTTTCACGTATTTCTCTATAAGATAAAGATAAAATAAATAAAAAAACAAATATATGTTTAAAAAAAAAAATAAGATTAAAATAACACGATTTTTTTAAATCTTTGTTGCTTTCGAACATTATTAAAAAAATTGTCTTATATTTTCTGAAAAATAACACATAGTGCACACAACAGAACAACCATAAATATCCACACTCTTTGGTAATCTATAGATTTCTTTTGTCTATTTGATATTTGGAACAACATCCTAATGTCAAAAATGGTATATAGTTCGCTCCGTTCATTCAAACCGTAAGTGTTGTCTCCCAGAAAAAAATTACCCATGTTAATGTATAGCGAAAGAACGCCACATTGTGCTGGCAACAAATTAACCATTGGTCAAATTTGGCTAAGGTTTAATTTGGCATCAAAAAACGAAATAGCGAGTTAACAACTTGTTGTTGTTTTAACTATAGTCAAGTTAACAAATGGTGAAATGACATTTCATTATGGATCAAAAAACTGGCTCTTAATCTTCATACTGAATGCCAGCTGATTTGTCAATTCAATGTCCGGCATAATTATAACCACTAGTTGGCGCTGTCATCGCGCACTAATAAGTGTGTTTTTCGGTGTGGAACGATAATTATAGAAGAAAATAATCTTTGTGTACAGGTGACAAGTTATTAGTACGTCCGGTGGTAACGGCCGCCGCTACAAGTGTACAGGTTTACTTCCCCGGCGGAGACACTAACACGTTATGGTACGATGTGGACTCTTATCAACCTCGCGTCGCCAACGGATACGCCAATATCGATGTTAACATCGCCAAGGTACAATATTCTACTATTAGAAACGCGAAAGTTTGAGAGGATCTGTGTACGTTTGTTACTCTTTCACGGAAAAACTACTGAACGTATTTTGGTGATATTTGAAAATGTTTTCATAAGATAATTTACATCATTATATAACTGTAAAAAAATATCCGGCACCAAAAAACTAATATTTAGTAACAAAAATAATTGATAAAAATAATTGATAATTATTAAAATAAGTAACAACTATGAGCAGTAGAACTCTTAGAACTGTGAATATGGTTTTCTAATATTGAATTACAGTTTATGTGAACTTCGTTACTTTATACAGAACAAGTTTTTATAATTTTATTTTTTGTCTGTATACCTACGTGGTTTCTTGAAATTATTAAAATATAATAATTTTTCAACGGCTATAAAACCGTTGAAAATTAATTGTATTTACAGCCATGTGCACCAACATCCATTAAAATTGTCATTAGTTTACCATACATTACTCAAATTTGACATTAATTAATCAATTAAAATATACATGAAAATTGATTTTAAATTATTTATATTCAATTCGAATTCTAAACCATATAAAGATAACTATGCACTCAAATTTACCGTATATAAAATTATTTTATTAATATTATAATGTTGTGTTTTTAGATACCGGTGTATCAGCGCGGCGGCAGTATAATACCGCGTAAGGAACGCGTGCGGCGTTCCTCTCAACTGATGGCCGACGACCCTTATACTTTAGTAGTAACGCTGGACGCTAATGTAAGTATTATAATTTTCAGGAGCGCAGGCCTACCATAAAGATGGATTCGAACAGGTTGAATAAGTCATACATACGTGGGCCCAGAGCGGATTAGTGGGTGTTAATGACTGCAGATACAGGGTGGACTAATGGATTAACGTGTCTTTTGTAACACGGAACATGGCGAGATAATAAATATTTGGTTGCCCGAAGTTGTTTAACTTCAGCATCGCAGGCGGAATTTGCCACTGCGTCTTCAAGCTTCTGACTGAATCTATCCATTGCAAATATCGGACGGTTTGCTGGGGTTCCGTAAAAATATTAAAAGCTATAGAATTTAACAAATTCCGTGGTCGAATGTCTCGAATGACGATTTCAAGGTCATCTACGGCTCTCGGTTGAGTGAATGTTGAATTTTTTTTATATTGTCTCTGGTCTGGGTGTTGTGGCACCTTCGTTGTTTCGGATTTCTATAATATAAGGCTATAAAACTTTTATATTATAGAAATCAGAAACAACTTTGGCTGCCTGCCACTAAAATGAGTAATTCTCAGTAATCTTAAGAGTTTAAAAAATCATGAATTGTGTGAAAACTGGTTGTTCATTACGCAAAATATCATTAGTAAATAATAAAAATATCACTAGTGTACGGATCTCGAAAATTTATTTATTTTTATGAATGAAAATGTTCATATTTTATTTTTGCTCTGATTTGATAATTTTCCTGTTACCTAAAAAGGGTTCACAAACAAAAAACACCTATTAAAACTAAAAAAATAATATCATTTGTAAATTAAAAAAACATCTTTATATTTTTTTTTATATTATAAGTATATATCGGTCTATTTATAATGAAACCAAACATGGAAATTTTTATTTCATAAAACCGTTATACATGGAATTCGTACACTAATGCCATCTATTGGTAATTAAAATTAATGAAACTACGTCAAACCACAGTTTAAACAAATACTCTGTTTATCGTAACAATATCATATTATAATTTTATTTTTATCGAGCTTTGGGGTAATACATAAATAAAATCAAATTCTTTATTGACATTGTAACAGAGAATGTTATGATTAAATGCCGTACTTTAAATATATTATATTAAAAAAATATAATATACTATGTATATTTATGTTACAACATCACACATTTTACAAATAAATTATTATTATATTGATATTACATTCTTCTTATATTATTATTTCAATTTTAAAATTTTATGTCATTGTTAGCATAATGATTTAGATACTGTTTATACCTGCAACTGATTTATAACCGTTGTCATAGTGTGACAATTAGTAAGCGGTTTTAATTTTAATGGAGAATAGTTACCACCGTATAATAAATCATATGGCCTGAAACTTATTTTTATGTGTTCGCGATTGATGTTTAACTATAATAGTTTTTCCGTATTAAGCACGATATCATTCGTAAACAAATTAATGAAAGCACAATTTGGTACATCACTGATACAATAGTTTTTGTATACGAGGAATAAACTAGGACTTAACGTTGAACACTGCGGTATAATTACGGTCACATAAATACTATACGAACGTACTTGGTACACTACCACTATTAGTAGACAACACAACAAACAGGTTTATATTGTTATCCTGGGTTTCAGTTTCCTTAGGAAGGCGCGTTAGTTTCACCTTTCGTCAAAAGATGGCGCTATGCTATTCTGCATCGCGCTATGGTTTGGTTTTTTAAATGTATGTAGTTGCATTAAGTTTCTGTAAAAGGTATTCGTTGTTTCTGATTATAACACAAGTGCTTATAATTATTTTTATGGTACTTGATTTTTGTAGACCTCTGAATGCATCTGATGCACTCGAAGTCGTAAACTTATAATATTAAAAATACTCTGTAGGTAGGTAATTAGTTTATTTTGGGGGCTATACTGCTAGTTCGCCATGTAATGTTACCTTCATAACTATATGTATCATAAAGTTTTGCAAAGTAATATGTCATTGTTTTCAGGACGACCGCTCATTTTTACGTTTTTCCCCATTTATCTGTTAAATTAATGATTCTTTAGGTGTTTTTTTGTATTGAATCTATTGCGAAACTGAAATAAATAATAAAAGTCTATTAAGTATGTTCCAAATAACTTACTAGTAGAACTTCAAAATGTGAAAACGCCAGTTACAGCCAACAAAATAATGGAAAATTAAAAAAAAAAACTTTCTTAAAAATGTTTTATAAACCAAAGAGAGCGGTCCCTACCCTACAATATACCTTGTGGAACCGAGGACCTCGTGACATCTTGGAACCTGCGTGCTAGTCCTTGAATAACATCGTATAATAAACTTTCAGAACACTGCTACCGGCTCACTGTACATTGACGACGGCGAAACTTACGAGTACAAAAAGAAGAAATATATCTACGCCAAATTCTCATACACCACCGAAGAAATGACTTACACGTAAGTTATACTTACATCTAAATTTAAAAAGTTCTATCGATAATGTCGCTTTAAACTATTGTATGTTTGTGCAATTGAATGTGTATCTGTATTGATATTATAATATTTCCAGTATTGGATTGTTTTGTTTGTTTGCTTCGAATGCGTTCCGAAGCAACTGGATCAATTATAAAACTTCCTTCACTGGGAAACTGCATCATACGCGAGCGACATAGGTTATAATTTATGCGTTCGAAGTCGCGGGAAACACCTAGTATGTACATAAAAAACAAAATACTTCAGAGTCTCAACATTCAGGCACCGAAGCTACTCAATTGTAACATAGAGTTTAAACTTATGTATAATTTTTTTAATAAATATTATAATAATTATTATTATCAACGTAAATCGTTTTGATATTACAGTTTCGTCAATGACAAAGCAACTTATCCCACTTTGTCGTGGGTGGAGCGTATCGTCATAGCTGGCATCAAAGTGCCCCCAAAGACTGCGAAACTTCACCAGGGGGACAAACAGGTCGCCCTCCAAATGACCCTCCACAGGGGCAACGACGTGTTAGTTGTTAGAAAGCCGGCCGCCACTATGGCACAGCCCTGGAAGATCACCTTTAGCTATTAATCGTCCGACGGTATTGCGTTCGGTTTAATCAAAGGAAAGTATGTCTAAACATTTTAATGTCTATGTCGTTTTCTACTATTCGGTTTCGTTCCAATTTCAAATTTGTGACAGTTATTTTTTTAAAGAGTGAAAATGTGTTTGTTGTTTTTTCAGTTTATTGTATAGCAAAGGGAATGTGTCGGTTTTTATAAATTGGTGAATTTAGTGCTTTTACATTGAACATTTATATCAGATTGTGTATGTACACTTAAGAAAAGTTCAGGGTAACAATATGGAGTCGAAATATCGGAAATCTGCTCTATACTATAATTTAATATGTATTGACTCGTGTGTTACTTATTAATAAACTGTCGTTATAATTGTATATGATTAAAAATGTAAACCGAACGCATAATCTACAAGAAAGTGATTGTCTATGCTGTTCAGCTAAAAACGACTTCGAACGCAGCCTTTTAACATCGTTCCAGCGCTGTGACGTAGAGTTTAATAACCTTTTCAAATAGGTTTTATTTGATTCTGCCTCTATGGCTGACAGCGTTGCCTTCAACGACGACTTGGACTTTGTTTCAATAAAATAATAGCACTACAGTTCACTTGGAGTAATCAGTATCAGCCAATAATAAGGTTTTAACAAGAATCACTCTTCTATACTAATACGTTTGAGTATGGTCCATATTTATACAAAGACATTACTGTCTACTTTTTAGTAGATAATATTTATAATTTACCACTTAGCTTTGTTTAGTTGAATATCTGATTCGACAAAATAACAATTTGAAAACCACCAGTTTGTCTAATTCATATATTTATTTTGGGAAAAAATATCATTTATAAAAAAAAAACAAACTTAAAAAAGTTCATGAAAGTTTCAATTTAGGTTTTTTTTTAATTTTCCTTGGCGTCCATGTTTTATGGAATCTATATTTGAATTGGAAATTTCGTGAATTATTTTTGAGATACATTTCAGGAAACAACGCGATCAAACTGATATCCAAAAATTTTTAAACGTAAATGTTTTTTCATAAATATATAACACATTGACACTGCCACACATTTTTGACAGAATTCATTATTATATTTTGAAAATCCTTTATAATATTAATACTATAAAGTTATACTAGCCATAATATTCAGAGAGTCAGTGATCAATTTCTTAGAATTGTGGATCAATTTTTCGATTCTTACATAAAACACGTTACGAGATCAAACATATTGCGATATTTTAATATGAAAAAGGCAAATGCCTTAGATATGGTTTATGTGAGAAGCGAAAAACCGTGAACTTAAATAATTTTTCTAAATACTCTTGATTACGTTGTTACTAAGGCTATGAAAAATGCTTATTCATCAAATATGTATAAAATTATTGGCAATAGAATAAGACGTAATTTTAGAAATATCTGATGTTTTTGGGTATTTGGAAGCCGAAGGGTGTTTTTATCATTTTATGTGATAATAAAAGAATTTACAATTATTATTTTATTTGATTTATACTGAATTGATATTCGCTACCCGAGTTCTGTCAGTTACTACTTACGACTGGAATCGATGGAGAAGGTTCGTTCGTTTGATGAGTTCGTGACCATGATCTTCAGTAACGAAAGACCGACTAGAGAAAGACAGAGATACTGATATTATACACAGGAAAGATTTAAATGTTGGTTAGTTATTCATAATGAGAAATACTTAAAAAGTCCACTTTGTCTTTGGCACTCTTTGTATGCAAGATCAAACATAATCATTGTTGGTTAGTTCTTTGTTTCCTACTCCCAGACTTAATTTAAAAATTCTGCCACCTTTTGGGGGAAGGTACGATATACGCGTGACATATGCTACAATACGCGGGCGAAGTAAAAAAAAAACAGCTAGTCAAAAATAAGATTGTACACACTAGGTTATACAAATTGTCAAAATCTCCACTTGATTTTAAACCTTAATGGATTGTAGGTATATGTCTAAAATCGATGAGGAAATTGCCATAATGTGGTAACCTTACATGCTGCCATGCGTACAACATTTATTCCTTTTGTTTTTGTAAGAGAAGTGAAACAAAAGCTTTTAGTATGTTAATTTAAATGCAAATAAATTAAGGTAATAAATTGGTCATGAATTCATTTCAAACTTCAAAAAGCTAAACTGAGGGACACTTAAACGATACGTATAAGAAACGCCAATGAGAAAATACAATATTAAATAGACTGTTATGTTTCTATGGATGGTCTGGGGTCATAATTTATTTGGGTAATTTATTGGCATTGGTCCAAGTTGGATTTATTTAATACTAGCTTTCGCTAGCGGCTTCGCCCGCGTGGCCCCAAGGGAAATGTTAAGTGGGATAAAAAAATATCCTATTATCTAAGTCAGCTAATACCCTATCTGTATACCAAATTTCATCAAAATCCGTTCAGTAGTTTCGGCGTGATTGACCGACAAACATCCAAACAAAGAAACTTTCACATTTATATTATTAATAGGATAGGATTCCCATATTTAAAATTTTCCAACTTTTTTGCCAATGTTTTTAATTCTATGATTTTTTCGGCTTAAAGTAATATTAATAATATGAGATTGATTGATTTTAATTGAAAACACCCTTAATTATAAATATTTTTATTCTATAATTTTGAGATTATAACTTAAAAGACTAGAATAACAATGAAAGCGAATGCTTTTCTCTGCCACAAAAAAAAACAAAATGTCAACACCGTAAGTAGAAAACCGCTTAAACCTTTTATATACTTATCAGCCACATAAAATTTAAATTACATACATATTATCATAATCCAGAATAAAATATACTGTTAAAGCATTTTCAGCTCTATTCATGAGGTGATAAGGTTGATATTAAATATATAAAAAATAGCACAAGCATTCACTTCACCTAACCTGTTTTGATAATGAGGAGAAACATCACGGTTTTATTAATTTCCAATATTAATAGATGGCGCTACTATCTATCTGGTCAGATTTGAAGATTTACCTAATTTACTAGATTTTTTTCGGAAAAAGATAATCAATTATCCGTACTGTACTGAACTGTCATGGGTTCGTACTTTAATTTTCTTGACTGCCTTCTAATTAGAAGACTAAACGTCATCTGTCGACTGAAAAAACGAATAAAACCGTGACGGCACAGAAAAATAGAATAGAATGGCCAATAAAAACTTTATAAAACTTTTTCTACTGCGTGAACATGTCGCAATTGGTTAAATCAGTCGTTCTATTGAACGTAAGACGCATCATAATAAATTAACTAGAAAACTAGCCGGGTAACCGAAGGGCTACCCGTCCAATGGTCGTCCAACGGTTGTTTCAACTAATTGGCTGCAAATGCAAAATATACATATATTAAGGACATTTGAACACGCTGTAGTAGTGATTCTAATTGATAAGCATATTTTTAATATGGTGTCCAAAGAGTTATGGTAAAAAAAAAATTGGTTTAAGCACTTCTACAGACTAACGTGGAGTTATTATTTAAAATGATTCTATCACTGGCTGAAAAAAACGGAGCATTGGCGCAATCAGTTGAGGTTTCCTTTAAAATAAATAGTATTTTGCTAATATATACAACCCACAGGACAGTTTAATAAATAGAAAAAGTGCGTAATATTTGAGTAATTTTAATCACCGTCATCAAAATACTAATATTATATTCGAGATATTTTCCGATTTTATCCGATTTCAACTTTAGAAAATTTTAAAAAAGCACATGTCAGTATAGGTACTTAATATAAATTTAAATAAGCTTTGGTGGGCCAGGCATCAATTTTTTTTTACAAACACTGACTGTAACGGCAAAGCTACCATTTCATTATTATGCAGTGTTTTAGGATCAACTCTTGATGCAAAGAGACAATACTATAACCAGTACAGCACCATCCCATTTATACCATTTTTTTTCAAGGCAAGAGCGTGTGGCTCTTGGTTCTACTTAATATGAACAACCTTATATTCACTATAAAATAGGCAAGAATGGCTCATTTAAAAAATATCCTACTCGGCTTATCATCATTAGGAAACTCTATGAAAGGATGTGTCTGTTTATGGTCTTGCATTAATTGTTCACTTGCGAAAGTTTCACCACAAATATCACAAGGTATATTATCTTCACTAATACTTTCACTGTCTTCTTCGTCTTTCTTTTTCTCAAATTTTTTCTTTTTAGTTTTTGATTTTGATGAAGATACAGGCTCTTCAATAAGAGGCTTGCCAGTCAACAAAAACTCCTTCATGTTTAAGTGTTTTAAAGACATTTTATGTTGTGACAAACGATTCTCTGAACTGCACTGGTATTCACATATAAAACACACATATTTCATATCACCCGTATGTAATTCTGCATGCGCTTTTCTCTTTTCCGGTGTTGCGAAACGGAAATCGCAAAATTTACAAGGATATTTCCTTTCAGGAGAATGCAATCTCATGTGAGATGTTAGCGAGTCCATATCTTTACATATTTTACGACATTCCAGACACAATATACCTTTTTCAGCCGGTTCTGTTTCTTCCACATAGTCGCTGTGATGTATTCGTCTATGCGACGTTAATCCCTTTTGACTAATAAAAACTCTGCGACAATCTGTACATTGGAATTGGGTCTCTGATTTTGTGTCTGGACTATGCTGTTCGATTTGATGCAATGCCAATTTATCTGCCTCGTGAAATTGTAATCCACATTCATCACATTTCCAAGCTTTCACTAACATGGAAAAGGCTTCCAGAACATCCAATACGGACTGTCCTCCGACTTCTGGGTGATAAGTTTTCACATGGTTACCAAACTCTATGATCTTCGGGAATGTTTCCTGGCAATTGGGACAAATGTAAGGGCTTTTATGGTCTTCCATGACATGAGACTTTAATTCAGACAATTCAGAATAACTTTTGTTACACATGAAACATTGTAACTTCTGTTTACCTTTCACTACTTCTGAGATCACTTTGTATTCCATAAGTTGAACTTTTTGATGAACTTGTAGATGCTTGAACAGCTCTTTCCTTGTACTGTAATCTGTAGGACAGAATTTGCATTGGAATTTCTTTCGGTGCGTCCTTTTTCTATGGGATATCAACTCGTTTTTATCTTTGAACTGTTTAGAACACGTTACACATTGGTACGAGGTGTTCGGATCAGAATATAGGTTGTGCGATCGCAGACATGTCTCCATTCTGCTTCGTCGCTGGAATACTTGGCCACATGTGCACACATACCCTTCTTTCTTTATATCTGGTTTAATATCCTCATCGAAATTTTCTATTTTACATTTCGAGTATTTAACACTTATTTCTTTGTCCTCATTATATCGTTTATTCTGGTTCGCCTTTCTTGTTTTCCGTCCCTTTATGATACCCAATGCTCTCGCTTCTATAGTCTTATGTACAGCCATATGTTTTTTCAAGCCATAGGTATTCTTGAACTCTTTAGAACATTTGAGGCACGGGTATGTTTTTAAGTTATGTGTGATGTTTCTCTTCGCTTTAAGTAATCCATAAGCTTCCTGTTCTAGAGATAATACATTGCCTGTTATGGAATTCAATTGAAATATATCGTCGTAGACTGCATCATTTGTCGTTGGGAGGATTTCTTCGGGGTTGCCTATTTTACTGAGTGATAATGGAGTTCTTGGAATAGGTAAAATCTCCATGACTAATGTCTTTGTAGTTTGCGACTGTAGGACGCCATCGTGCGGATTAGTGATAGTAGATGTGGTGTTGATAAGTTTATTTGAAATCAAATGCGTTTCAGTCACCATCTCCAATTCTTCCTTCACATCATGTTTTTCATGTTCGTGCTCCTGTGAAATGTTAAAATTATTTTTAGTTCACTCATACGCATATAGTTTTATAAAAAAAGGGGTGCTTAGCTTAAATAATAAGTATTACTAAGTTTTTGCTGACACTATAATCAGCATAGAGCAGATGCATGCTCCCGCTCAGCATAAGCCGAGCCACTACCATTTGCATCATTAAGTTACTTAAATAAGTACACATGTTGCAATAAATAAATAAATAGTAAATAACATCACACATATTTCACATGTAGCTAAGCTCCGGTATTATGGAATATTTGAGTCTACGAAGGTATAACAACACCCTAGAAACGAGAAAATAAAAGTACATTTTCTACATTGACCCAACGGGAATCGTACCCGGGACCTCACAGACGGCGATACCTTGAAACCGGCGTGCAAACCACTTGACTACGGAGGTCATAAAAAGATCTATGTCATTCGATGTTTGTAACCTGAGGCAATAAAACTTTGATTGATTAATTAATCATCCTCTGTAAAAGGCATACCTATGCTCAATGGGCATTCTCTTTATATGAAACTGTTCTACCCCATCTAACGCGCCATTCACGGATTGCAACGCGCGTGGAAAGGCTCACATAAAGAAGTCTACTTGTAGCGTATTTCAATGAAATCAAATGAAAATATCTTTATTCAAGTAGGCTATTACAAGCACTTTTGAATCGTCCAAAAAAAAATTTTTCCCCTACTACTTGTTTAGGACGTCTTTTAGCTGACAAGAAGAACAAGCGAAAGAAACTTACCAGCTTTTTATCATAAGTAATGACATTTACATAAATCATGTCATTACCAAAATAATATGTATTATCACAATAATAAATGCAACTTTCAAAGTCTGTAGGACATAGGTTGGACATATAATGTAAAAAGAGTTAACGATTATAAAAAATCTTTCACCAATGATGCTTCATCATACGCGGATGACACAGGCTATAATTTACAAGGGTGGAGTCACGAGAAAACGGCTAGTTTATTAATATTGAGATCACTTATAATTAATCATCATCATCACCAGCCCTTTTACGTCCTTTTACTGCTCAGGGGCTCATGCCTTCGTTATGGATGGTTAAGGAGGATGGGCCATGACCCTTCACGCTGGCCCAATGCGGATTGGAGGGTATTAACGACTGCAAATGCAGCCGGGACCAACGGCTTAACGTGCCTTCCGAAGCACAGAGTAACTCGAGATAATAATTTTTTGGTCACCCATCCCGTGACCCTAGCGAAAGTTACTTAACGACTAAAATCGCGGGCCTCGGCGCTTATCCACTACGCCACCGAGCTTATAATTAATAATAGAGATTAATTAAAAATTTTCGTTGCTTCTATTTTTAAAAATATAAAATTATTGATTTCACTGGTCAATAACGGAATTCTGATATTAATCATAACTAGCTTTCCGCCAGCGGCTTCGCGTGGTCTTGTATTATACATAAAAACCTTCCTTTTGAATTAACCTATCTATGGAAAAAAAACCGCATAGTTTTAAAGATTTAAGCATACCTAGGGATTTAGGGACAGAGAAAGCGACTTTGTTTCGTCACTACATAGTGACGCTGGCAAGTAGGACGCTTTGATTCTCTGTAAGAGTAGGTAAATAGCAAGTAAGAAGTATGCAATGATGACAATGTTTATTCAATTTATTGCTGATAATCAGGGGCTGAATAAGTATTTAAATGTTCTGGGCAAATATAATACCTATTTATCATCTTTTACCAACTTAAGAGGCTAATTGATCTAAAATTTTGTGTTATTTAGTTATACAGGGTTAGTTGTTAAATGCAAAGTTGCAAAAGTACATGGTGATTACTAACTAAATGCTATAAATCGTACGGATTAATTTATAAACAATCAATAAATAAATATTCTATTTGTTCTGAAACGAAAATTCGAATCATTCTTAATTTTTTGTTAAATCTGTGGATCAGGGGCAGTGTCAGGTTCCACCTCTGTTACATCATAAATAGTCGACAAATGCTTTTCTATGAAGTCGTATTAGAATTCCGAAAATGACGTATTTATATTTTCGCAGAAATAACTTACGCTTTCCCGTAGCATGGTAATTCATACCAGATCATGCGATCTACCAGATTCTGAAATATTAGGTTATATATAGCTCAGCCAACTGGTTAAAATACCCTTTGAATTTGATGGATAGCCCTTTACTGGAATTGTGATTGGGTAGTTAAATCATCATGAAGTTTAAAACGTTCAAAGCGACGGCTGATTTAAAAGGCACCGTAACATTAATTTGGTTTGTATTTATACAGGGTTAGTTGTGAACAACTAACCCTGTATAACTCAATAACACAAAAACAAACTTTGCTTTGATCAATTAGCCTCTTGACATATTGGACAACCTCCGAAGCAGAGTAGTTCGCAAGCCAATTTCTAGGTGTTGCCGTCTCTGAGGCCACGAATTCAATTCAAGGGTCAATGTAGAAATATCACTTTGTTTTCTCATATAAAGTGCTACAAAAGAGGTGTGAAAAAGCGCTTTAACAGGCCGGCAAGATAGTGGTGGCTACCAGGGGTAGTTTCAACTTCTGACAGCTGCAACTATTATTAGACTGTAATGTCACTTCCCACCAGGTATATTACAGTCACTTTGATATGCAACAATAAAAAAAATTATATATACTCAATAATACAACAGTTTTAATTTAATGTATGTGATATTGACCATTTTTAATAAATTTTTTGCTATAAAAAAGGGATCTTCAGAACTACAGAATTTTAATAGCAACATCTAAATATAAGATTTTATTTACAAGTATACAAAAACTAAACTTACCAAGAACTAAAACTTACCCCAAACTGCTGTGATTCAGATTTAATATTGTAGTTCTCATTAAGACATGTTTCCACATTACCTAAGACTGCAACATCATTACTGTCCATACTCCCCGTATCATCAAAATTGGGATAATCATATGATACTAATAGATCACCGGTAATTGGCATTTCTTCTTTCACCTCGGTGTTTAAGCAGTCATCTTCCATTTTAGGTATTATTTCATGTTCTCTCATACTATGATTTTCTTCAGTGTCCAAAAGTTCTGATGCACTTAACGGGTTATTATCAGGAATGACTGTTCTCTCGAAATCCATAGGGATCTCGTCTTTGACAATCAACTCATGTCCAAGGTCATTAGCACTTTCACTTACATGTAGATCCTCACAGACATTTTCATCTTTAATTTCCACCATCATATCAGGAAACTTATTATCATTTGCACTATCAGTTTCCTGCTTTACAGATGCGATTTCCATAGATAGTTCAACTGCTTTCGAAGAGTCAAATGTCATTGTTAAGTGTGACATTTTTTACTGAAAACTTTAAATAATTATAAATTCATATTATGCAAGAATATTGGCAATGTTAATTAAATAGCTCGTACAACAAACATTCGTCACCTATGATCGACATGTTTACATAAAAGATTGAAAAAGATACTTACGAATACAATAACAGTAATATAACTAGAATTTTGAAAAGCTAACAAGTTTTATAGTCATTTAACTTCAATAGCGATTCCATAATATTCTCAAATATGTTTAGGAATATATTCTACGATTTTGCGTTAACAGTAGATAAAAATAAAACCAATAAGAATTTACCAAACAATGTTTGATAAATATTTTTATTTTGATTACGAATTTCGGAATGGCATCTGTCGAATAATGCCTATACTATCTAACACGTGATTGTGACGATTTTATTATGAATTATTTTTACTTCGTGTATTTGTTTTGATGGTATATGGCAAAATCGATGGTAAATCATCGTAAAATCGTAGAACAGAACGATAAACAATTTTTAGACATTTTATATTTTAATTTCTTTAAATGCGGATATAGTCCATGCAGCCAGTTAGTAATATATATTTATTTAAATCTTATTTTTATATTCATTTAATAATATGTACTTTATTTTTTATTTTAAGTTTAATATGACAGATGGCCCAAGATTATGGCCTAATAATACTTTTTGTGCACTGACATAATATGGTTAGCAAATCCTTAATGCAGGGAGAATTACGATAAACAAAAATTAACTTTAATATTTTTAACCTACTTTAACTAAAAAAGAAGGAGGTTCTCAATTCAACCGTATTTTAATTTTTTATTTATGTTACCGCATATATCCGGTATATAGAATTCGATTTGGAAAATTATTTTTGCATCCAAACGAGTAGTGTCCGTGTTGTCTCATGGACTTGCTAATATACAGGAATGTTATTTTCTAGTGCGAGATATTTTTTTTGGTGATTCAGTTTCAGTAATAGAATACCTTTCATAATTTGTTTAATATAAAATACATACATATTTATCCTTATTAAAACAGTAGAATATAGACACATTTTTTTAAATAAAATTTCAATGAAAGTTTCTCTTCTTCCGTACACCGCCGTGCATCCCCGCCACCTAGGACCGGGCGACGCGCTTGACAGTGGCGGCAGTGAGACATACACACGCGTTATTGTCCCGTCACACCTCACGTTCCCGTGCAAGCGTAGTGCCCACTGTTCGATCCTTTGGTGTTGTATTTTGTGATCACGATTTTAGAATTTACCAATCGTGAGTTTTACAAGATGGTACGAGTTTATCTTCTGAATAGTGAGAACCTAAGCGCAGATTAAAGAATGCATGCGACGGAGATCATACCTCGCATGCGAGACTTTGGAATCCGTAACCCCACGGACGGGGATTATTAAAAAATAAAATAATAGGGCGCGTTTTCATCGACGGCGCCTTTACCGGGACGAGTTATTTAGAAATGTTACAAAATACCATAGCAAATTTGACTGAGATTATACCGTTGTTGTACCTAAGGAACTTTTATTTTCAGCTCGATGATGCTCCACCTTATTATGCCATACAGGTATGAATTACCCAAATGAAAATTATGGGGAAAATTGGATCAGTTGTGACCCCGTACCGTGGCCGGTTAGATCTCCGGACCTTACACCATGCGATTTTTTCTTATGGGAAGAAGTCAAACGCTCGGTGTATGTAGAGGAGGCAGAAAGCTTCGAAGACTTAAAAACAATAATTAATAACGCTTTTAGTGAAGTGAAAAGTGACACTAGTGTTACCTACTTAAATAATTAACTAAATTAAATGTCAATAAGGGAGTATTTAAAAAAAATATTAATTCCCGAAATCAAACTAGATGTCGCTACGGTACGTTCTTGATTTCACCATGACAACCTTTCCGGTTTTCTTTCATGTTTTAAAATAACTTAGTTTTCAAAATACTTTTCACAGTTTCAGTTTAAATTTTTAAACAACGATGTTTTTTGTAATGGAAGGATGAAAGAACGAGACACTCGGCCTCCGTTGTGACTATCTCTCTCGGCTTAGATTAGCTTCTTGTTATGTAATTAAGACAAGCCTTGAAAATTAAAGCCTTTATTTAGCTTATAAAAAACATATAGGAAAATATCAGAAGACAAGAGAAAAACTATGACAACAAGGAACTGTAGTATCTGTAGAATCTGTAGTATCTGTAGAAGGAACAATAAAAATACACTTTAATGAAAAGTATTAAAGTTCATTTTTGTAATGAGAATTACTCAGAGTTATAAGTCCTGCCTGTTATATCAGTACTACGTCCATAGATCCCATTGAGTATTGGTTAAAGTTTGGTCATCAATGTGGAAGGAATATTAGGACCATTGCTTTTTCTAATTTACATTAATGATCTTCCTCACTTTACAAAGAATTTGTGCGAGACAGTGTTATTTGCTGATGACACTTCTTTATTGTTTAAAGTTAAGAGGGGTAATGATTGTTTTGACGATGTAAATGATGCTCTCGACAATGTTCTATAGTGTTTTGATAGTAATAATTTAAATAGTGAAAAATTTGATTTGTTGGAATCGACAAAGTTCCTTGGTATTACACTAGATTCCCGACTGCAATGTGATCCTCATATTTATTATTTTGTCAAGTAGACTGAGTTCTGCAGTATTTGCTGTTAAGAAAATAAGACTCTTGACATGTGTTGAAACGGCAAGATTGGTATATTTTAGTTATTTTCATAGTGTAATGACGATATTTTTATTTTACAAAAGAGAGCTGTCCGCGCTATATATAATTTACGGTCTAGATAATCTCTCAGAGAAATATTTAAAGAAATAAATATTTTGACTGTTGCCTCTCAATACATCTATGAAAATATTATGTACGCAAAACAACATTACGATTCCATCACAAAAAAGTAGTGTTCATAATCTTAACATAAGACATAAAAATAAACTTGCCGTTCCAAGCTTCAGACTTCAGAAAAAAAGAGGATCATTTCTGGGTAAATGCATTGCTATGTTCAATAATGTTCCACAAAATGTAGTTGACCTACCCATAAATAAATTTAAAATTCACGTAAAGAACATACTTATGTGTAAAGGCTATTATAAAGTTGATGATTATTTTAAGGATCGCAATGCATGGAATTAATAGCCTTCGCCTTGTTCTATAAAGACTAATTATATGTTCAACCTATATCCTACAGACTTTGAAAGTTGTATTTATTATTGTGATAATACATATTATTTTGGTAATGACATGATTTATGTAAATGTCATTACATTACTTATGATAAAAAGCTGGTAAGATTCTTTCGCTTGTTCTTCTTGTCAGCTAAAAGACGTCCTGAACAAGTGGTAGGGGAAAAAAATTTTTTTGGAAGATTCAAAAGTGCTTGTAATAGCCTAGTTGAATAAAGATATTTTCATTTCATTTCATAAGATATTCTAGGGATTCAGATCAATAGAATAAGCCCTGCGGTTGAGTATTTTAGTGTTACCTATTGTATAAAAAAAACAATAAAAAAAAATTAGACCGACTTCAAAAACTTCGTAATAAAAAGAAATGACCGAAAAAGAGAAATAATACCACAAATATTTATCTTCAATAAAATCGAAACAAAAAAGTTTATACATCAACAATTTGTTTGTTTGAGGTCTGTTAATCAAGTATGTTCATACACAGATAAACTGATTATCTCCTTTTTTACAGTTGATAAAATAATAAATGATATTAGATGATAGGATCCCGCCCAACCTATATTATTCCTCTATGTGCCCGCCCAACCTATATTATTCCTCTATGTGCCCACCCGACTTCATTAGCATCTCCTTGAATAAGTCACTTTTGATAAGTATTATTTATCACTTTTTTAAAGTTTGACGTTGGTTCTATTTTTTAAAAGGTTTTGAAATAAGCTTTTGTTTAAATAGGTACAGTTATAAGTAAAATTCAATTTTGTTTTAAATCTAACTCGTAATTTAATGATATAATCTATTTATAAAAGCCTCTCGATACACATTATTTTTCTAAAATTAGAATGATACCGAATATATAGTAGTAATCCATGTGTTACCATTTAAAAAAATATTAAAATGGCCGTGTTGTAGTATGTTATTTCGTTTTTAAGGATCGGATCGCTTCCTTTTCTTGTTTTTTTAGGATCTAAAACGCATCTATAAATTTTGAGAGGTAAAATCTGAAATGTATGCGAAAACTTTCGCTGTTTTGTGGTTTTCATATTAATTAACTCCGGAATGATTTTCTCAGCAGAAATCATTGCCAAACGGGATTATGACAAACGAATTGGATTTGCGACTTGTTGTAAAACATATTGCAAACGGTACGCTTGGTGAAAATTTGTGTAGAATTTGTTTACTGCCACTAACAGATCTTTATGAAAATATATTTACTAAGATCTGTAAAGAAAACGAAGAAATCTGCATAGCGGATATTTTAAAAGAGATATGTAATATTCAGGTTTGTAATTACATATTAATTTATATTCAATATTATATATACCTGTCTTTTGTAAATACTTTTTAGTTTTCAGACAGTGATCACTTTAATGTTTGCTCCGTCTGTGTTATATCTACATGGAATGCCTATAAATTATATTTACACATTAGGCGTAACGACGAACTCCTTAACTTTTATGCTGATAATTTGTTGTATAATCTTGATGCTCTAGATTCAGTAAATACATTGAAAAATGAAAATATGTTTATTTCACTACCAGTTATATCACCGGCCATACCTTATTTAGACTGTGATGTGACCAAAATATGTGTAAAAAAGAATGAGTTGATAACAGAGAATGATGATACCAAAAATAGGGAAGATATAAAGAAACCACTGATTACCGAAAGTAAAAAAGTAAACATGGAAGTTAGTAAAGAATTATTAAAAAATATGAGTGAAAAGTCAAATGAAAAACTGGTGAAAACTGAACAAGATGATGATGATGATGACATTGTTATAATTATGAATGAAAGAGGTCAACCATCATTTTTTAAGATGCTATCCAATGGAGATATGGTGGAAATAGAATATGATGATAGATGTCGTAATGCTTATAGAGTCATAATGGAAGAGATGCCTAGAAAAAGAGTTCATAAGAAAAAAAGGGAGCCAATGACATGGAAACAATGTACTAAATGTCCAATAAAATACAGATTTGTGGCTAAATTAAGAGAGCACATGTGGCACGAACATGGAATTTTGCTGTACTCATGTAAAGTAAGTAAATCATATTTATTTCCCTTTTTTTTAATGAAAGGTCATTTTTATTTTTTAATATGTGACTTTACATGTACTCATTATTCTTATGTTGATTGATAATTGGTCTAACAATTTGTCCATGAAAGTATAACAGACATACAGTTTTGCAATTATAATATTTGTATGAATTAAGAAAGATATATCTTATCCTTATTAACTATATAAATTCAAACAGAATTATTTTTTTAGATCTGCAAAGCACTCATGGAAGAAGAAGATGAATATCAATTCCATATGAGCACACACACAAATGAATATCAGTGTGAAAAATGTAATATTGTGTTCAAAAAACGTGATACAATAATATCACATTTGGCACTACATAACAAGAGAGGTAAAAGACATCAGAATACAAATTATGTGTGTAAAGAATGTGGTAAAATAATGAAAGATGAAGAAAGTTGGAAAATACATATTGAAGAACACAATCTCAAGGAGTATACATGTTATTACTGCGGTCGAATGTACAAGAAAGAGATTGGATTTAATAATCATATAAGGAAACATGAGATGTACATGAAATTAAAAGAAATCAGGTAAGCTCAAGTTACTGTACTTTACAAGCTTAATCCAGATAAAAAGTAGTTGTTATCTATACAGAATCATACTTTTCTCAAACAGTGAAAGAGGTTCCAACAATAGGCATAGACATAGATAGACCCTCTCTATGGATAGAATCTAATCTTATAGGGAGAATGGGCCATAACAGTGTGGATTGGTTGATATTAACGAATGCAGATGCAGCTGGGCAAATGGCTACAGCAAACCCTTTATTCTTGTTAGACCACTAATTATTATACTGCCTTTTACTATTATACCGACTGCTCTGTTAATAATAATAATAATTATCATTTATATATAAATGTCAAACCTGTTTTCCACACTTAACTCAAAATCATTTATTTAGTCTAGGCTGTTACAAGCATTTTTGAAAGTCGTAACTCTGTGTGATCGGTTCATAAATCTTAGGCGGGTGACTTTGTACCGAGAAGAACTAGCAACAAAAGTCAGCAAGGGCTACTTTTTTCTACCTGTTTTTATAGCATTCAGAGTAGTCAAGATTGAAAAATGACTTCGTTAAAATATGAAGTCACTATAAGAAATGATCAGAAAAGCATCTAAATATTCATCTAGCGGAGACTGTCTCAAACAGCAGCACACATTCACAAGCATGACATATATGCCAGCCATCGCTTCCCTATATCATATTTTAGGGAACGTAATAAACCGACTCACAAGATTTAAATGCTCTAATCTAGTCTATAAATGAATAACATGCTAATCTAATTTCCTTATTTTTAATGATATTTAGGCAGAAACAAGGAGAGAAGCGTTCCATCCAATTAGAAAAGCAAAAGCTGGAGAAGCAGATGGCAGAGCAGAAGCAATCCAAAGAGTTCACATGCGAAGTGTGCGGGCGCACCATACTCAGCGAACGCGCTCTATTGTGGCATCGCCGGTTACATACTAACGAACGTCCATTTACTTGTAAGGTAACTTAAAATTAATTTTATACAATGATATTTGAAAAATCCACACCTCTCGGTACTTGTATCACGGTTTTCATAACCTTTGTGTCTCGTGATAACATTCTTTGCTTCACTTTGCCACAGTAAAGTACAAGTACATATAGACTATGTGACAAAATTGAGTAGATGCATCTATGCGAGTACAATAGCAATATGTCTGTGCTCAAATGAAGGTGGGTACGAAATTATCAGTTTGACGACCGTGTTAGTCTAGTTAAGGTCTCTTATACCTTTATTGGATAAGCCGACTGCTCTGTTAGTGAAAGGTTATGGGTTCGAATCCTGCCTAAAGTTAATGAACAAACTAAATCCATTATAACATATAATTTCAAAAGATTTAAATGTATCAAAAGAGATTACTGGCACTATTTCTTGACAATTGAAATGAATGGAACCGTCACAGTTCCTACCTTAAAGACATATCTTAGGGCTGGTTGCACCAAATTAGTTTTACAACAACGAACATGTTAAAGTACCAGCGAAGAAAATAGTATGTTGCATCATTTGGCAATGGTGAGATGACGTCATAACCTTAACTGTTAATTTTGCAACGTATTCCGTTGTTAATGTTAAAGTCAGAGTGACAGTTATTGTCAAATTTAACAAAAACTTACGGACAGTTGCACAAACATCCATTAAGTTTCAGGAAATAAAATTCATGTAAAGAACATACTTATGAGTAAAAGCTATTATAAAGTTGATGATTATTTTAAGGACCGCAATGCATGGAATTAATAGCCTTCGCTCTGTTCTATAACGACTAATTATATGTACAACCTATGACCTACAGACTTTGAAAGTTGTATTTATTATTGTGATTGTATTGTATTGTTTCGAGTTGCGGATTATCTTGGGTTTATGCAGCCCAGTATCACTGCGACCATTGCTGATCTATTGTGATCTCCACATACTACAGTTCACGGTCAAGATTACATTCTACAAGGAACTGTAGTATTTTCTTGGCCGTAAGTTCTTTAATATCGTCTGGGTGCATCACGTGCTTTCCCAGATAGATACATCGTTTTCGCATTAGTAACGGGCAATCGGTCAAAATGTGCAAAGGTGTTTCTTCTTCCTCCTTGCATCCTCTGCACATTCTACTGTCGCTGATCCCCATATTGTGCATGTGTCTGTTCAGTCCACAATGCCCTGTGAGTGCTCGTACTAGTGTGCGAAGGTGAGTTTTGGTTAAGTTTAAGGCCTCTGATGCCGCCTTTTTGTTGAAGGTTTTAATCAGGGTCTTAGAGTGTTTCATACCGGGAGTGTTTCTCCATAGTTGAATAGCTGCGTAGTGGCAGTAAGTTTTCAAGGTGAGCTGGGTTAGGCTTTGAGGGATGCCACAGAAAGGTTCTGGTCCGATAAGGGCGTCTTTAGCACCCTTTTTCGCCAGTTTGTCCGCCTGTTCATTGCCCTCGTGTCCAGCGTGCCCTGGAACCCATCGTAGAACTACTTTGTTGTTGTTGCCCAAAGAGTTCAGTGTCTGTTTGCAGTTCTCGACCAGCTTCGATCTAGTTATGTCGGAAGCTAGTGCTAAGAGTGCAGCTTGACTATCAGAGTGGATGTAGATAGTATGATTGAGGTAGTTATTTTGCAGATTGGCTGCCGCACATTCCAAAATGGCGTACACCTCTGCCTGGAATATTGAGGAGTACTTTCCCATGTTCAGACTTATAGCCTTCCTTGGGGCTTCTCCATGAATTCCACATCCTACCTCAGGACCGGATTTGGAGCCGTCAGTGTACCACTTTAGGCTTCCATTTTTCCATACTATACGATTGTTTGACCAGTCGTCCCTGGTGGGTATCTCCACAAGATATGACCTGTGTGAATCGATTCTCGGGGGCATGGTGTCAGTAGGCATCCCCAGGATTGGTATATTATTGTGATGATACATATTATTTTGGTAATGACATGAATTTTCAAATGTCCTTACTTATGATAAAGAGCTGGTAAGTTTCTTTCGCTTATTCTTTTTGTCAGCTAAAAGACGTCCTGAACAAGTGGTAGGGAAATAGTTATTTAAGATACGAGTGCGGAAAGTAATGTTTTACGAATAAGGGCCAAATTACCACGAATTTGAAAAACATTTTACGCTCAAGTTTCTTACAACATTTTTCAATGCTTTTTGGAAGGAAATAAAACAAATATATAGGTTAATAAAAATAAGTCTGTATTAAAGGTAAAAATTATTTCTTAAAATTAAAGGTGATATTTGAACATGTTTTCGTGTCATACATTTTTATTTGAAAATATTCGTTCTAGGCTCCTTGAAATACTTTTGCCTCTAAAGTTTGACATATTTTCATCATTTTTTTTTTAAATTTCTTTGGTGTGCGGCCAAAAAAAATTAAAAAAATACTTTTAAGCACATGTGCAGTAAAGCTTTTATTTAACAAGTGTTTAAAGATTCACTTTCGGTGTTTACAATGGATTTAAACAAAAATAGCGCTTTATGAGCAACTGCATTAAAAAAAATTTTTTTTGGACGATTCAAAAGTGCTTGTAAGCTTACTTGAATAAAAATATTTTCATTTCATTTCATGTTAGACTTGCGGACGTGGATTCGTGTCGTCCAATCGTTGTAAGCAGCACGCTTTGTGCGCTCACACGACCCCCAAGCTGCGCTGTCCGCTGTGTCCAGCGCTGTTCCATATGCGCTCTATGGTCAACTCTCACATCAAGAAGGTGAGTACATAGTAGGAGAGCGGATGACAAAAATCGACAAGAGTCTAGTAAAGGTCCATAACTTATTATGACGTATTAATTAGGGTGTTTGAGTCACCACCACTCACAAGGCCACAAGGTCAGGTATTGGGAACACCAGGCGGCGGCATGCTCTAGAAGCGTTTAGTAATAATTGGAAATTTGCAAAAAAGTAGTATAAAAAAGGAGTGTAAGTCAGACCGCTATATAAGTTGTCGCCTGAACGATGTCAGTGCAAGAGCTGAAACTTGACGTACTGCTTTATTATTAATTATAATTATTAAAAAAAATCAGATCACAAATGAGGAATATTAAAAAAAAATGAAAGCACTAAAATAGCACCTCCACTAGATGGCGACTCTAGCAAAAGTTGATTATTGCAGGAAACGAATGGACCAAAGACAGTTATTTCCGTTCCTTCTAACTAACATATACAAATAGAATATGAGTTCTTTATTTTAAATTACTTTTATATATATATATATATATATATATATATATATATATATATATATATAATTTACTTTTAAACTTGAAAGAAAACCGGAAAGGTTGTCATGGAGAAATCAAGAACGTACCGTAGCGACATCTAGTTTGATTTCGGGAACTAATGCTTTTTTAAAAATACTTCCTCATTGACGGGATAGAATTAAAAAGATGAATTATAAGACATATCATTCAATATTTTAGGTACACTTGAAGTCTCACAAGCGTCGCACTCGTACCGTTCGTCAGCATCAGGTATTCTGGCAAACGGAGACTGTTCCTATACAAGAGCTGAGCGTAGCAATACAGAGCGATATTATAGAATTACAGGCGGCTAATAAGACCGCCACTGACGATGGGGTGAGATAATAGTAAGATCCTAATAATATAGCGCATGGTGAATCATCGTTTGTGACCTTTGGATTTAGACGATGGTCGAGCGTAAGGTTTAAACGTTTAACGAGTCGTATTAAACGTATAATGAGTAGCTCGGTGGCGTAGAGGATAAGCGCCGCGGCCAGCGATCGTTGTTGTTAAGCAACTTTCGCAAGGGTCGGTCACGGGATGGGTGACCAAAAAATTATTATCTCGAGCTACTCCGTGCTTCGGAAAGCACGTTAAGCCGTTGGTCCCGGCTGCATTTGCAGTCGTTAATATCCTCCAATCCGCATTTGGCCAGCGTGGAGGGTCATGGCCCATTTTCGTTAACCATCCATAAGGAAGGCCTGAGCCCCTGCAGTGGGGACATAAAAGGGCTGATGATGATGATGATGATATGATGATGATGATGATGATGATGATGATGATGATGATGATGATGATGATGATGATGAGTCGTGTTTCAATAATCATAAGATGTAAAATACAACGCATTAGGTATCCATCTCATTTATACTCGCCGTGGGTCAAGGTGTGCGGATCGTACGATAACACATTACTGAATCATTCTTCAGTGAAAGGTTACGGGTTAGAATGAGCACAACTTTAATGAAAAAAAATTAATGATCATGTGTGTGATGGTGCGAGATCCATTGTACTTCTTTACAGTGCTATTTTATGTTATTATTAGCAATTTAATTATTAGTCCAAATTCATATTATACAGAGAACAAACCGATCATCTTTTAGGAGTAAATATGACTCCCGTAGAACCTCGTAAGGGTAAGCTTTGTTGAGTCTCTCAAACTTTGTAAGTAATAATATGAACTTTGACTTATACTAAATGCAAATTTACTCCAACTCTAACGGTCAGTTGCACAAACATCCTTTAAGGTTTAATGACACCTTTAAGCTCTAATGAATGTCAAATTTGTATGGGTAATGTCGCTTTAAACTAATGATAATTTTAATGGACGTTTGTGCAACTGGCTTTTAACCTTGTTTATTAATAACACTGTTAATGTATAAGGAAGTACAATGCATCTGTAATAACTAGCTCTTTTATATATTTTTTCTGTTCCAGATGTTTGTAGATTAATGAAGAGAATTAGACGGTATTAGTTTTTATTGTGATTTTATAAATATTGTTAATGAGTTATATAATTTAATCATGAAATAAAATTTAGTTTAACGCAATAAAATATTTCTTTTCATAATCTTAAATAGAGGGATATAAAATTAAAAGTCTAGGCGCTTCTGGATCTTAATTTTATCAAATTATTTGAAATATTTTTTATTCCTGATTAGTGTACCTATAATACATATACATCATCATATATTAACTATTTAGTGTAATATTGATATGTTGCAGCCAATTAGGTGATTAGTTAACAGCCTAGGTCGTCAACTAAATCCCGGCATCCAATTAAAAAGCTGAATGACATGTAGCAATTCATTTCAAAAATTTTGTTTACTGATGAGTTTTTTTTTACAATAAGCAATATTTTAACAAACAAAATGACCGTATTTATGATTAAGGCTCTAAAGAAGCTTCATAATTATGACTAATTAGCAGTGGTCGGAATTAGGTAGTTATTCATGTACTTACACTGATTTCATACAGTGAAAGAATAAAGTGGATATGCCTCAAATCCCGAGATTAATTTTAAAGAGCAGAAAAAATCTCGTGATATTTTAAATAAAAAGTTATTTATTTTTACACAATTTAAACTACTGCACGCACGACGTTGCCAAACTTACATCAATGACATCGGATGTCCAAAGTTGCAAAATACCAATTAGCGCGATGTTGCCACATTTGTAGTTCGCACAACATAGCTTGTGAGAACAAAAGAATACAATAGCGCAAATGCGGAGCACTCCCCACTTAACGTAATATACTAGATTGTGTCTCTTTCTACCGCATTCAAACTATCTATTAGCAATGAATCGGTTTACTCATTCATTTAGCTCATTCGCTTACCTCAGCTCGTCGAATGCGCTCACTTGTTTCCTATTGTGTTTTGTGTAGTCAATCCTGTTTGACCCTGGCTCGTTTACTGGATTCTGGACTCTACTTAATACGACTATTTCGGCACGCATTAACGGACTTTGATTTGGCCATACTGTATTGGATAATTGGATATTTGAAATTGGTGATATACTTGGTAAGTTTCTTGTTCGTATTTTTATTAAATTTCCTTTAAAATAGATTTACCCTATGTAGAATGTTTTCTTGTATTGTTATCAAAATCGGCATTGTTTAACTTAAGATGTTCTTTGATACAATCACAATAAAGTAACAATGATTTCAAATGCTACTGAAGAAGTTTAACATACGGGACTCGTTTTTTTTAATTGATTGACTATATGGTTAACGATTGGAGTTAGATTTTCTGGTAATCTTTTATTGATTTTCTTTTTTGGCTTTAAACTTTAGTATAAAACAAAGTTCGCTTCCCGCCGTCTGTCTATCTGTATGAATTTATGCACGCTTAAATCTTTTAAACTTCGCAACTGTTGTGCCTTATCTCTCATATACTTACAAACACATTCATATGGTTTTCTAAAATTTATAATTTTTTTGCTCCAGATTAAAAGTATTATCATGGCGCAGAGTTCAATCAAAGAAGCCACCGTCAACAAGTGATTAATTTACTGCTCTAAATACGAAGCACATTTGAATGCAACTCGTCAGAGTAACGTCCAAAGACATGCAGAAGGAGCAGTACCTACATAAAGGCACGAAGAACGAGCGCCACACTCCTTTAGAATTTTACTTCGACTTAATCGAATTTATGATTCTTTGTAACATATCATGATCAATGTATTTAAAACATTTTTTCAAAAGTACATGTGTTGCAATTGCAAAAATATTGAACTACCTAGTGAATCCTTATTGAGAAAAGTTTACCTGGATCAGCTTTTTAAAATCAAAGCACAAGAGATGCAAAGTAAGATTGTAGATAAAAAGCTATGGCTTTCAGTAGACGAAACTACGGATTTCTTAGGAAGAGCTGTCGTACATTTGTTGGTGAGACCATTACAACCTAGTAGGTGCCATCAGCCTTACTTAGTGGCATGTAAAATGCTAGATACTGTAAATGGAACAACGGTATCACAATTTGTTCAAGATTCTTTAAACAATATGTGGGGAAGTTCATTTGAGAGCAAACTAGATAACGTTAGAATGTTATGTACAGACAGTGTGGCATACATGATATCAGCTGGTAGAATTTTAAAATCAACTTTTCCAAAAATGTTGCATTTCACATGTTTAGCCCATGCTCTAAATCTTGTTGCGGGGCAGATTAGAAAAGAGAACCCCTAATGTTGACAGTTTCAAAATATGAAAAAAGTTTTTTTTGTAAGACACCAAAAAGAATTAAAATCTTTAAAGAAATGTGTCCGGATTTACCTTTACCTCCTGCACCTGTAATTACCAGATGGGGTTGATTGGCTTGATGCAGCATTCTATTACGCTAAGCATTTCGATGAAATTAAATCTGTATTGTCTGTGCTAAACAGTCAAGAGGCAAAATCAATAGAGAATGCTTTAAATTTTTTTAATAATAATGACAACATTAAGGATGATTTGTCTTGTATTTACGAAAATTTTTCAATTATACCAACAGCTTTGACATCACTACAGAAACCCGATCTTTCTCTAATGGAATCATTTGAAATATTTGAGGCAATGAGATTAGCTTTGAGATGGGCAAATTGTGAGAGCTTAGAAGATAAAATGGAAAAAGTCATGGATAGAAATCTTGATTTGGACACTATCAGAAATATAGCAGAAAAAATTTCTTCCTGCACTAATGACGAGGAGGAGGAAGTGTATAAATTTTATTACAATTTACATTTGTATGATTTTAATGTTCGGAGAAATTCATTGAAGCCAAAAAAATTGAAAAGCTTATGATTATATGTATATTTTAATTCTCACAAAAGTTATACAGTAATGTCGGAAGCGAACATTTCAAATCTTACTGGTAATCAATCGGACAAGGAAAATGATTCTGATGGGCCGTTTGAATAGGCAAAACCTCACGAGTCTAGGCTAGAAGCAAAAGTATTCGCTCGTATTTATAAAAAAGGCGAAATATGCGTATGAGAATTTGCTTAAGACTATTATTAATTTGTATTGTAAATTAATGTAAACTAATAAAAATTTTATGTTAATTATCTTTGTTTTATTTGTCTATCTCTGACGTTGTTATTATTATTTAGTTGTTAGATTGTTGGCCACACGGGATTGTCCATTAGAAATCCCGGGAAGGTCCACATTAATATCAACATTTCGATGCAAGTACATAAATAACTCTACCTAATTCCGACCACTGGTTATAACATGAAGGACAACATCTTAAATGTTGATAATTATGTCTTTGCTCTCATCATCACATCCTATGGCCTTTGACTTGATTGTGACGATAATTTTCCGTATAGTATCGGTTGACATTGGGGAAAAGGTAAAAAAAAACCGAATGAGATTGGGCCTTGTTAGCACTTGGTGGTGTTAGATTTGGCGAATCCATAGTGGAAATAGAAGAAAAATTAGCGAAGGAACTCCAAATATTAGCTGAAGAAGAATGATATCATCGTAGAAATATTGACATTTGGCTGTTCTTACCATTCGGCTGCATCGATTACGTGTCCTCTTGCAGAGACTCCGATTTTCCTCCGACCTAATCGTGTTTGAAAGTGCGGAATGCTCGATCCCTCCGTGTCATAGCCATACGAACTCCTCTACTGATCCATGGCGCTGGACCGCTTCAGTTTTACCACCTTTAGCATGTGCATCATATAAGCTCAATATATATTTTTTTAAAAGAGATACTTTCTCATCGAGTAGCGGAGAATCAAACACGGAAGAAAAGTCAAGACTAGCAGCATCTTCTTTTAACTTGTCAAGGTTAAGTCGAGCGAAATTACGCATCCAGATAGCTTTAGTTTAGGTGGTTTTAAAAGCCAGGTGCAGGTAACTGACCATGTTTAATTACATTGTTGGAAATTGTTATAATCAAGTTAAGCCATGTGTCACGTGAAGAAGGATATGGTGAGTCGGCTCAGAAGACAAAATTGATAAATTGACACACTTCACAGATTGAGAAGTGCAACATGAAAGATCAGTGTTGAAGTCACCCATGACTATGAGATGTCTGTAATTCGAACACAGCGGCTCCAGTATAGACTCAAGGTTAGAAAAGTTATCAGCAGTAGGTAAACAATAAACGATTGTAAGAACAGCCTTAGAACCCCCAACAGAGACCTCGAGAAAGACATACTCGGCAGAAAAAGAGTAAGTTGAAGGTGACGAGATCAAAACTTTGTAAGTTATGTCACTGCGCAAGTATATAGCAACACTCCCCTCCACGCCTACCAATGCGATCATTACGGATCAAAGTATACCACGGTAATGAAAAATAGTAAGAGGAATTACTGGGTTTAAGCTAACTTTCTGAAATTAAAATGGGTTGAATGTTATGCACGTGAAATGCAGTGAGAAATCTGTATAGTGGGAGGTTATACTTTGAGCATTTATATGGCAAGCATTGAAGTAATTGGGAGAGCATTGAAAAATATTGTGAAATGTATTGAGTACCCATGTGGGCCAGGATCAGACGTCTGGTGGAACTCATCTTCAGTTGCTGAGAGTGAAGAGAGGTCGCATACGGTGTATATACGCTGTCTCGAACCATTTTTTAATTTAACTATGAAGTTTCCATCCATGGTTCAACATCTTCTCATGCCAAATCGCTTACGCACGTTAATGAAAACGTCCCGGCGCCGGCGAGTAAGGAATTCAGAGATTGTATCAGCTGTACCTTTTAACGCAGTCTTCTTATGCCAGATAGCAGCCCTCAAGGAAAACTCTTTGAAACGCACCAACACAGGTCTAAATCTTCCTTCAGCCGCACTGCAAAGTCTATGGCAAATAGTGAGCATTTCTTTTATATGAGAAAGAGAGTCCCTTGAAAAATATTATATCAGTTGCTATGGATGGCGCTCCAGATATGACAGGGAAAAAACCAAATTCTAAATGTCCTTGCAGTACATTGCATTGTTGACAGACAACATTTGGTTGCTAGAAACTTAAGTAAACAACTATTTCAATCACTGCAATATGTCATCAAAGCAATCAGTAAAATCTGTAACAGCTCTTTGAATGATAGATTATTTCACTAGCTTTGTGATACTAATGAGGATTTCAACGGTTTCTTATTTCACACTGAAGTTCATTGGCTATCAAGAGGCAGTTGTCCGACTCGATTTTATAACTTGTTTAACTCTGTGATAGAGTTCTTGGAAACTATATAATTGAATAACAAGCTTATTGCATCATATAATGATATAGCTTACATGACAGACCTATATAAATAGTTCAATGATATTAATGTCCAACTACAAGTTGATGAACTAGATTTAATTAAAACAAAAAATGTCTTTGCTGTTTTTGCAGCCAAACTGCTTCTAAACAAAAAGATTATGGGCCGACGTGAGTTTCACAATTTTCGGCGTTAAAAAAGAATTTATTCTCTAAGTGGGCAGTAGACAAAATAAGTTTGAGAACCCTTGCTATAGGGTATCATTAGAAACTTTACATCATCACAAGTGACATGAAATACATTTTATTTTTTTGTTTGTTAGGGTGTCATTTAATAAATGTTTTAAAAAATAGAAATTTTTGTATCAAATTAATGGTCTTTATGAGTACATTCCAAAAATATATATTTTGTACATTGTTAATTATAATAAATAATAAAAACACGAAATTTGTAATTTTTATTGTATATTATTTTGTTGATTGTTGCGTTTTTCTTGAGATAACATTTATTATCTTCTCAGTTTTTTTATTAAATATTTTTACACGTTGTACAGAGGACTGCACTTCAGGTGCAAATGTAAACAATATGTTTAATTTTATCAAATTGATTTTGAACTCTACTCTGAATGCATTAAGGTATATAATCAAGTAAAAGTATTTGACGTAGCTCGGCGACATAGGGGATACACTCCGCGACCTGCGATAGTTGTTGCTAAGCGCGGTGGGCTTACGAAGGCCTACCCACAAAAACCCCTACGGTGTACCCTCCCCTGGGGATGAGACCCGGGATGCCGTGACCGAGTCTCCGAGACGCTCACCCCCCAGGCTAGTTCATCCTAACTGTATAAATTGTTATTATAAATTAAATTTTTACTTCAATTAATTTCTAATAGATGGCCCTACAGTTTTGTGTAAATGGCGGTGTTAAGAATTATAGTTATTGATACGAGTTTATTTCATTTTCTTTATTTAAAGCATTTTGTGCATTCACTTATCCGTGCGTTTCATTGTGTTATTGAAAATTGTTACCCTCGGGGCGTTAGTTTAGTTTTGGACTGACTGAGCATCGAACACTAACCAAAACATTTCGGTTGAAAATTAGCAGTTGGCAAGAAACGCTACGAAATACTACGACCAAATATTCGAAATCAATCAACCGTTTGCAGAGCACGCTCTTCCTTACTCCGTCCGTACTAACTTCATTAGGAGAACAAGTAGTAGGTTTTTATTTTACATTTCAGTTAAAAGTAACTATCAATCTTACTACGTTTCCAATCGTAGCGCTAAGAATCTGCGAGTGACGCTACGGGCATCTACGATTATGCTACTAATGTTCTCCGCCTGTGGAGCAACCGCATAAGGGGCCGTCCATTAATCACGTGATGTTTTTTTCAACATTTTTGACCCCCCCCCCTTCCCCCTTGGTGATACATGGTGAGGTTTAAGACTATCCCCTTCCTCCTTCAACCAAATCACGTGTATTTAAAAACAAAAAATATCTATTTTTGACGTCGCTTTTCGGTTTAATAATCGCGTATCAAGGAAAAAATAAATACACGTGATATATTACTACACCCCCCCACCCCCCTTGTGATATTTCGTGATTTTTAACGAATCCCCCCCCCCCTTTCGAGCCTCACGTGATTAATGGACGGCCCCTAACTCATCCGCTAAAACTAGCCGTAACTATAAAAGCGTTTAATTGATATTATCAAGGAATATATTTATTATTATTTATACGCATATTTAATTAAATATTTTTGTTTATTTCGGTTATCGAAACAACTTTCTTTCTAAATTACACTTTTATTAATTTGGTCAATACATATTTGTATAATTCAGAAAATTAAAAAAAAAACCCAAATCATTAAATTAATATATAATGTAAATTAATATTCAAATTTTTTTATTTCTTTGTAAACATAAAGTAATTTTTTTATCATTATTTTTTCTGATCACTTTTGCATTTCCAATAATATATTGATATTTACCTTAAAAGAAAATGTTTAAAAAACCCATCTCAAGCAACTAGTGCTCGAGGTGAGATTCGAACCCATAAACAGACATAGCTTGCGCGTCTGCTCTAACCAATTTAACTACCAGATAACCAGCAAGTTCTGTGAATTTAAGAATAACTTGCATTACTAGTGCTTATTAATGTTTAAGAAATTCACCAAAAATATATTAATCACACTATTAAAATAATGAATACAAAATAATCTGACTTAAGTATTATTCACTTTTTTATTTAGAGATTATAATATTATAAAGGATTATTACATCATATGTTTAAAGGAATATCAAGTAAAACAGTTAAATATACTGTTTATAAGATGTTATTCTGAATTATTTTTAAATTTTAAATATTTTAGCCCCAGCTCAGTTTTATGTAATACTAGCTTTCGCCAGCGGCTTCGCCCACGTGGTTTCTAAGGAAATGTTTAGTGAGATAAAAAATAATTTTAATCATCCAGAGTAAAGTAAATCTGACCTAACTTTTATTTTTTTATTTAATATTTCATGTTTGTCAGTCAATCACGCTGCAACCACTGAACAGATTTTGATAATAATAAATCATACAATATCGATTATGACTATCTTATAATATTGATCTATATACGATGTTGTATGATCTATTATTTGCAGTAAGTACATACAAGTTCCTTGCACTTGACACTCGAGAACATGACACATAGAGCTGGCCATGGGAAAAGCAGGGAATGCCCAAATGTATGCCCGCCACTTTTAAGGTTTGTCCCTGGGACTTATTGATGGTCATGGCAAATGCCAATTTCAATGGGAACTGTAGCCTTTTGAACTGGAATGGTAAATGGTGGGGTATAATGGGTATGCGGGGAATCAACACGCTCTCGCCTTTAGATCCTCCCGTAAGTATTGTTGCTCGCACAATGTTTCTTCCCAGTTCGCTGATTTGTAATCTTGTGCAGTTGCATGAGGCATCAAGATTACGCATCAACAAAACTGGGACGCCAACCTTCAGCTCGCAACTTGTGGGGCGGCACGCCAGTCAATTCTAATAACTTGAGAAATTCCACGGGATACGCAGTGCTGTCATCGCTTGCCATCACCGTGTCTATGGACGTGAACACCCTCGTTGCGCCATCTACTACATCTAATACCTTGTTGTTTATTTTATTCACCAATTCATTTTTTGGCGACAGCACTGCTCTCTCACACAACCACTCCTCATTATTTAATTTGTTTTTTAAATCGGGAAATACATTGGCGAGTAGCTCTTCCCCGGTAGCTACTGGATGACAAAATTCGTTGGTGAAAATGATTTTGCCGTCCGGATCGGTTTCCAGCCTACCATCTCCGATCTCGAGCAGCTTACTCGCAAACACACCTGACTCTGTATCATTGTAGAGTTGTGCACGCATATTCCGAGTGAGGTGGAGTTTTTCTACGTGGGACCAAAGTGACGAAGCCTTGAGACACGTGTTCATTTCATCTGCCCCTTTCGATAACTGGAAGAGTTTGCCGAAAATCACCAGCGAGTACAACAACAGCACTTCCTATCAGCATCTCATTACTGCGGATGTCCTGCAGGCTCTGGTTCAAAGCGTTGAGGCTTTGAACCAGAGCGAGTGCTAGTACGACATTGTACACTCGTCCCACACGATTAATTTACATTGTTGCAAAAGGGCACCGCGGTCGCTGCTTTTGCTAATGTTGCACGTTGGGTTTTCTTCCCTTGCAAGAGTCAGAGGTAGTTTAAATACCGAATGAGCAGTCCGTCCACCAGTTAGCAAAGTTTTGCTATCCTTGCTGATGCTACAGCCAGGGCTATATTACGGTCTTGAAGAATGTGAGCAAGCAATAAATTCAGCAAGAACGTTTTACCGGTGCCCCCGGGTGCATCGAGGAAAAAGAGTCTCCCGTCTACACTGTTTACGCATTGCAGGATGGTGTTGTAAACGTTTTACCGGTGCCCCCGGATGCATCGAGGAAAAAGACCTCCAAAACTCCAAAACTATGCTGTCGTAGTTCAGTTCTCACAATATCCCTTGACATGGCAAACCAAAATCAGACAACTTTTTGCCAGATATCGATATAATTTTATCTTTGATAATAATTAAAGCTTCGTTTGTTTACTGCCTGCGTCTATGGGTATGTGTGGTTGTAGCCTGTGCAAAATATCTTCACACATTGCTTCTTTATAGTTTTCCCACAGTTGGACAGGGTTTGATATCCCACAAGTACCCACCAAAATGGCAAACAAATCCCTTACTTTTGATGAGAAGTGGCAAAGAACGACTTCTGCCATTGTTTCTTCCCGGGTTTTTTTCGTCTTCCAATAATCCATGCATTTCGCACGCTTCCCTGAATGTCACCCGCTCATAATCTACTGTTTTTAGTGTTTACGTGCACGGTGTATATCCGACCAAGTGCATCTCCGGTCTTCACAACTGGCCAGTTTGGGATGGGTGTTCCCTGCGCATGGCGCTTCCACTCTTTCCGAGATGAATTCCATGTAAAATACCGAGGCACTTCAGCATAAAGTAGAGTCTTAGTATAATCGTCATTATTACATAGTTGGAAAAATGCAGTCAGTGTTGTTTTTGGGGGTGTAGTCACACGATCCCGCAAATTGTGCTCGGTAAAGTAAATGCGCTCGCCATTGGGTAGATGCAATGCTAAATGTGTGAAGGGTAGGGTGTCATTATTGTTAGGGTCCACGTTCGCATCATTCCTCACAGCATCCTGTAAATGAATATAGCTCTCTGCTCGCAGCTTGCTTTGATTCAAAGATATGTATCTTAAGCGTTCACTTTTAATCTTAACAAGGAAACCTCCGCAAGTCGAAACTTGAGCTTAAGTTTAAATCGAAGCTTGAGTTTTGTATCACAGAAATGCTTCGAGTTTCATATCCTGGAATTTAGTTCAGTAGTTTTGTTCGTCATTCAGAAAGCTATAGATTTGAAAAGTCGACTCCGATTGGTGACCTCGGGATGACAACAGAATTCGCTATTTATCAACCATTCAAATTCAGCTTTTCGATAACAACAACAGTCGTAGTTTTAATCTGTTCTTTATCTTTAATATTTACAGTTAGCATTGGTAAGAATTGCAATGCCAAGTTCTTAGAGGTTATGTTCGGTTAGCGTACAAGGCGCTAGTGATGATAAACTGTAGCGAATAAGTTCTTTTCGAGGATGTGAGAAATTTTCATAATTTTTTTGCAAAGTAAAATAATGCACAAGGGATTTAAATGTAATGTTTTTATGTGAAAGCCTTCACTTAGGTAAGAAAATGACATTTCTTTCATATTTCACTTATTTAATATTCTCACAATCAATGTAAGACTAGGAAAAATAAATTACTAATAGTATTCTATAGATTGTATCTCTATCTCATAATTTCATACTTAGACTGCCAATGAGTTGATGGCACATTCTAGTGATTACTCTTATGAATGCAATATATCTGTAAACCTTGACGTCACTCTGTTCGGCCATACTTAGCTCTCATTTCTTGAATTTTGCTACGTATGCTGTTGATGACACTTTGAGTGTCAAACACACCCCAATTCTTTTGACGAGCGTGCTCTTCAACGAAATTTAATATCACCATCCTCGCCTGCTCGTCCAATCCAGGCCGGACCTTTGTGCCGCAGACTTCGAAAGCGTTTGCCCTGGCGCCTGTTAATGAGCAGACACTCAACGCGGTCTGGGAAAAAATTTCTACCAACAACATTCGAGCCAACGTCTTAGAGTCTTTAGCCACTCGTTTGCAATGCGACAGCCTGATCGAGTTGATGTAGACTTTGGTTCGAGGCAGAAGTTCAACGAGGCCGAGTTTTGGGTTATTCTCGCGATGCTTCAGGGTCCATCTAGTATCCTTTGGATCGTATTCCGCCGGTAAAACGAAGGTGCGAATTTGCCCACGAATTTTCTTGGGAGTTTCCTTCTCTTCATCACCTTCAATATTTTTATTGCCTTCATCTCCATCATCATCATTATTATCTTCGCTATCCTTAGCTTTCTCATCACGGATTTTTCCGTCATTTTCATTCGTATCTTCATCAAGACAATCTTTTCTTTTCACCTCAGCTTGATTGTTCTGATCTTTATCTTCCACTGTCGTTTCTTTATTACCTCCTGTTACATCTTTCGGTGTTTCTACACTGACTTCCTTCACTCCTTCATTTCGGAATCTCTCGTATATATTCTTCATACGTTTGATTGCTGTCGCTGATCTAACAAACGATTGGTGCAATTCTAAGGTCACTTCACACGCATGCGAAAAATCGCCATGCATTTCGTTAAAAACGTCAGCTAGTTGAGACCTCCAATGATCTCTGATGGTCGTTATAGAATCCGCTGGCTGGTCTGCTTCATCATCGGAGTTTCTATCAATTAACAAATCTTCATTATCTGTTTCTTCCGTCGATGACTCCTGATCTGTTGCAGATTTCTCTTCTTCCATCACGACTGACTGACCAGATTGGCTGATGTTTTCTTGAGAGTTGATAGAAGCGAATAATTCATTATCTGAACTCTGCTCAGATTGCGCTGCTTGTTCATTGCAGCTCGCATCAGTGGGCTCATCAACGATCATTGTTTGAATGCTTGAATCCTGATGATCCTTATTTTTTAAACGGTCACGAAATAAACACGAGAAATCCTCATCTAATTCTGGATAATTACGCAAGATATTGTCTTTCAAAATAAGAATGTTCCTTGGCGCATAAAGAATATTCTTTTCAGGACCTTGAGTTCTGGTTACATCACTTGTGAGTACATTGCCAATTACTCGTGTTTGTTCTTCATTGGATTTTGATTGAGGGTCCGAGAGCTTGATTCGTTTTATCGAAAAATTTATGCTGTTCGTAGCTGCATCAGGCAGAGAGATTTGATCTGAAACAGTAACAAAATAGTCTTTTTAGCAAAAAAATAAAATCGTAAAAGTAAACTTGCATGGCTACCAAAAATATGAACTCACACCGGATATCACCTGAATACTCATTCCGGGGAGAAGCAACAGTTTTCTTCCCCATGATATAGACTTTCGCATCAATATAAGAATCTGCAAAAAATAAGGAGTTGTATTAGCGCGGCAGTACTTGGGCCACACGTCGCACACAACTGACGTCACAATCGCACACAAGTAGTGGGGGATCATGTCAATCGTCAGAGTGCGTAAGAATCCGGAAAAATAGAGCAGATATTATGAAAATCAACCAACTGATCATTACGACTCACATGTTTCATATTTTATGATGGCCATATAGACGTTCCACGTTTCCAAGGGCTTCTCATGTTTCTTAATCCGTATCTTAGTCAGCAGCCACGGTTCGTTAGGAAACGCAACTGTACTTTTTCGATCCATCGCTCTACGCGTCCGTATCCAGGAGTGCGGCACACAGACGTAGTCGTCAATACTAGCATAAGGCAGCTCTAAAAACTGGATCACGGCGTATTTGTTCTCATTATCAATATGCATCTGAAAAAAAAATACAAATTACAATCACATCGAATGATGCATCGTTTCAACAAAACGATCTCGAAGTTGTTATTCCCAAGGGCCTCATAATGGCTCTCAGTAAAGCGAGAAGTAAATACGTAGATTCAAATAAAGAATAAAAAAATCTCACTTCCATTATATAGATTTTCAAAATTAATCATATTCGATGCGATTTCGTCTATTTGCTTCATAAGAACAAGCTCGTTCCGTGACATAATTATCAATACTGCCGAGTAATGATGTAAGGAATTGATTATCATTAATCGATTTTAAAAATAATCAGTTGTTATCGATTATGATATCCTAATCGACGATTAACAATCGATTATTTTTAAAAAATATAGCTATAGGAATAGTTTAAAACGTTAGTATAGTACCTATTAATTTACTTCGATGGCTCAGCGGATCACGAGTGTGAATATTATTAGTAACCCTCGAATACTCCCATGAACAAATAGGTAACTTTACTCTTTGGTCGGGGAACTCCCGATGAATGAATGACCGGATCTTACAGTTTTATTTTAACAAATACAAATTAACCGTTTCTTACTAAATGCACATGAAAGTATACATGGTACATACCTATACCAAAATAATATTTTTTACATTTTTTGTGTCCATTTGTTACGGCTAAACTCCGAAACAGGAACGAAAACGGGACTTTCATGGCAGATAGCTTGTATAATAAGGAATGAAGAAGTATAAAAAAACGAAAGCACCTCCACTAGATGGCGACTCTAGTAAAAGTTGATTTTTGCAGGAAACAAATGGACCAAGACAGTCATTTCCGTTCCTTTTAACTTACATATAAAAAAACTGAAATTTGAAAAGTTCGCAACTTAGATATCAATACAAATACGAAAAAGTACAAATAGAATATGAGTTGTTTATTTAGTTTTGAAAACGAATTTACTTTTAAACATGAAAGAAAACCGAAGAGTTGTCATGGAGAAATCAATAACGTACCGTAGCGACATCTAGTTTGATTTCGGGAACTAATGTTTTTTTTAAATACTTATTACTAAGGCTACTTTCCATGTGGACGAAATCGCTATACAGGTAGTTTAATTCCAGTAATTTTGCATGTACAATCCTGGTATAGTAAACATTGTCTTAAAATTGATTTTTAACTTTTCTTTATTAACTCGGATGGCTTTGAAATACGGTGGAATTAATCTGAAATCATTAATAAACTTTTAAAAATATTTAATAGTCGTTATCATTAATCGATTTCGAGTAATACTATGATCGATTAATCGATGTGTATAATAATCGAATCGGCACGTCATTACTGCCGAGTTTGTTTTCCGGCTATGATATTTGCATGAGTAACTGAATGTTTGAGGTTATTTATAGCTAAGATCATACATGGTATAGCTCTTAGTCGAGCGTGCTTGCTTTGAGGATTAACGAAGTTTAAATGATATTCCTACTGGGTTTATGAAGATGCAAATATTGTTGAACGATTTTGCTACGGAATCCATCCAATCTAATCGTGTTTTATCCTTAACGGGTAAAAAAAATGGAAGCTCGACGTCTATAGCGTTTGGCACTTATCTAATTCATACCCGTAATCAAGGCAACGATTTATGAGCATCTCAAACGAAAATAATACTATGATCCGCAGATATTACAAGCTCGCGTAAATGTGGCCTTTATTATTACAAATGGAACATTTACTATCAATTTCGACGCTGTCAGACAAAATTTACAATGCCCCCTGCCATATAACAATCAGCCATCAGTGAATTCAACCTCTACTATATCAGTCAATGTCAAACTGATTAAAGATGTTTTATATTCATAATCGATTTAAAACTTTCTTTACTTCGTCGAATCGAAGAATAGCATCGAACGTTTCACAAGCATGTTTTGGGAATCAGTTGCAGTCAACCCTTTCCCGGCTCAGAGTATCGGTGAGCCTAGGTGCGAGTCGTGTCAGGATAGCGCGAATCCAAAGTCCGATGTACGATTGTGTTCTACCATTTTTCTGACCCCCTCTACAGGAAACAGACTACAGTTCTCTCACTATTAAAACAAGACAGACGATTCGAATTTAGAGTGGGGCTTCAAAGTCGACTATTAAACGGTTAAGTAGATAACGTTTGTGGTTATCGCATTTAGTAATTAAGCTATAAATAACCCTCCAATTACGATAGATTTCACTATAATTAAGAAGAACAGATTTGATTGAGGTCACGAAGTCACTTTTTTTTTCTATCTCTGTTTATAATGTATTGATCTGGTAATGACATGGTTTTTGTAAATGTCATTACTCTTATTAGAGCTGGTGAGTTTCTTGCTCGTTCTTCTTATCAGCCAAAAGACGTCCTGAACGAGTGGTAGGAAAAAAATGTTGGACGATTCAAAAGTACTTTTAAGAAGTCTATTTGAATAAGATTATTTTGTCTTTGACTCAACGTTGATATCACGACATTATCAGCATTCATAATACAAAAACAGGTTTGAGTAGTTGTCTGGCGATAGAGATCAAACCAACAATACCTTCGAATAGCGTTTGTGGTGAATTGGAGCCGGTGGGTGTGTTGGCAGATTCTTCAATAAAAAAATCACATTGCAGGATCGAAATGTTTTTAATGCTTTTCAACTTATGTGATCACATGGTCGTCTCGTTTTGTTCGTGGTTGACTCAGTAGTATCTAAATTTCCTTTTCACTTTACAAACGTCAAAGACCCTACCACAGACTAATACAGATACTGTAGTATTCGTAACATCCTCCACACCCAGAAAAAATGTTATGCAATTAAAAACTCTTAAATAAGAACAATTATTCATAAGAAAACAATGTTATACATCTCAAATTAAGTCAACCTACTTTTTTTTAAACATCTACTTTTGTTGTCACTAAGTTAGGCAACAGGTACCGAAAAAACTTGCAGACAAGCGACCGGCTTTTTAGTCTATAAACCTGCGTGGAATTTGAACGATCCTACTGAGTCTGGTGGTTACTAAGGATGGCGGCGGTCCACCACTAACCTGTGTCTCCCGGCTTTCGTCTGAGCGTCTGTCCAATACAATCGGCCTTAAAACACAGTTAAGGTCGGGTTGTATATCCTTATTACCAGTGTCAGGCGTACCATGACCTGTGTCAGTAGCGGCCCCCGTCCACTCTGCAGTCGACACCTCTAACGGATAGAGTCGTTGGCTGGCCCTCCACTTCTCGCCAGTGGCAGTCTGTACTCTTGTCAGTCTTGTATGACAATCTGCACCTGTAACCAATTCTTTAACAACACCTAACAGCCGATGAATTTGCTTCGAATCTGACTCAATCAGCTAGTGCTGATTGAGTCAGATTCGAAGCTTTGAAGATGAGGTAGTCCTCACCAACAGAAGGGCTCCTAGTTTTAACGTTGCTTCTGCTAACCAAAAAAGATAAGTACTCTTTCTTAAACCTTTGTCTAAAGTCAGAACGCAATTTTTGTAGGTATTGATGTCTCATATTAATATATTTTGAGTCTATCTGATCTAAATCGGGTACCTCAGAGTTAGATAGACTTTGTAAAAACATCACTGGAGTCAATGGCCGCACGGCGGCCTCGTCGTCCTTTGCCACATATGTAAGAGGGCGGGAGTTCATCTCTGCTTCACACTCGCACAATATTGTAGAGAGCTCGATCCTCGTGACTGAAGCTTTGCCCAATATTCTACGTAACATTTCTTGGCAACACGTACCAGTCTCTCGTACCATCCACCCCACCAGGGTGAGGACGGAGGCAGACACCCCCACCATATTGGTTGTGGCATCACCGATGTGGTAGCCTCGATTTCTGACCAGTCTACTGTTTGCAATAGGTTGGCGGTGCCTTGAAAATTCGTACCATTATCTGAATAAACAGTTTCTACGCGTCCTCTTCTCGCTATAAATCGTCTAAGCGCCATGAGAAAACTGTTTGTTGACAAAGATTCCACCAACTCAAAATGCACTGCACGATAAGTTGCGCATGTAAATAATGCGATCCAACATTTAGTCTGGTCTCGCAGCAGTAGCGGGCCGGCGAAGTCCACGCCAGATATTTGAAATGCTGTAGTGGCCTTCATCCTGTCAGTTGGTAGAGGAGCTTCCGGTATTTCGTAATGTTTGCTTTTAAACCTCCTACATATGACACAAGTAGCTATGATCTTCTTCACGACACGTCATATATTTAAGATCCAATAGTTATTTCTTAAATTGGACATTAAAAGTTGTGTACCTGCATGTTTCAGTATGTTCTGTCTCTGTCTAACAAATCTCTGTATTATTTTATTATTAACAGCCAAGCTCTAGTCTTGATTTTCCTCTTAAAATTTCTTCTTCATCTTCATAGGTATTTAACTTCCTTGGAAAAGACTCCTTGTTAAAACTTTCTCTTTGAATTAATTTTAATAGTACTTTTTCTGCATAAATATACTCATCATTTGAAAGTGCAGTACCTCTGTTGACTCTTCGTAACCCAGGATTCATTCGTAAGATCCATGCAATAACTCTGACAATCTGACTGTATCTAGAAAAATACAACAACTTACTTGTAAACTGAACCTTTTCTATATTCACATTTACATTCGATTCGACTTTCTCTTCTTGTTTTACAGTCTCTTCATCGATTATAGGTTCATTCGTACTCACTGAGTTCCAATCTTTGGTATGTACTTTTAACCATGTAGGTCCTTCCCACCACTTAGTTTTTATAAATTGTTTCACATTGCATCCATGAGATGGCAGGTCTGCAGGATTCATGTGTCCAGGTAAATGACGCCAGCTTTCTACATTTGTATTCTCAATTATTTCTTTCACTCTATTACTAATAAATTACTTCCATTAGCGTTTTTGTTTTATCCATGCCAACACTACTGCAGAGTCTGTCCAAAAACAAACTGTATAATTTTCATGTTCATTTAACAGCTCAGAATTGACTACTTTCTTATATAATCGTGAGGCAATCACAGCGCCCATCAACTCCAGGCGCGGCAATGACAACCTTTTATTAGCAGGAGCACACGCGTCCATTATGTCCACTTGCATCCCAAAAGATATGCAATGAAATTTGACTTTCTTGCATTTTGGCTAACCTCAAACGTCTTGGCACTCTGCAGATATTTAGAGATGAACATGTGAGAACCATTGACAAAATTCTCGAACAAGTTCTGGTGGCAGCTGCTAGTCCCATTCAAATTTTTGTTCCCATACTTTTCTAAGTAGATTTTTAGGTATTACTGTTATTGGGCATAAGAAACTAAGTGGATCAAAAATCTGTTGCACAACTGAAAGTTGACACACCTTTTACATGTTGTTATCTGATCGTTTTGCTGTATGTTTACATTACAATGTAAGGTATCATCTTTCGTGGTCCAGATCAATCCGAGTTAGGGAACTTCTGCAAGCACGTTGCCGCATTCTGGTGCTACGACCCAACCTCGCAAGTCGAATTTAGCTTGTGACATTATTTCTTGTGACTGAAACATAAATGTATTCACCTCAATTTCTGTGCCTAAGGATGTTACACAATTATAAACATAAAATGTTTCTCTTAATTTTCTGGCTGTTTCTTTCTATTCATCATTACAGTTGTTCTCTAAATGATAATGTATAGTAGCTGACAAAAGAAATGGGCTACACGTTATACCAAAAACAACTCTATTATGCTGATATGTCACTATTTCGGCCCTCTTCCTAATATCATTCCACCACAAGAACTTCGCATACTCACGATCCTCTTTACAAATACACATTTGTAAAAAGGCTTTTGCGATATCAGCGACTACTACAAATACACCCCCCCTGAACAGAATCAATAACTTAGGTATCAATTCAAATCAGATTGATACCTTTGTTAAGGCAATCATTCAATGATAAACCCTTTCTGTCTTTGGCACAGGCATCATAAACAGGCCGCACTGTCGTAGTGGTAATAGAAGGCTTTATCACTGTGTGATGTGGTAAATAGTGACCTGACTTTACATGACTGCATTTTCTACTTTCTGTATTATTCATTCTCTTTCTTATTCTTTTAATATTTCATCATATTGCTGAAGGTTACCTGAACTCAACAGTTTCCTTGTTGTAGTGTCTAATCGTTTTGGTGCCACTTCATAGTTGCTATCTGGCTCCGGGCATCCTTCCTTCCTTAACAAAGATACTTCATAGCGGCTTAACTCGTTCACTGAAATATTATCATTAAACATATTTAATATTCTAGTTCTGGCATTTTTTTACTCTTCTTTTCATAGGAGTCCTTGATACCTAGCAATTCGATATCCCATAAATTTGAGATATCGGTTTGTGACACATGTTGTACACTCAACATATTATTAACATCCATATTCTTATTTTGTTTCTTTATAGGTCCTTGTATGGTCCATTCTAATTTTGTTTCTGATGCAAATAAATTGCATCCCAACAAAACCATATTATTGGTTATGATGGACCCCAAAAAATCTGACTCAATTAAAAGCCCTATTTCAGTCTGGCAAATTATAATCACTGAGATTAATATTACAGCTTTTCAATTTCTCAATTAGAGTTTTTTCTGACCCCTGGGGTAGCCGTCCACAAAGGTTCGTCTGTTTTAAAGCAGTAATCTTAATATTGAATGAATTATTCAAATTACTCACCTGGAGTTCATAAGATTTATATGCTTTCGGTGGCATTGTTTCCCCTCCAAATACTATGTGTCCTATGCTCTCTTGTTTAATTTCCTTTAACTTTAATTCTTTGACTACCGAATCCTTTATGTATGACCGCTGTGAACCTCCATCTATCAATGCTCTCACCCTCTTAGAACGTCCATTGTGGCTTACACTTACTACGAGTCTCCAATAGAGTTTCATTATCTTAACAACCTATAAGTACACTCTCTTTACTCTTGTCATGTACAACTGGTAACAAAAATACATAGTAACGTTTCAATCAGGCAATGCATTTTACAAAAGTTTTAAATTTCTTTGCAGTGTGACCCCTCCTCAAACATATATATCAACAGCCCGACTTCCTAATTGCCTCCTTTTTCTGATCCAGTGACATTTTTGTAGCCTTGTTACACTCGAAAACCGAGTGATTAATTTTCTCACAAAAGCAACAACTGTTCTTACCGGTATCGTTGGACTTAACATTTGAAACTATGCAGGCTGCAGTCGGCACGCTGTTTCTTGAGCTGTTCTGCTGGTTCTGATTGCTTGACATACTGCTGCTGGGAACATAAAAGTCAGACCTAGCCATCCTAATACTTTCCTCAGACTCAACCTCATGTTTGAAAAATTCTAATAAAGAAGCTAATCGCTTGCAATGATTCGATGACCTGTTCCACGCTATCAATATGGACTCTGGCAGAGCTGATTCTACCAAAGGATACAGAATAACCTCATATTTTTGCTGTGTTACATTTAAATTTCCCAATGCTAGTAAATATGATGACAATTTATTTATGAAGAGTTGAATTTAAGTGAACATCTTTTTGATTTAAAACTAATTGTAATAATTTCCGGATATAAATTTGGATTAACACATATTCTTGACCAAAGCGATCACGAAGTTGTTCAACGGCTGCCTTGTAATTACTACCGGATGGTGGGAATGTATCCATCAAACTCTTTGCCACCGATCCCTCCTCCAGCGACTGCACGAGGTACTGGAACTTGTCAGCTAGATCCAAGTTGGCATCGTTGTGTATTTTTTGGAATTGGCTCCGGAAGCCAATCCACTGCTTTGGATCCCCGTTGAATCTAGTTAACGCCAATTTAGGGAGCTTGAGGTTAGAAGGCCGGTATGTTGGTTTCGAATTCGAATCCACTTCCATCTTGAATTTGTTACCGATTATTTTCTCAATTACCAATTTACATTGAATAAATCTATATGAAATTTTATCCTGTTCGTTTATTTCCATTTCTAATAATGATTCATAAAAATTTTCAAGTTTAAAATTTTTTGTTTGATTGCGTCATCTAAATTAGTGAAATTCTGTCATCGTTTTATTAATTGAAAGCAGTATCTCACCAGCATTGGACTCAATTGAATCGATAAGATTCATCTTCAGTCTCGTGACGATCGTTAGTTTCACTACGACGTCAGGCCATTGATAGGTTTTACAAACTTACTCGTAAGTACTGCATTACAATGGGGATAACTGGGATTACAGAAATAGAAATACGGTAAATTCAGTTATCTTGTTTATTTAAATTTATACAGGAATATGGTTTTTAAGTAATAATAGGCTTTTAAATTTATAAACTTCCTTATTACTAATATGATAGGCATAAACACACCAAATAGCAGCTACTAAAATTAATGATCAGTCTTGACTTCGAACGCGGTGTTTTTCTCATAGAGTGATCAGACAGATTATAGATCGGTAAATGCCATTGAAATACATTAAAACAAAAATATACAAAACATTACCCGTTTTAATTTAGACATAATTCTCGATCATTTTTGGCTCCTAAGTGTGTAATACAGAAAAATCAGCTACAGCAAAGAATGCGTTAACTTTCTACCTCTTTTCTACTTAAATATACATAAGAACATCCTCTAATTCTACTTTTTATGAATAAGAACCTGTAATTAGTTACACAGCCGTAAATTGTAATACTCAGTCGCTACCTGCCTGACTGTATTTCGCTCTCATTTCCAGAATCTTTGTACGAATGCTGCTGATGATAGCTGATGTGTCATCGGTCCTCCATCCACGTTTAGCCCCATATCTTTCTACGAATGTCAACAGGACCATCCTTGCGTCCTCGTCTAATCCTGGCCTGACCTCGAGGTTCATGGAAGTAAAGGCCTTGGCCTTGCTGCCTGTCAACGAACACACACCCAATGCGTCCGCGCTGAAGACTTCTGTCAGTAGCAATCGCGCCAACGTTCGACAGTCTTTGGATTCGCGTTTGCAGTTGGCAAGTTCCTTCTTGTTTACATAAACGTTAGTCCGGGGTATGAGTTCGACCAGTCCTGGTGCTTTTTTTTGGTACTTACGAGTCCACTTTGGATTATTTGGGTCATACTCTGGCGGCAGAACCCATGCGTTTTTCTGCTGGTGATTAATTTTCGGTCCACTGCTGATACCAGTTCTGTTTTCAGCGACATTTTCTTTGGGTGCTTTTGACGTCTCGACATTGGACAGAGACGTCGAGATCGGAAGCTGCTCTACTTTATTGAGTGTCTCGATTTTCTCCAACATTGATTCGTACACTTCGGCACATTTGAGGATGCTATTTCGTAAATGATTGAACAAATCACGAGTGTAATGGAAACTGGCACCCATTTGGTTGAAAAGAGTGCCGTACATGTTCAACATTTCTTGCTCTACAGCTAATCTCTGTTGCATCTGCGGCTTTTGTTGACTTGCTGGTCGACTCTCGCTAGCCGTGTCGACGTCTGGGTGATCACATTCGCCGCGATCTAATTCTACGTCATGGATGGATATTTCACATTCATTACCTGTTTCCTGAAACGGTGACTCTTGTTCTTCTACACAATTCCTATCCGCCTGACATCCGCTGTGTGCCACTTGTGGAGCGCTTTGATGAGCTGATTCGGCACTTCCATCCTCACACTGGTATACGTCCATTGCAGGATCCATTTCGGTCGCCTGATCTACCACCAGTTTTTTGGTACGAGGGTTTCGAAAGACAACACCGATTCCAGGCTGTAATGTGAATGGCATCTCATCCAATCGGTCAGGTAATGGCGCAGTCTGAACTTCGGTGTCCACCGTAGTAGGCTCTACTCTATCGACGAGATTTCCAGAAACGACTGGATCTGAGATTTGATGCTCAGTAAGATTTCGACCAAGTCTTGCTCGTACACGTGGATCTTGATGCGAATAACCTCGCTGGACATTTGAAAGTGGCTGACTTTGAGTCTTTGGTTGAGCAGGTGATCTTTCGATGACTCCTGGACGTTCAGTTTTCTGAGTGTTGGCGTTTAGTTTTAGTAAGGGGTCTGCGAGTTCTTGACGCCGGGGTGGATTCTCGAAATGATAATGTGATCGGCTTTGTGAATTTTGTCTAGAAAACTGAATAACATTTCCAAAATTTTGAGTGATAATCGCAGATTTAGTGTGAGCTCCACCGATCAACTCTCTAGCAAATTCATGTCTCTGTACTTCTTGCATGTTGTCTTTATTAAGGAGGCCATATTGGTTGTTATGTTGCGGGAAGCGTGGGATAGTTTGGCTGAATGGGTTGGGTTCGCTTTGCAAAGTAAATTCGTCATTTGTCGCACCTGGTAGGTGGACATGTCGACCAGTACTATGTTCGATATTATGCTGCTCGAATTGACTGTTCAGTCGAGCGGTTTTCTCCAAATCTGTTTTTTGCATAAATAAATAACGTCGAATATCTGGCTGCTCAACAAGAGAGCGAGAGTGTTGTGCCAAATACGAAAGGTTTTGTGCAGCGGATACCGTCATATTTTGCTGGGGAGTACTCAGATCAATAGCAGTAGCCCTGATGGGTTTTTGAGGAGATTTGTTTTGGTTTCTTTGAGCAAATAGTGGCACTAGCTTGACAACTGGATTATTGAATAAAGGGGGTTGAGGGTCTAAAGCTGATTGATTCCTCGTGATGTTCCGGAAACACATTCTCTTGACAGCAGGATTTTCAGTGGCAGGTGAAGACTTTTTTTTAAATGATTTTGCGGATGGGTTTATCGGGTTGGTGACAGAGTAAGGTAGAGATGATTTCTTATTGATGGAACCTTGGGCGTTTGGTCTCTGATGGCTGAGAGTCACTTCAGTTGAACTGTCGCCATGTGTTCCCTGCAGTCGGGGGGTTTGATGTCCAGCACTAGTGGATGGCAGAAGTGCCCATTGAGGATAATTACCTTGAGAAAGCGGATTTGATCTACTAAAAGGCCTCGAGACTGTCGTGGGTGCCGTTAACATCTGAAGGAGTTGAGTTCCTTTAGGGGCATCAGCTTCCTTAGGTTGCCTGGCGGGTGCATCTTGTAGACGTGGCTCTGGAAGCGAATGTATATGATAAACCAGGGGGGTTGATCTCTCGTTCACAGACACAGGCTGGGGAACTTGTTCTGGACTATGCGCAGGAGTTCTGCCGAGAAATTGTGCTTCCTCAATAACAGACTCAGACTCCACATGATCATCAATGTCATTCTCCTGGTGATTGTCATCAAATCCAGCATCCGTATCAGTCAGACTGAGTGCTTTTTTTTCGATTTGGCCTGCAGGCGAAGATTGAATTTTCTGAGGAAGCTTCGGTGAAGCAGATTGGTGAGGGAAAATATGCTCAAAACTGGTTTTATTGTCCATAGCAACAGCTTTCCCCGTCTGTGCTCTCTGAATCAATTGATTGCTACTGATTATTATCGACTTTTTTCTCTTTGAGTGCTCAGACACCGTGCGTGGGTGGTTGGTACCGTCACCGACAGCATTGGTAATTTTATCCAATTTAACTCGTGGGAGCCCAACCTTTTTCTTCAACGATTGCGACGGCAGCCTAATGGTAATCCTTGGCAAAGCCTTGCGGCGATTTTTATAAGGTTTTACTGATAGCGAGGGCTTACTAAATTTGGTATCAGCAAAGAAAGGACGTGATGCGCTGCGCAGCTTTCTAATTAACATCGACTCAGTTTGGGAATCTGCAACCAAATAGTGTAGTAAATACTCAGAAAATTGAGATCTGAATAGTCTTCGGATAGTTTTTTCGGAACTCTACCTCTCATGTCTTCCTCTGAGCTTTCTATTTCACACGATTTATTGCCATTATGGGCCGCTATCCATCTGTTTGCACCATCAAAAGTGTCTGAAAAAACGATTGCTCATTAGAAAACCAGCCACCAACTTCACAAAAACAAAATGAAAAAATCTGTCGAACAATCGCTGACCTGATTCATATCTAACGACTGCCATGTGTAACCGCCACTCTTGGTTGGGTTTTTCTTCATTCTTTACCCGGTCTCTGATGTTCAAAGAATCTTCATTGTTCGGGTATGCAACAACAACCTTGTTAAGTGATTCCGGGCGGGATATTATCCAGGAGTCCGGCACGCATACGTAGGTGTCGATATCAACGAATGGTAACTCGATGAACTGAACTACATAAAACAGCTTGCCATTATTGGTCTGACGGCCCCTCATCTATGACAATAAACGTAAGTAGGCATCAACTGTATTCATTTCCATAGCTTGCAATTACAAACATCTTGGTACAATAGGTCACTGACTGGTTTGATCTTTACAAGTTTCAACGGTGACCTTGACGAAAACTACTACGGGCAGTAAATAACCGATCGTTCGCATACTGTTCCACAATCAACTACGTAAGCTACATAAAAACACACAGTGAAAAACATGCTCACATGTACGGATAGACTTATCAGTACACAACAATAACCGCTTGGAAATCTGTTACTCAGTGTCTACGTCTCAAAATTATGCACATAATTTAGTTACAAATGTTTATTGTTACTCACACTAAACACACTTATTATACTACTGGCACTAAAAACTCCGATTCACTTGCCTGTTTATTTATTTATAAAAATGTGTTTAAATATATTGATACGTCCTTGCACACGACAGAGAACTAAAACTATTTATAAGTTCACAACATCCTTGTCCGCAGGCAAACTTTTCACTGTATCGGATTCCGCAACAACTTCGCGCCGTCCTAAATTCATCTAAAATAATCATAAATTATAACCTTGACAATCGCAGTGTCGTAGAATAGCCAATAATCGGAACTTATTCAACTGTGATGCGCGCCACGCATTTGATTTAGCTTCAAGTAAATGCAGGAAAGGTTGGCCGGCCGTATATATAGACGCGAGCAATCGGACGACGGTTTATTGTGTTTTTTTACAAGAGAAGAAATGATCCAAAAGTACGGCTGTGATAATTTATTAAGTTCTCGTCTCGTCTATTTATAGAACACTACTGATACAGTTATCTAGACTGTGTACAGACGTTCATTGTTATTATTAAACAACGCCGGTCACGAATTCGCCTGCTAAACGTTATAAAGTTTACATGTCGAAAGCAATTAAATATTCTGTTTTGTTTCGAATAATAAGTTTGTTACAGCGCCAAGGTTAACTAGGGCATTTGGGTTCGGCTGGTACCTGTCGTTAAATATACGGCACACACACACACACACACACACGAAGTTCCATTAAATCTGTTGTGGAAACATTCCGAGGCTTTTTTGTTTTATTAGCTGTGAAATGGACGAGTATCAGCTGTGTAATGGACGAGCATCAGCGTGATCAGTGACGAATCGTCTGTTTATTCAATGTCTTGTTCAAGGTTGGATGGTTGGCGGGTAAATATAACGTATTCAAAACGCGGCGTTTTGTTGACTGCCGAAGTTTATTTATCTTTGGGCCAAAAATTGCAGTACAAAGTTAAAGATAAGAACAATGACGTCACACTTGGTAAAATTTATAGTATAAAACAATTTTTTTATCTGCGCCATCTGCTGTAAGCCAAACAGAAGTTTTAGTACCCTACCGAACCAAAAAGGGAGTATTGATTCGAGTAGCTTACAGTTGCTGTGTGACGAAGCTTGACACCAACCCGATTTCACATAAAATAAATTAGTCAATTTCGGCAACACCAAACGCACGCAAAGTCGGACGCAAAAAGATACTGATTATAAAAACAGTACATACTTCGATTAAATTTACATGAGTGATCTGCTTTCTACATGGAACTATTCGGTGTTATCGTGTCCAGCTTCGATCATCCGAGGCCCGCGTGTGCCGAATATTGTGACTTATAGATAATTAAACAAATTTGCATAATTTCAAAGTGATGTAAATTATAAACGAATATTCAAGACGGAATCATTAATTACTAACAATCCTCACTTGCATGCGTCCCCTAGAGACATTCTATTTAATCACATCATCAGATAATAATCAGTAATTTTTTTCATCTATGCTCGGCTCACAATTATAGTCAGAGCCGTATATGATTCTCAAGCAAAAATTAATCAGCGAGTTCTAGTTTTATGCTAGCGAGTTTGAAGGGGTTATCGTGTTAAAATGAGAAGTATAACATCAAGGTTATACCTCACCTTGTCGGCGAATCTATTTTTAGCAAAGTTATGCAAAAATATGCTAATAGAAAAGTAAAAATAACCAAAGATTGTTCAGTGATTTATTAGATACGTGGTGAGTGTATGGAATAGTTTTTATCAGAAAAAGTACGACCAGTCACTTTTGAAAACCAGTTTATTCTAATTCGACATGAATAGAGTCCATTAGTATCATCTGACAGATCTCTAATGGTAACTTCTTGCTAGGCACCTGACATCTGGGTCTCTAGTTACCGTACGCCTCTACCAAATAAATGATAAACATCAATGGAGGTATTCCGACAATTGCCAGGAGGTACATGACATGTCCGTCTTCCTGAAATAGAAATAATAATAATAATAAAATTCTTTATTTGTCTTTCGTAAAAACATAAAAATAGCAAACCATATTACTTTAAATGTTATCTAGAGATACCTTCAAACATATCAAAAAATTACTTTTTATTACATAGATATTTAAGATCCTACAACAATGTGAATTTAAATAAAATACAAAACATATATTAAAGACAAAACGGTCTATGACTCAGTAGCCGCAGACATGCAAGTCCACTGCTCCTGTTATTCTGTCATAGCCTCTCCCAAAAAAAATAACAAACAAAGCTATAAAATAAGATGACATGATTCGCAACACGCACAAAAATAACTGAGCCATATTCAAGGCAAGTATTTGAATAGGACTGAATCAATATATTATTTACTTTAAAATAATAAGCATTAATAGGGTACAAGACTCACTTCAAGATGTTCCAACTAACGCAAAGGTAATTTAGTTGATAACAGTTGAGAATTAATGACATTCACTTTTTTTTCCACTTTTACGTCCAAAAACGGCCATAGCCGGGATTTCCGTCCCACAAACGGTACAAGATAACATGATGTCTATAAAACATGACTAGGGAGACCCAATACCAGCGCCAGAGACTGCTCCTGCATAAGCCATCTACGATATTTTTTACGAAAAGTTGGTAAAGTCGTGTTCAAATCCGCTTTAATTGGTGGAATCTACCGTAAGTCTTTATCTATTATTCAAATGATGATTCGGTAGCCTGCGAAAACAAACGTCAAAGTACGTCAAAGCCTCAAAGTACCCTGACGACTACTTGGACAAATGTTTGGGCATGTTCAAGCGGACTAAGCACACATGCAGGGGGACTTTTTATTAGTCCATTAAACAAAGACTAGAGTAAATAACTCAATACTCATCAAGCACTCGGCTTAAATTACAAGCTTCTGCACTCGGGCGCAGGCATCTTTTCCCGCAATAACAGAGAGGGCGCTGCACTACGTTTTCTGTAGTTATCATAAATAAATTACATCATGGTGAAATGTGTAGGATGTGGTAAATTTCTTTCACAAACTGATTGTATCCGTTGTAAGAAATGCAGCGGCCCACACCATAAGGCTTGCGTGGTGAGAACAGAATTGCAGCGCTCGAGGATAAAATTAATAAACCCACCTCCGGATTGGACGTGCTGGAGGAAGCGGTTGCGCAGCTCAAACTGCAGTTAAACGACAAAGATCAAGAGATATACTCAGGTGACATTGAAATTTCGGGCATTCCGGAACAAAGTGGTGAAAACATAATCAATACTATAAAAAAACTGTCCGTAAAGCTGGGAGTCGAAACCGACGAGCGCGACTTTATTAGAGTGGAGCGTGTCGGTTCTACGCGACGCAACAGAGTTGCGGTAAATGACGTCACCGCTGGGGTCAACGCCGACTAGTCAGAGCGGCGGCCGCGCATGATTATAGTGCGCTTCGCTCGGCAAATAACACGCGATGACAAATGACATCGATATTGCTTGCCCCACAAGTCGAATATATTTAAACGAACGCTTAACTCGTGTCAATCGACATTCATTTTATTTGGCACGTCAGGCGGCTGGTAAAAAGCAGTGGAAGTATGTCTGGACTCGAAATGGAAGAGTACTCGCGCGTAAAAATGACGGCCAGCAAACTTTCCAAATACGTACCGAGACCGATATTACTAAAATTTTTATATAAAATTATGTTGGTCAATTATTGTGTCGATGTGTAGACTTTGTTGTTGTTACTTTTGGAGAAACTTAATTGCGCTTATTGATTTATCTTTTCATATTTATTTATTGTTATTTTTTGTGATTATGAAATATACAAAGGCCTACGATTGTTTACTTATTTGGTTTTTCATGACACGTACTGTCGTCGGTTCGATCCAGCCAGCCTTCAACTATTTAATCGTATACGCATATAAAACATCACTTATTACGTTATATATTTGAATTAATTATGTTATATTTGTATCGCAACAGCTTTTATCACAAGTTTTTATTGTAAGAATTTATATACAATTTACATTATAAACTATTTGGAAACTATAACATTATTTATATTTTATTAGAAATTATTGACATTTACATGTAATTGCAATTATATTAATCACAATCATACCATAATGTCACAATCTAATCATTTTAATATAATTCTATCTATGAAATTGACTATTGTTTGTGAATTGAACGATATGTCGTAATTAAGCGTTATAATTAATAATAGTATAATAAATAAATATTATAATAAAAATGATTTCTAAAACAAAATTGAAATTGGGTTTAATAAATGTCGGCTCCTTTGACACGAACCATGATGATTTTGTCGCCCTATTCGATCACTATGATATTGACATAATGGCCGTGAATGAAACCTGGTTCCGGCCTGGAGAGGAGAGTCGCGCGCTTATAGTACCCAGATACCGGTTGCGACACGCCGCGACCGGCTTCTATCTGCTTGGGGCGAGGAGGTGGCGTTGGCTTTTATATTAGACGAGGTGTTAGGGCGCTTGTGCACTACACTGAATTTTCATGTCCGGCGGTCCGATTTTTTCAGGTCCGATATGTCAGGCCATAAGTAATACTAGCCTGTGCACTGTCAGGAATTTTACCGTCCGGGATTTTACTTTTCTCTATTCCGGACCGGTTTTTTAAGGTCCGTGATGGCAGCAATGAAAAACGTGTTTACGCTTGTGCACTGCTGTGTCCGCGATCCGGAAAATTCATAAAGAATAGGCTTGGGAAAAAATAATCGATTTGTGTAAAATCGATATTTATTTCAGCGATATTGTAAATATCCAATAAACTTATAATCGATATTTATTGTAGATTATAAAATGATATATTTTATATGATGATTTTATATAGTTGGTAAATATCACTGCCTATGCTTTGGCAAACTCGGTATAGTTCTAATTTGATCAGCATATGGTTCTAGTATCGATACTTAGCTAGATTTTAGAATCATGTTAAAAGTATCGATAACTTAAGGTAAGATTAATAAGTGTTGTTACGCTTAGACACCTAAACAACTGAACCCATATTAATGGAAATTAATATAGTATAAGTTTTTACATCTGATAGTAGTCATCCGATAGTTATAAAAAATATGCTTTCGTCTTGCCTCAATTTATTATGGTTTATGTAAAGTGATCAGGTCGTTATTTAGGTACCTTTCTACTTCTTCGAACGTAATTAGCGATGTTCCAAAAATCTCATCGTACCTAGCGTA